CCTTTCACAGGTGTCATATTCCATTAGCCTTATCTGAACATGGCTTGTTAGCTCTATTTGCAAGTCCCGGAAGGATACGTGAAGAAACTCCCTGATTAAAAGAAGCAAAGGGAGGCACGGCTCATGTTTTTGCAGGTTCGGGGGGATTTACGATCTTTGCTAAATGCAACGGCTCTTGTAATTTATCCTCGCATAAATGTTTTTAAGTAAACAGGAACGAGTACTTAAAATCCAGCCAGCGCTGGGAGGAAGAAATGGGGAGGGGGGGGAGAGAGGCTTTGACTGGGGTCCTTGTCAGATCGGAGGGGTGGGGGAATCTATTAAGAGGGTGTACGTTATTTATTAACCTGCAACAGGAGTCATTTGCAAATTTGGCAGACGTGGGAAACATCACTCCGGGAATTCAGTCCTTTTTTTTTCCCACAAGTGATGTTGTAACTGCTCCTCTGGCAATTACAATGAGGAAGCCTTGGAAAATATCAGGGCTGGTCTGAGGGAAACCAGGGAACAAATTGCAAAGCAGAAATTTGTCAGAAAGAACACCCTGTACTGAACTGAACTCTAATTTGTATTTTTTTTTTTTAAAGAGTTGAGGACAACCCTGGTGAGGGTGACTGTTGTTCCTCCCATTCTTCAAGCAGCAGCAACATCTGGCCGACCATGTCTAAGTGCAGAAGCTAAGCAAGGTCTCGTCTAGTGAGCGTAGGGAAGGGAGACCACTAGGAAAGTCCAGAGTTAGACTGAGAAACGGGGAAAACACGGCAGAAATCAGCGGCAAAACACCGCCATATTATTGCCAGGAAAATGCATGGTATTGTTGACCCAATACCAAGGCAACTGGGCTTTCTTTGTTTTTTCTTGAAGACGTTTCGCTTCTCATCCAAGAAGCATCAGAACTGAAGATGCTTCTTGGATCAGAAGTGAAATGTCTTCAAGGAAAGCAAAGTCCAATTGCCTTTTTAAAAAAGCAGCATGACCTGGATGACTGGGAATCTCCACAGGCATGCTATTATCCAATAAATCATTCAGGAATCTGCTCCGGCTTCCTGCTTTTGGGACTCAGCCACAGTTCATTAAGTCTTGCCCCCATCTGCTGCTGCAATATTTTATTTATTAAATGTACGTGCCACCCCTCTTATTCTCAAGCCACTCTGAGACGCTTACAGTATCCTAAATATCAATACAGACAATTAAAACATTAGAAATATTAAAACACTAGGCATTAAAATTGACCGCGGCAATTCCAAACATTACGACGGAATTACAATTTTTAAACACTAGAGAGCAGTGTAAAAACAATTCTATAATTAAGAGGCCTCAGAATCCCTTGTCTATCAAGGAAGATGGCCCACTGCATCTTTATCCAAGATAACTCCCAAAGAGCATCACCCAGAACTGCCAGAACACAATTCAGGGAGCAACATCTTCAAAACAAGAAGCACATTCAACGTTCGCTCAGAAATAATTTATTAAAAGTTATACGCCACCCAATTCTCCGCGACTCGGAGCAGCTCAGAACAAGTCAAAGAAATGATAATAAAAGACAAGAAATCAGCAAGCTGAAAAGAAATCTAGGATGAATGAATAATTCATATTTTTTTTGCTTGCTAATAGCAAAGCGGGCTGTTAAATATTACAAGGGGCTCATTTCAGACTTTACTTCTACTACAGAGTCATTTCTCGAGAACCTACAATCTTAATCTCATCCTTTTCATTCATCTAGCAGGATAATATGATTTAGCTTGTAAAGCCCTTGCGAGGATTAAAGACTAACATTCGTGAATTCTTTGAAAGGTGATAAATAATCATTATCAAGCACACCAAAGTCAAGAAGGAGGTTAGAGGTGAATCCATCACGAATGTGAAGATCTTAAAGTCCTAACTCAGTGGAGGAAGTACCGTCAAGGCAATCAACACCTGGGCAATTCCAATCATTAGATACACAGCTGGAATAGTGGACTGGACTCAAGCAGAACTAGAAGCAACGGATAGGATGACCAGAAAAATAATGACAATGAATCATGGCGTTCCTCCACGCAGAGATGTTGACAGTCTATTTACCAAGGCAAATTTACCAAGGCTTAAATCAAACTTCAGATCGAGAAAGACACAACTGCAACACAATTCGAAAGAAGGATATGGACCAGGGTAGTGAGCTGAAATTTCAAAGAAATGAAAAGAGTAAAAAGAGATTTTTTTTCCCCCCGTCACTAAAAGATGGCTCTTTTTCCTGGCGCTGCTGAAGATATTGGTGAATTTAAAAAGGATGCTTTACAACAAGTATATCCAACCTAGGCGACTTTTAAGGCTTGTGGACTTCAATTCCCAGGATTCCCGAGCCCCAGTGTTAGTTGGGAATTCTGGGAACTGAAGTCCACAAGTCTTAAAGTTGCTGAAGTTGGACACCCCTGTTTTACAATTGAAGGAAAAGCAACTCCCAAATAACTATGATGAGAGCAGGCGAATAAAATATTTCAAACCCACCAAACTCGTGGGACTCCCTCCCATTTCCTTCCGCGACAAAGAGATGTCAAAATAAATAGATAAAAGGTGAGTGAACTGGGCCGTGTACAGAAGTCGTGAAAAGCTATTTTTATTTTCTTAGGCTGCACGACAGCCCGATAATGCCTTTTTAATTAAAAGCCATTTCTGCTAATCCACCAAGGAAATACTGTAAACAGAATAAGAACAAAACCACTTGGCTTTTTCCGTGGGGACATGTGGAGATTCGCAAGTGTGGATAACACACTGAGACTCACACTCTGCTAGCAGCATCAAAGGGAGATCAGAAAAGGAAACAGAGAGGGAAAAATAAAAAAACTAGGGGATTGATGCAACGCTGGAATATAAGATTGCAGTGTGGGGTCTTCCAAGAGCCTTATAGAGAAAATTCGAAATTTATGATATACAGGTAGTTGTTGATTTACAACACTTCATTTAGTGACCGTTCAAAGTTACGACGCTGAAAAAAGGGGCTTTTGAACATTGTTCACACTTTTGACCATTGCAGCCTCCTCACGGTCATGTGACCAGAATTCAGATGTTTGGCAACTGACTCATTTTATGACGAGTGACGGGATCCACTTTCATGACCTTCTGACAAGCAAAGTCAACGGGGAAGCCCGATTGATTCACTGGAACAACGGTGTGACTAATTTAACAACCGTAGCGATTTGCTTAACTGCGACCAGAACGGTCGTAAAATGGGGCAAAATTCTCTTTAACACACGTTTCGCTTAGCGACAGAAATTTTGGGCTGAGTTGTGGCCGTGAGTCGAGGACTGCCTGTGTAATTGCAAGTAATCTTCAACTGACAACCACATTCTTCGTCACTAAGCGAGACAGTTGCCCCACTTTACCACCTTTCTTGCCACAGTTGTTGAGTTGAATCCCTGCAGTTGTTAAATGAATCTGGCTTCCCCCATTGACTGGGCTTGTAATAAGGTCTCAAAAGGGGATCGCGTGTCACTCTGCGACCGTCATAAGTACGAGTCAGTTGCCAAGAAGCATCTGTAAAATACAAAGAGGCCGCAATCTTTTCAAATGCCCTGGGAAGAGGATGGGGTAGCCATTAAGTTGCTTTGTAAAATGAAGGGGGATTTTTTTTCCCCTCCTCGGACAGTTTCAACCTCCTGGGAAAGGCAACTCCAGGAGATTTTTCCACTAAGATGCACCTGTCAGACGCCTCCGTCCTTCAAGAGGAGAAGAGCAGAGGCAGCTTTCATTTCCCCAGCTTTTCTAGCGGTTCATGAATATTCCCAGAGGATCTGGACAAGTGCTTGGGACCTTGACCCCAAAATCTCCCCAGGGTTTGCAAGCTAAACACCAAACTCCCTCTGATGGCTGGAAAAAAATTCTGACGGCTTCCAAGGGAAAAATGCTAAATTCGAATTGGGTGGCAAACAGGTACGTAAGCCACAATCACCTTGCGCTGGGCTGGGCAGGTTCTGCGATACTGGTCAATTATGGGTTATTAAACACAGTGGAACAAGCCATGTCCTCGTGCGATGGGAACCAGGTCGAAGGCACCTCTTGGCTGTGACATTTAATAAATTCCTCCCTGTGTCATTGTAGGCAAGTTATTCAGAAATTAATCCTATTCAACTTTTTTTTCCCTTCCCTTCAGTCATGTCAAAGTCGCTTTGAACTGCAAGATGGGCAGCAAATAACACCATCCAGCATCCATGTCGGCTTATCCCAGGTCCTTGAGGAGGACTGGATAGGGGGATAAAAAGGCCAAATCTAAACATCTGGCTGACTGTGAAAAGAATAATAGCAATAAAAAAGCAAAAGTAGTAGCAATAGTAGTTGGCAATCCCAAAACCTCTGGAGCACCACTTAAACACCATCGGCATTGACAAATTCACCATCGGTCAATTGCAAAAGGCAGCTTGATTCGGAACAGCTGACATCCTGTGACAATAAAAGCATCAAACCACATCTGCCTATCCCAGGTTTGTGGGAAGGACTCGATAAGTGGATTAAAATGCCAAATCCTGTCTAAACATCCGGCTGACTCCGCGAAGGACCATAAAAACAAGAAAGCAAAGATAGCACAGGCAGTCCTTGGCTTACGACCACAAATGAGCCCCAAAATTTCTGATGCTGAGACATTAAGTCAGATTGCCTCGTTTTACAAACTTCTTGCCACAGTTGTTAAGTGAATCCTTGCAAGTTGTTAAGTTAGTAACCCGGTTAAGTGTATCTGGGCTTCCCCCGTTGACTTTGCTTGTCAGGTCGCAAAAGGGGATCACGTGACTCCAGGACACTGCAACCGTCCTAAGTGTGAGTCAGTTGCCAAGCGTCTGAATTTTGATCCCATGACTGTGGGGATGCTGCAACAGCCGTTTAGGTGTGAAAAATGGTCATGTCCATTTGTTCAGCACCCTTGTAACTTCGATCACTAAAGGAACCGTTGTAAGTCGAGGACTGCCTGTCCTGCATTAAATCAATCCAACCTTGCCTGCTTAGTTTCTTAAAGTGCAACAAAGGCATTTTACCTCGCAGTTGAACTCCATTTCAGCATCCATGGTAATAATCCGAACCGTGAAGGTTTTGGGCTGCTTCCTCTTTAAAGAGCTGAAACTCATGCGGGAGGCGATGGCCCCCGCCATGGCGAGTGCCCCCTAGACTTCACCTATGCCAAAGGGGTATCCTGACCCTTCTCTGTGGGGAAGGTCCAAAGGGGGGGAGTGGGAGGGAGGAATCACCCACGGTTTAGATGCCAAGCTGCTGGATCAAACCCAAGGAAGTCCGAAGAACCAGCCAGCTCGTCCGGAGCTTTTCTATGAGAAAAAGGTGGGGGGTCCAACTCGCCCCCTTTAACATGTTTCCAAGAGGTGGTTCTGTCCCACTGGTCTTCTTCACCAAAGCAGAAAGAAAAAGGAAACGCACACCCAGTTCAAAACAGGTGGCCCCCCAATTGCAAAAACTAAGTTTGTTTGGGGGGGGTTTATAGGAACCGTTTATAGGAACTGCTCAGCCTTCCAAATTCCTAAATTTTAGGGGGGGAAAAACTTGGAAAATAAATTGGTGGAGGGATTAACGCTGGGAGGGGTATTAGATGGGCACAATTCACACGGGAGCGACAAGCCCAACAGATGCCTGCCAGTGGATGGGTGTGGGGCACAGGAGGAAAATTGGGTAGCCCCCCAATTTTATTTGGGAACGAAAGTGTCTCAAAAAAGAGACTGAAATCGGCCCAATCTTGACCCGGGTGGGGAGTGGGCTCCTTTTCAAGGCTTGATATCCTCTGTATATTTTGGAGGGCTGAAGCTGCCCCTCCAAAAAGGACTTCTGGGGTTTTCCGGAAGGTGCCGAGGGAGGCGTCCTCGGAAAGAAGCCCGCGAGAAATCGGCACCCCACTTCGGCCCTTCTTGTTCGGGGGGGAGGAGGGCAGGGAAGTCCAGAGCCGAAGGGACCTGGGAGAAAGAGAAGGCGGATTAATAAGAGCAAAGAAAATTTATTCACAGAAGACCAGGGAAGCCTTCATGCCAGCTCCAGGAGAAACAAACCACAGATTAATTATCATCAATCCCAAGCCACCATCCCAGCCAGGAAACCAAGAAAAGAGCAGAATGGGAAAAGGGAGAGATTATCCATTTTGCAATTTTCTCTATATTTTCTATATAAGGGGGAGGGAGAAATAAGGGGGGGGGAACCCAAGCAAGAAAAGGGACGCTGGTTAAAGGTGTGGGGGGGAGGAATTATTAAATTCAAGGCTGAGGGGAGAGGAAATAAAGGGTCTGGGGGCTTCCAGAGACCCCCAAATCCAATATTCCCAATGTTTATTGGGGGGGGAATTCTCTCAGTGCCAGTATCTAGATATATGAGGTGGGGGCTTCAAGATGGCCCCTTGTAATTAGGGGAGGGGGCTTCCTATTCTCAATGTGTGTATTTATGAGGGGGAGGCTGCCATAAAATATATATGGGGGGTCTCCAAGGACAGAAGCTTGGGAGGGGGCTTTTTGTAGGGGCCTATAAGGGGGAGAGGCTTCTATAAGACCTGCTGAGGGGGAGGCCCAGGCTTTTGGGGGGCTTCCCGCCCAAGGGGGGTCCAGGGACCTTCTCCGCGTGGAAGGGGGCGGGGGAGGAGGGCCCCCGCCCCATAAGTGGGGAGGGGCGCTCGGGGACGGGGGGGTCTCTCTCCTCGGGGTGCCTCGCCGCCCTCCCGCCCCTCCCGCGCTCAAACGCTGCCCTCACCTCGGCCACCACAGCCTAACCTGTCACTCCTCGCCCCTCGCCTGTCATTGGCGGAGACGAGGCCATAGGCCCGCCTCTGGAGGCGGGGCGCCACGGTTCCGGCCGCCCGCTCGGACCTAGGGAAGTCAGTTCCCTGAGCCGGGAGGACCGCGCAGCACTTCCGGTTTTCGAGCGATGGCCGCCATTTTGTGGGGGCGATAAGGCGCCGCGCCGGATTCCCCCTCTCCTCCGAAATCTTTGCCAGGCCTAGTCCCGACTTTTGTAGGGGCGCCGTTTTTACGGCGACTTTTTGCGGCGGGTCTCTGTCCCGCGAGCCACTACTTTCCGCGCGTTTCTAAAAGAACCGGAAAGGTGGATGCAAGGTTAAAGGTAACCGCAACCCCTAGTCGAAATGAGGTAGGGAAGGACGGATTGGTGGATACGCTTGTCTATCTGCACGAATGGCCCTCCCTCTGCAATGAGCGTAGACGAGGGAGGCTGACTGCTCCCTTGCCCTCTAAGGAGCCAGGCCGGAGATGGCGCGGCTTCGAGCGCCCTCTAGTGTAAGAAACGGCGAAGGACAAAATACGGGAGGAAAGAAAGGAAAGGCATTATTATGCACTCGTATTATGCATTCACACAATACACCGAACCATAAACTAAATAAATGGGCTGAGTTTGCCTGACCAGCTAAATTAGCCAAAGGATTCGCTTAGTGGTTACAGTAATCATATGTAATTAACCAGAGTCCGTGTTTCTCCATCTCTGCTTTTTCCCTTACTGGTTATTAGGAAATCTTCAACCCAGGTAATCTTGTTAAGTGTGTTCTGCAAAAGTAACTTGTGGAGTTTTAACTGACCTAGGTAGTGTGTTGTGTGAACACAGCTTGTAGGGCTTTTTTTAAATAGTTTTATTTATTTTCAATTTCAACATTAAAAACAAAGGGATGTAGGGACGGTTAAAAGCCACAAAAGTTAAACCACAAACGGATAATCGGTACTTTACTCCAGGTTTAGTCTGGATCTATATGTTTAACCCATAGTTGTATAAATGAACCATGATTAGCTGGCTTTATAACATCGCATCTTTGCAATGCTACAATAATCAGACCGGGTTTTGCCTCGTTCACAAAGCCAAAATTTAAACTGCCCATTTCATGGCTTCATCTGCTCTTTGAAGCCAGCACCATCTGGAAGGAGCCCTGCCAGTTTGTTTTGGACTCTGAAAATATATATATATATATTGAAAATATATATATTTGAAAATGCAAAATGCTGGTTTTAAATAACATATTAAACTATAAGCAAAAGAAACCTTGTTATGGCTTGGTGTGCAAATCTGGTCAGTGCATTTAATGCACAGAAAAAGAACAGATGTTCCAAGCTAAGAGCATTTAATTTACAGCATTTTTAAGCAATGTCTCCCCCTCATTAACTTGAAACATCCAGGGGAAAAAAACATCTATTAAGCAGCCCTAAATAATATTGAGAAAAATGGGCACTTTGCTTAGCCCAATCAATCAAAGCTTTGGCAGCCACTATCACACAGCAAAGCTTGGTTAATGTTAACCTTTCTTTCTTTGTAACAATGTGAGAGGGGGGAGCAAGCCAACCTGTTTATTGGCTGACATTCAATCTATGGTGGATTAAGCAATAACTAAAAGGTAAAATTCAACAGGTAAGTTAAACGCATTGCAGACACCATGAGCTGACCAAGACTCTTCTAGGCTGCCCTAGCCCCTGTGGCTGAAGTTTTACGCAGTGTGTGAATCCAGCACCCTGGGTTAAATAGCAAGCTAAGATGATGCAATCTTAACAGCATACAAAAAAGTAATAATAATAATAATAAAGCACTCTTTTTACTGCCAAGAACGGAGTCCTAAACTAGTCATTCTCCAGGTCAAAGGGAAGGATCCAATGGTTTCCCCAGCTTGTCTAAAACTCTGCCATCTTTCATTTGAAATCCAGCAAGCGTGCCCTTCCGGAGACATCTGTTGTGCCCCTCACGTGCCCTTGCTAAATTCTCATCATGGATCATTTAGACATTCAGAGACAGGCATTCTGGCCTGGCTGAAGAAGACGGGGAAAGACTTAAGCCAGCTTTCCTTGGCTGGCTGTAGCTACCATGGATTGTAGCCAGCATAATTGATGGAGATGTTGTCAGGTCAGCTCCCAAGTTTTAAAATCACAACCCATCGCTTGCTTTTCCTGGTGATTTAAGACTTCCATCTACATTGTTCGATGGCCTCTGTGGTCAAGCCCTGCGAGGGAGGCCATTTCGGAAAACGAGACAGGGCAAGAGGTTCGGGAATGGCGATGGCTTATTGTATTGCCCTGGCGCATCTCCCAACCTTAGCAACTTTAAGAGGTATAGAATACAGAAGACAGAGTTGGGAGGAACCTTAGAGGTCTTCTAGACCAACCCCCTGCTTGAGCAGGACACCCTATCCAGTCTCTCCTGGAAAACTTCCAGTGATGGAGCACCCACAACATCCACCCACTGATTTTATTATTCCGGCGCTAAAAAGTTACCTAGTTAAGTAATGACAGGTCTGCAAGGAGACCCCCAAGGACCCCACAGTCCTCCTCCTCTTCCTCCTCTCTACAAACCCCCCTCCCTCCTAGCATGGATGATGAAGGTCCCCAGTTGGGCAATGAAACGTCTGCAAGGAGACCCCCGAGCTCAGAGAGCACCAGGGACCCCACACTCTTCTTCTTCATCATCATCATCATCCCTGCAGCCCCCCTCCCTCCTCCTAGCACTGATGGGGGACCTCCTCAGTGGGCAATGAAAGGTCTGGAAGGAGACCCCCCCTCTCCCGCCAGCTGCAAACCTCCGCTGGAAAGCGGCTCCGGGCAAGGCGGGAGAGCGCGGCGCCGCCCCCGGCCCTCCCTCGCCCGGCCGGGTTGGCTGCCGCCCGCCGCCCCGCTNGGAGATGGCGCGGCTTCGAGCGCCCTCTAGTGTAAGAAACGGCGAAGGACAAAATACGGGAGGAAAGAAAGGAAAGGCATTATTATGCACTCGTATTATGCATTCACACAATACACCGAACCATAAACTAAATAAATGGGCTGAGTTTGCCTGACCAGCTAAATTAGCCAAAGGATTCGCTTAGTGGTTACAGTAATCAAATGTAATTAACCAGAGTCCGTGTTTCTCCATCTCTGCTTTTTCCCTTACTGGTTATTAGGAAATCTTCAACCCAGGTAATCTTGTTAAGTGTGTTCTGCAAAAGTAACTTGTGGAGTTTTAACTGACCTAGGTAGTGTGTTGTGTGAACACAGCTTGTAGGGCTTTTTTTTAATAGTTTTATTTATTTTCAATTTCAACATTAAAAACAAAGGGATGTAGGGACGGTTAAAAGGCACAAAAGTTAAACCACAAATGGATAATCGGTACTTTACTCCAGGTTTAGTCTGGATCCATATGTTTAACCCATAGTTGTATAAATGAACCATGATTAGCTGGCTTTATAACATCGCATCTTTGCAATGCTACAATAATCAGACCGGGTTTTGCCTCGTTCACAAAGCCAGAATTTAAACTGCCCGTTTCATGGCTTCATCTGCTCTTTGAAGCCAGCACCATCTGGAAGGAGCCCTGCCAGTTTGTTTTGGACTCTGAAAATGCAAAATGCTGGTTTTAAATAACATATTAAACTATAAGCAAAAGAAACCTTGTTATGGCTCGATGTGAAAATCTGGTCAGTGCATTTAATGCACAGAAAAAGAACAGATGTTCCAAGCTAAGAGCATTTAATTTACAGCATTTTTAAGCAATGTCTCCCCCTCATTAACTTGAAACATCCAGGGAAAAAAAACATCTATTAAGCAGCCCTAAATAATATTGAGAAAAATGGGCACTTTGCTTAGCCCAATCAATCAAAGCTTTGGCAGCCACTATCACACAGCAAAGCTTGGTTAATGTTAACCTTTCTTTCTTTGTAACAATGTGAGAGGGGGGAGCAAGCCAACCTGTTTATTGGCTGACATTCAATCTATGGTGGATTAAGCAATAACTAAAAGGTAAAATTCAACAGGTAAGTTAAACGCATTGCAGACACCATGAGCTGACCAAGACTCTTCTAGGCTGCCCTAGCCCCTGTGGCTGAAGTTTTACGCAATGTGTGAATCCAGCACCCTGGGTTAAATAGCAAGCTAAGATGATGCAATCTTAACAGCATACAAAAAAGTAATAATAATAATAATAAAGCACTCTTTTTACTGCCAAGAACGGAGTCCTAAACTAGTCATTCTCCAGGTCAAAGGGAAGGATCCAATGGTTTCCCCAGCTTGTCTAAAACTCTGCCATCTTTCATTTGAAATCCAGCAAGCGTGCCTTTCCGGAGACATCTGTTGTGCCCCTCACGTGCCCTTGCTAAATTCTCATCATGGATCATTTAGACATTCAGAGACAGGCATTCTGGCCTGGCTGAAGAAGACGGGGAAAGACTTAAGCCAGCTTTCCTTGGCTGGCTGTAGCTACCATGGATTGTAGCCAGCGTAATTGATGGAGATGTGGTGAACTCTGTCAGGTCAGCTCCCAAGTTTTAAAATCACAACCCATCACTTGCTTTTCCTGGTGATTTAAGACTTCCATCTACATTGTTCGATGGCCTCTGTGGTCAAGCCCTGCGAGGGAGGCCAGTTCGGAAAACGAGACAGGGCAAGAGGTTCGGGAATGGTGATGGCTTATTGTATTGCCCTGGTGCATCTCCCAACCTTAGCAACTTTACGAGGTATAGAATACAGAATGACAGTTGGAAGGAACCTTAGAGGTCTTCTAGACCAACCCCCTGCTTGAGCAGGACACCCTGTCCAGTCTCTCCTGGAAAACTTCCAGTGATGGAGCACCCACAACATCCATCCACTGATTTTATTATTCCGGCGCTAAAAAGTTGCCTAGTTAAGTAATGACAGGTCTGCAAGGAGACCCCCAAGGACCCCACAGTCCTCCTCCTCTTCCTCCTCTCTACAAACCCCCCTCTCTCCTAGCACGGATGATGAAGGTCCCCAGTTGGGCAATGAAACGTCTGCAAGGAGACCCCCGAGCTCAGAGAGCACCAGGGACCCCACACTCTTCTTCTTCTTCTTCTTCTTCATCATCATCATCATCATCATCATCATCATCATCATCATCATCCTCCCTGCAGCCCCCCTCCCCCTAGCACTGATGGGGGACCTCCTCAGTGGACAATGAAAGGTCTGTCAAGGAGACCCCCCCCTCCCGCCAGCTGCAAACCTCCGCTGGAAAGCGGCTCCGGGCAAGGCGGGAGAGCGCGGCGCCGCCCCCGGCCCTCCCTCGCCCGGCCGGGTTGGCTGCCGCCCGCCGCCCCGCTCGGGTCCGCCCCGCGCCGCTTGGCCCGGGCAGATCGCGCAGGAGAGCGAAGATGGCGACGCGGGCGGGCGCCCTCCCGGCCCGGCCTTGGCTGCGGGCGCTGCGCGGAGGAGACCCCCGGCCGGGCAGCCCCGGAGCCCGGTGAGACCCCCGAGACCCCCGGCGCGCCTTCCTCCTCCTCCTCCTCCTCCTCCCCACGCCTCCCTCCCGGCTCGAGCAGCCCCGGCCCTGCGCTCCCCTCCTTCTCTTCCTCCTTCTTTTCCTCCTCCTCCTTCTCTTTCTCCTTCCTCCTTTTCCTCTTCTTCCTCCTCCTTTTCCTCCTCCTCCCTCCTCTTTTTCCTCTTCCTCCTTTTCATCCTCCTCCTCTTCCTCCTCCTCCTCCTCCTCCTCTTCCTCTGCGGGCCCGATCCCTGCGCGAAGAGGCAGCCTCGGGGCGCACCAGAGAAGGGAGGGGAAGGGCCGGGTGGCGGGGCTGTCCGGCGGGGATGGGGGCGAGCAAGGGGGGCGAGGCCCCGAAGATCCCCCTTCCCGCTTTGTCCCGGCCCACTAGGACCCCCGGCTGCCACCGGAGCGGAGCAGGGCCGGGCCAGGGGGGAGCCAGCCCGGCGAGACGCCCCGTCCCGGCCCCTCTTGGCTTTCTCAAACTCTCCCGCGAAGAGCAGAGGCTGGGCAAGGCCATGTGGGGGGGGGGCTCCCCGTTTTGCTAGAAAGCTGCCTCCCCCAAGAAGGAGGAGTGGCCCCCCCAGAATCTGCCCGGGCTCTGGCTGTTGCATTCGCACAGGGCAGCTGAGCGCCCCTCCCCGGACTCTCAAGCGCCTTCTGGGCATGGGAGTTTGTATGAATCCAGCCCCTGGGGGTCAATCTGTAGGTCTTCTGCACTGCCCCCCACCCCAAAGAGATCGGGGAGAAGTGGGAGCAAAGGCTGGAAGCTCTTTGTCTGGGATGGTCCAGTGCGTCCCTGTCTGGGCGAGGGGTGGGCTAGATGACCTTTGAGGTCCCCTCAACCCTGGGATTCCTTCCTGCAAGGAGAGCGGATGCTTTTGGGTTGATGGGAAAGGGAGGTCAAAGTGGAAGTCCTGTTCTTCTTGTCACTGGGGGCTGAAAATAACATTTAAGCCCTTCCTCCTTTCATTCTAAATTTAAAAGTTGGGGTACCTGGTGCTCCCGCCTCTCTTTGGTCCCCAAAAGAGCAGTTCAAAGTTGGTGAGTTTGCAGAACCGGAGGTGGACTGGAATCCAGGTCTCGCTGGGCCAGGCTAGCATCCTAAAAGAGCAGGATACAAAAAGAATAGATAAATAAATAAAATACAAAACTGTAGCTTGGGCCAAAAGAGGAGGGTGCTGGGCGATTGTGGTTTATTCTTAGTAAACCAGGAATGGGTTTCCCTTGGCGCGCGCGTCAGCATCCCTGCCAAGTTACTAGTCCCTTTGAAAATAACGGCCATGCTAATTGTCACAATGGAGGAAAGGTTGGTGGAGATGACAGAATTTCCTGAGATGGCCAAAAATTGGCTTCTTGGATTAGGGAAAAGACAACAAACTACATTTGTCAGCAACTGAAAAAGCTTGTATTTTGGCTGAAATAGGGAAAAAAATTGAACCTGGTTTATGGGTTTGGTGATTAGAATACGGAAAGAGAGGAGCGATATAATATAAATGCATTTATAATTGCTGCAAAAAGATTGAAAGTTCCTTTATAGCCTTATTTTACTTACTAGGTGTTTTTCTTTCGTTTGTTTTCTATTTACTGATCACTTTCAATTTCTTTGTTTTGACTGTAAAAATTAACTAAATAAAATTAACTTCAATAAAAATTAACTAAAAAGGAGAAAAAAAAAGATCCAGCCGTGCTTGGACTACAGTTCCCATCCCTCACCCAGGCAGCATGGTTGAGGGGGTGCTGTGGCTGTGGATGATGGGTATTGTTATCAAACCCAATAGGAAAATATCGTTTGGGGGGGGGAAACAAATCAGAAATTAACTGTTTGTTCTTGTACAGTAAGGAGAGGGGAGCCAACCAGGGATGTCAGATTAGCCGTTGAAAAGATTGTTGACCAGGTATTTTCTGAAGTTAATGAGTGACCAGGATTGGAGCAAAGGTTTTGGTCAAATAAAGCAGGGGGGATATTATTAGAAAAAGTTTGATTGGTATATACTGGATCACCACATTGGAAGACTGTCTTGGTCTCTATCTAAAGAGGGCTAACAGAGAAGGGTTTGATTGCGTCTGTTTTTCAAGAGTCTATAGGAGGACTACATAGAATAAAAAAATAATAGAATAGAATAGAAATAGAAATAGTAATAGTAATAATTAGAATTAGAATAATAATAGAATAATAGAATTAGAATAAAAATAGAATTAGAATAGAATTAGAATAGAATAGAATCATTAGAATTAGAATAATGGAAATAGAATAGAAAAATAGAATTAGACTAGAATACAATTAGACTAGACTAGACTAGAATAGAATAGAATAGAATACAGAGTACAAATTATAACCAACCAATAAAATAAACGTCTCAACTTTCTTTCAGAGGTTATTCCAAAGACAGTGAAAGCAGCTGGTTCCGCTCACTCTTCGTCCACAAAGTGGATCCCCGGAAAGACGCTCATTCTAACCTCTTGTCCAAGAAGGAGACCAATCACCTCTACAAGATCCAATGTGAGTCTCTTCCCCCTCCCCTCCCCCTCCCTAATTTCTAAATTTCCTTTCTTTCCTGGAACAGCTTCACTTGCACGGACCGTATCCTAATTTTATGGCCACTTCAGGCAAAGTTTCTGAACTTGGACCACTTTTAAGACGTTTGGACTTCAGCTCCCAGAATGGTTCCCAAAGAAAAACCGTTTTTTCTTTGCTCTCGTTTCAGTCCACAATGTGAAGCCCGAATGCTTGGATGCCTACAACAGACTCGCGTAAGGATCGGCTGTCTCGTTTTTCCTTCCTTTTCCCTTTCTCATACCTTCCTTCCTTTTCCCTTTCTCATTCCTTCCTCCCTCCCTCCCTCCCTCCCTCCCTTCCTTCCTTCCAACTGTGCCCATTGCTAGGAGTTCAATCCTGACCAGCTCAAGGTTGACACAGCCTTTCTTCCCTCCAAGATCAGTAAAATGAGGACCCAGATTGTTGGGGGGCAACATGCGGACTCTGTAAACCACTTAGAGAGGGGCTACAAAGCACTGTGAAGGGGTGTATAAGTCTAAGGGCTAGTGCCATTGTATTTATTTCCGAGCAGCCAAGAATAAACGTGAAGGCTGTGCTTGTTGGTCCGAGGGAAATATTTTTCATTCAAATAATTTAATTAAAATAACTTACATTTCCCCTGGACCGAGAAACACCGCCTCCCCTGTTTGTTAGCCTCCAGGGCGCACTCAGCAACGTGCAAAGCGAGGAGAGGGAAGATTCAGTTTTTAGCACCTTCCTGAAATTCTCCCTTATTTTGCAAATATGGCTTTTCTGCCCCTCGGTTACTTTTGAGCCTTCCTTTGCTTTTGCAGGGAAGAAGTCCTTCCCAAGCTGCATTCCGACACGGGGTATCCCTGTGAACTGGTTGGCAACTGGAATACGTGGTACGGCGAGCAGGACCAGGCAGGTGAGGAGGGGAAACTTGACTTGAGCTGGGTAAAGGGCACTGTACGGTACACAGTCCCCACTTAACGACCGTATGTTTGGTGACCGTTCAAGGTGACGAACGGCGCTGCAAAAGGTGATTTAGGGCCGATCCTCACACTTACGACACTGTCACAGCATCCCTGATGGTCACGTGGTTGCAATTGGCAAAGCGGCCCGCCTTTACGACGGGCACAGCGACCCACGGCCCCACGACCGCCATTTTAAGCTTTCCCCACCCTCTCCCGACCAGCAAGTTATCAGCGGGGGAGCTGACAGAGAAGACGGCAAGTCACAGCGATGCAGACGTATTGCTTAATGACCGCGGTGTTCTGCTTAACAACTGCAGCAAAAAACAAAGGTGGTAAAATTGATCACATGACCACGGGGGGAATGCCGCAACGGTCATGAAGTGTGAAAAACGGCCCTAAGTCGCTTTTTTCAGTGCCGTTGTAACTTCGAAGTGAACTGTCGTAAGCCGAGGACAAGCCGTACAGTGGAACAACCCAGCCCGAGGCTCGCTTGCGTTTTATATCCGCTCCTCCTTTTGGGGGGCTGTGTAAGAATCGGTGGCCTCTTTCGTCTCTTTGCAGTGCATATCTGGAGGTTCGTCGGTGGCTACTCGGCCCTCATGGAGTCCATGAACAAGCTGAGGGAGAACCAGGTATTTGGGGGGTGCCCCATCTCACCCCGGTCTTCCCTGGCGCAGCAGGTTGCGGTGCTGTTCGAATATCCGTTGTTGATTCGCGTGTTAAAATTATACGTGCCGAGGGCTGCGGGAGACGTCAGGAGATTCCGGCCGTTCAAAACAGTATAAAGGTTTGCAGGTAGTCCTCAATTTACGGCCACGATTGAGCCCCAGAGTTTCTGTGAGTTTCCCCCCCCCCTCCGTTTTACGACCTTTCTTGCCACCGTTCGTTAAGTGAATCGCTGAAGTTGTTAAATGAGTCACCTTCTGCCACCTGACTCTCCCCTTTTTCCTGTTCCGGCAGGAATATCTGCAGTTCCGCAAAGAGAGGAGTAGCATGCTCCATTCGCGAAGGAACCAGCTGCTCCTGGAGTTCAGCTTCTGGAATGAGCCCCTGCCACGCGCCGGGCCCAACATCTACGAACTGCGCTCGTACAAGCTGAAGGTGAGATCTCTTCGCAGGGGCCCTCCTTGACGATGAATGTCCTTTTTTCTCGGCAATTTATTTATTCATCTATTGGTATCCCGCCTTGATTATTATTATTATTTTTTACAAATCACTCAAGGCAGCAAGCATGCTAGCCTTCCCTCTTCCCCCTCCTGTTTTGTTTACAGGAATAACCTTGTGGGGTGGGCTGAGAGAGAGTAACTGGCCCAAAGCCACCCAGCCACCATTCATGCCTAAGGTGGGACTAGAACTCCCAAACACCTGGTGATAGGCCCAAAGTCACCCAGCCACCATTCATGCCTAAGGCGGGACTAGAACTCCCAAACACCTGGTGATAAGACTCAAAGTTACCCAGTCACCTTTCATGCCTAAGGTGGGACTAGAACTCACCATCTCCTGGTGTTTGGCCCAAAGCCAGCTGGGTGACTTTGTGCCAGTCGCTCTCTTTCAGCTCAACCAACCTCACAGGGTTGTCGTGGTGGGGCAAATAGGAGGAGGAAGGCATGTTACATACGTTGGCTGCCTTGAGTTATTTATAAAGTAATAAAGGAGGGAATAACAATCTAATTAATAAGTTTGCTGATCCAACTGTAAAGGCTGAGATTGGCCGATTTGGTGCCGTGAATGAATTTCTGCAATCTTCTCTTCCTTTTTGAATTTCAGCCCGGGACCATGATTGAGTGGGGAAACAACTGGTAAGCAGAAAGGAGTTCAAATATTTTTTTAAAGTTGCCCACAGGTCAGGATACAAGAGAGATTAATGAATTCCCCGAAGAAAAAAAGTGATATTTGCAATTTGCAGCTCGCACAGAGCAAAACAATTATTGCTAGCAAAAGAGTAATTCTTCGTGTTTCTTCATCTCTCTCTTTCTCGGTTGGCCCAGGGCTCGGGCAATTAAACACCGTCAAGATAACCAGGAAGCGGTGGGGGGCTTCTTCTCCCAAATTGGAGAGTTGTACATCGTACATCACTTGTGGGGTAGGTAGCCTTGAAACCCCATAGTTCTCTAGAGATGGGGTCCCCAACCCCAATCCGTGGACCAGTACCGGGCTGCGGTATGCCAGCAACCAGGCCACACAAACAAGCAAAGCCCCATCAGCAGGAAGCAGGCAGCACACAAAACCACACACTCTCCGGTCCACGGAAAAACCTCTCTCCCAATTGAGTCCAGTTGAGTTCACTTACCATCCAATTGGCCTTATAAAGTAACCTTATAATTTAGGAGATGTTTTTGTCGCTTTGCAGCCTATAGAGACCTGCAATCTCGAGAGGAGACAAGGAACGCGGCCTGGAGGAAGCGAGGATGGGATGAAAATGTTTACTATACAGGTCAGACATTTTGATAAGGTGCTGCTGGACGTCTTATTCAAGGTTGCGGCTGCTTCAGTGCTCTGACCTTCATTTTCAATGCTATGTGACAGTTTCCCAGCCAATCTTGCAATCCCTTGCTCCCTTCGCCACTCAGCAGCAGCCACTCACCTGCCTGCTGAAGAGGGAGGAAGGGACGGAGGGAGGGAGGCATTCCCTGTTGGCCAAGGGTATCTCAAATTGGGTGCCAAGAACAACGAGTCACAATTTCCCAAGATACTGTCTCACTCTGTGACACTTTGAATGTCCTTCTTGTGTTTGCAGTTCCTCTCGTTCGGAGCATGGAATCCCGAATCATGATACCCCTGAAGATTTCCCCGTTGCAATGACCCACCTTCCCTGGGCAGCGCAAGGCTCAGCCGTCACCCGGGGGAAAAAGAAAACTTCATTACATTTCCTCCCCAGCCCCTTCCCCTCTAATAAACTTCGTTACTTCCTGCTTCTCTAACCTTTTCTGCTTTGTTTCGAGAGCAGTGTTCCTCCGCCTAAGGCGCTCTAAAAGATGTGCGGACTTCAACTCCCAGAATTCCCCAGCCAGCACGCTCTAAGAAGCCTGGAACTTCAACTCCCAGCATTCCTGAGTCAGCGTGGCTGGCTGGGGAATTCTGGGAGTTGAAGTCCGCACATCTTAAATCGCCCTGGTTTGAGGAACACTGAGCTAGAAAGATTTTGTCCTTTTTTTTTTTTTATCTGTCCATTCCATTTTTTTTTCTTCCTCCCAACCGTCAGCGTGTTAATTTCCAGTTGGAGCAGAGCCTGATGAATGCTTAGCTTGTTCTGCAGAGGAAGAGGATAATCAAATATTTGATGAGAGGCTATTGACGTCCAGAGAGCTGACTTTGGTGCCTGTTGTGAGGGACGGACGCTTTGTGTGCACCAGATTCTCTTCCCTAGCGTCCAGCTTCTTTTCTGGAGGGGGAAGGTGAGCCCTCCCCCAGCTTCCTTTAGAAGGACAAGCATTCTGACATCTGGAAGCATTCATGTGGGCCTGCCACGGCCACGGATGCTCATGGCAGATAGTCTGAGCTTTAGCGACTTAAAAAGAATTGACAGTAGCAATGATGATAATAATAATAAAAGGTCTGCTTTTCAAGGGCTGTGTGACTTGCCTTATTGCACACGGAATTAAATATTTAACACACTGCATCTGGTTTTGGTCAGAATAGAAAAAAAGAGGAGTGCAGAGAAGAGCAACAAAGATGATTAGGAGACTGGAGGCTCAAACAAAGAACGGTTGCTGGAATTGGGGATGTCTAGTTTAATGAAAAGGAGGAGTAGGGGAGAGATGATAGCAATCTTCTAATATTTGAGGGGCTGCCACAAGGAAGGGGGGGTTAATCTATTCCCCAAAGACCCTGAAGGCAGGACAAGAAGCAACGGATGGAAACTAACCACGGAGAGAAGCAACCTGGATCTTTCTTGACAGTGAGAGCAATTAACCAGTGGAACGACTTGCCTCCAGACGTTGTGGGTGCTCCATTATTGGAGGTTTTGAAGAAAAGACTGGGCAGCTATTTATCCGGAATGCTAAAAAGGTCTCTTGTTTGAGTGGGTGGGGGCTGGATTAGAAAACCCCCAAGGTCCAGAGGTTGTGGGTGCTCCATCACGGGAGGTTTTCAAGAAAAGTTTGAACAATCATTCGATCGGGATGCTATAAGAACTCCTGCCTAGGACAGGGTGTTGAATTAGAACAGGGGTCCCCAACGCCCGGTCCGTGGACCAGTACCAGGCCACGGCATGCCAGCAACCGGTCTGCACAAACAACCAAAGCCCCATCCGTGGGATGCAGGCAGCACGCAAAACCACACACCCTCTGGTCCATGGAAAAACCTTTCTCCACAGAACCGTCCCCAATGCCCAGTTTGGGGACCTCTGGACTACCAGACCTTCAAGGTCCCTTCCAGCCCTATGAGAATATGGCTTTCCTTTGCACAGTTATTTTTACGCGATTTGTGATTCTCAGGATGGTAATCCTTTGATAAGGAAGCCGCTGCCCTGCCTAAGATATTAGCAATTCTCAAGAACGCAAGACGCATCTCTGGGGTGCACGCTGACCTCTGAGAGTGATCCTTGTTCTGTTTTCTACAATTGAGGGAATTTTTAATTCATTAGAAGAAGAATAGGTAAGTCCTCAACGTAGGAGCACTGGGTTGAAAGTATGATGGACCTACCTGGGAGGGGTTACTCATTTCCCATTTAATGACTTTCGTTGTGTTATAAATACCAAAAATACAAACAAAAATAAAAATAGGAAATTAAAGGAAGGAAAATGAGGGGCGGCGGAGAAAATAGGAGGTATGAGGGAAGAAAGGGGAAAAAAGCATTGACTTCTGACTCTTTTTAGCACAGTACAAGATAATAACATTCCAGCCTCAACTTTTTACTTCTACCCATTAACTAGCCATTTCTATAACAAGCAAAACCAAAGTCAGAGTTTCATGGGTTTTTTTTCCCATCACAAGCACAAAATCCAAAGTGATATCCCAATTAAAAAGCATTGATTATAATCAAGGAGAGAAGCAATCTAGGTTGAAGAAGAAATTTACTGATAGTTAGAACAATTAACCAGGGGAACAACTTGCCTCCAGAAGTGGTGGGTGCTCCATCACTGGAGACTTTTAAGAAGAGACTGGACAACCGTTTGTCTGAAATGGGATAGAGTTTCCTGCCTGAGGAGGGGGTTGGAAGAAATAATCATGTTGTAAAAGGCAGGATCAACCTGTTCTCCATCAGTCCAAGAGACAGGAGGTCGAATAACCGGTTGAAGTTACAAGAAGTGACATTATAGTAGACATCACCTCTGCTCACAGGAGATGGTTACCTTCCCTGGACTGGCACGCTTGAATCCTGATTCCTGCACAGAGCAGGGGTGAGACTAGATGACCTCAATGCTCCTGTCCACTTTTCTTGATTCTAAATACGGCAACAGGTGGAGATATCAACAGAGGCTGTTTTTAGGCTTTATTTCTTTATTTTTAGACTTTAAGCACGGAAAGCTTCTCTTCTCCGTAAAAACGGAGCGCATTTATCAACTGCTGATTCTTGAGTTCTGGATCGTGGCCAGATTGGAGAAAATAATAATAAAAAAAAAGAACTTTGAAATCCTTCCCACTATCTAATCCAGAAATCCTGCAAAAGGACAAAGATGATAAGGCGTTTTATGGTCATCCATCAATCTGCAAGTCCATGTCACACTTGGTTGTGTTGCAAACCTTGGCAGTTAGATAACCCCATTTTCATGGAAGCATTTTTTTTTCTCCCCGTTCTCTTCTAAACACCTCCCAACATGCATTTTCTGCTTGGGTCATTTCAGCCAGCCAGCCTATTTCTCCAGGGCAAAAAGTTTCCAAATTCCACAGTACCTGGAAAGGAGGACAGCGGTCCCCCCAGTTTTAAATCAATGCGGAAGAAGTTCCTCCCCTGCAGAAAGAGAACAACTGTTGGATAAAAACTGGCACATTTACAAGCAAACAGCTTTGGTTTTATCTCCTTCCTGGAAGGTGAATTGTCCTGATAGACGAATAAAACCATCGTCTCTTATCTCCAGTCGCAGCTGGGGCCAAGGTTATGACAAGGCTATAAAGGCTGAACTGCCTGGGAATCAACATTCATCCTGACCGGCCGACAAAATGAATCCTACTCACCTCCTGGTCCTGGCAGCAGGTAAGTGGAGATCCAGTAGATCCAAAGAATCCATTCAGGGATATGGCAGGCTTTCCTGGCTTGATAATTTCCAGAGGTTTGGGCTGTCTAGGAGACAGATTCCCTCTGTCTTCCAAAAAGAGGGAAGGCTCACCCAGCCTTCACGGAGCAGGGAATTGGATTTGGCTGCTGGTTATCTGCAAAACACTAACGCTGATTTTCTTGTGGGTAGTTTGTGTCTCCTTTTTGGCCGCCTCGCAATCTGTCCTGCCTCGCAACCTGTTACAATTCGGCAACATGATCAAATGCGCGATCCCCGGCAGTAAACCCGTGCTGGATTATGCGAACTACGGTTGCTACTGTGGCTTCGGAGGCAGTGGGACACCTGTGGACAAACTGGACAGGTAAGCCCTGACCTCCTTTAGCACAGGGGTTCTTCAGATCACATTCAGAACATAGAATCACAGGCTCGGAAGGGACCTGGGAGGTCTTCTAGTCCAGCCCCCTGCACATAGCATAGATCCTAGACCATTCCAGACTTCCTTTGGGCTTGATGGGATGGATACAAGGGAAGATCATGAACCCCCAGAAATCCTGCAGTCCAATCCCACACCCAAGCAGGAGACCCTCTACTGTTTCAGCCAAATGGCTGTCCAGTCTCTTCTTGAAAACCTCCAGTGATGGAGCACCCACAACTTCTGGAGGCGAGCAGTTCCACTGGTTAATTCTTCTCACTGTCAGGAAATTCCTCCTTAGTTCTAGGTTGCTTCTCTCCTTGGTTAGTTTCCATCCCTTGCTTCTGGTCCTGCCTTCAGGTGCTTTGGAGAATAGCTTGACTCCCTCTTCCTTGTGGCAGCCCCTCAAATATTGGAAGACTGCTATCGTGTCCCCCCTAGTATAATGGGTCCTCTATCATCCTTTGGCTTCATAAATCAAAGGGGATCATTCGCATGAAATGATGCAGGGGAAAGAACTTGGGAGGCGTGGCCAAGAGATGCTATCTAGGGAACGGTCAGATAAGAGAGGGCATAGTTCACAGCTGCATAAGGGGTGGAGAAAGAGGCTCTGAAGGGACCCTGCCTAGTTTCTCAGAAAAGGAGATGGCAGGAGAATTGTACATAATTGTACTTTCAGACCTGCAAGGTTATGTTAAGGTAGATTTACAATGAAACTCAGAGAGCTCTAAGGACTCCACAGTTGTCGTTGTCGTCCTCCTCCCACAAACCCCACTCCCTCCTAGCACTGATGACGTTACCTAGTTAGGTCATGAAACGTCTGCAAGAAAACAAGCAAGCTCAGAGAGCTCCAAGGACCCCACAGTCCTCCTCCTCTTCCTCCCCCTCCTCCCATCCACAAACCCCCTCCCTCCTAGCACTGATGATGTTACCTAGTTGGGTCATGAAACCTGTCCAAGAAAACGAGCAGGTTCAGAGAGCACCCAGGACCCCTCAAGAGAGGGCTTCTCCCACCTGGAGAACCAGCCCTAAATCTTCCTGCTTTGGGCCAGGTGCTGTCAGGCTCATGACCAGTGCTACTCTCAAGCCAAGAAGCATCCTGCATGCAGGTTCCTCCTGGACAATCCGTACACCAAGACCTACTCCTACACCTGTTCTGGAGGCATCCTCACCTGCAAAGGTAAATATCACAAACCCCAACCTGTCTTTCAAAGACAGGTAATCCTTGAATTTCAACTATGCTGCTTAGTGACCCTTCGCCATTACAACGGCACTGAAAAAAAAGTGACTAATGACCAATCTTCTCGTGTCGGTGCTTATCACCTCATGTTCACCTGTTCACGCTTCGGTTGCTTGGCAACCGGAATGCATTTACGACGGTTGCAGAGTCCCCAGCTCAGGTGGTCACCCCAAGGTTCACAATTTTCTCCTTCCCTCCAGACGACAAAGATGAGTGCGCAGCCTTTATTTGCAACTGCGACCGCTCGGCCGCCATCTGCTTCGCCGGGGCCCCTTACAACAAGGAGTACAAGAAATTGGATACCAGCAAGTATTGCAAATAACGTTTGAGAGACTTCAACGCAAGGCCACTACTCACGTGCGCGCGCGGGAATTCTCCGGACGGGCCTCGCGTGGCTGCCTGTGAAACAGAAAAGACAGACGCTGCACCAGCGCAAACATTTTTATTTAAAACAAGCAAACAAAGACAAAGGAATCATTTCCTGAACAATAAAGTGAGGCACTGATGTCCTTTTAGGTTTTCTGTTATGTGTTCTTTATTTATGGGAAGAAAAGCCCAGCATGGAGGTCATGACTTTGCCATATTACTGCATTTTTGCCCAGGGCCTCTCAACTTCAGACTTGCAGTGTGTGTGTTTGTGTGTGTGTGTGTGTGTGTGAGAGAGAGAGAGAGAGAGAACAGGGAAAACAGGTGCCCCTTCGCCCAACTAACTTCCCCCTTTAAAGGATGAAAAAATTAGCTCCTTCCATGTCGGGCGTTGGGAACTAAAAGAATCCTGGTTATGAAGTGCCCCAGTGACGATCACAGGACACAGTGATGGTTGTAAACGCCAGAATGAGTCACCAACCTTGTTTTTCACGTCGTCGTAAATTCCAGGGGTTGCTAAACAAGACAATTGGTAAGCAAGGCCCATAGTCCTCATCTTACAACAGCTCATTTAGTGACCGTTCCAAGTTACGACAGCCCTGAAAAAAATGACATGACTGTTTTCACAACGATGACCGTTCACACATGTGATCAAAATTCAGACGCTTGCCCACTGGCTCAGACTTAGGCCATGTCCCAGAGTCATGTGATCCCCTTGGGCGACTTTCTGACAGGCAAAGCCAATGGGGAAGCCAGATTCACTTAACAACTGCAGCGATTCCCTTCACAACTATGGCAAAAAAATAATAATCGGGGCAAAACTTAGGAGTTGAATTCTGGGAGCCGAAGTCCACGGGTCTTAAAGTTGCCAAGGTTGGGCACCTCTGCTTTAGATGTTGGCAATCTGATTTCATGGAGGGAAGGTGTGTGACGAAGCAGGGATCAGCCCAACACCCACTATTTGGAGCCAGGTTGCAGCCATTTTGATATTGTTGGAGACCAGTCTTGGAAAGACGCAATTGGTTCTTCATTTCTTGATGTCACAATTCCTCTCCGGAGCAGCTGTGGGCCAAGAGGATGGAAGGTTTCTCTCCCAGAGCTACTCCTGCCCAGAGGCCAAACTACATCTTCTTTCCTGAAAAAGATCAGCTCTTTGGCTACTCCAGACTTGGGAGAAGAAGCCCGTTGCCAGCAAAGTCGCCTCCGTAATTAAGTACATGCTTCCAAAGACTCGTGGCCACCAGAATAAAATCTCGGTGGGAATTCCGCTGAGACAAATGTATCTGGATCTGGTTCTTTGGCTCAGGACATCCCCAGCCAAAAATGTCCCAATCTCTCAGCCATCCAAAACGCCAGCTGTCTGTAACCTGGTACCCTTCAGATGGATTGGACATCCATTCCCAGGGTCTCCAGTGAATTTGGGAAGCATAAGTTGAGAACATTTTGAGATGCTGGCTGGCTGAGATTTCAGACTTAAGGTTGAGCCTAGGGTAACCTGCAGATTTGCTGGCCTGGAGTTTAGAGTTTGTGTGAACCCATCTGGGGCTCTTAGTTTAGGTTTGGCTGAAGCCAGGCCATCAGAAAATTCTGCAATCGCTTACTTAGTTAGCAATTATTATGACGAACAATTATAACGAAACACGGTCACTTTTAATGGGAATGTTTGTATGTAATCAACATGTACATAAGCTGTCTATATTTATTATGTACGATTATAAAAACTAGGTATACCTGTGTGTGTGTTTTTTACTTTTCCTTAATTGGTTTAATAAATAAACAGCAAGTAATGCTAATTAATTAGATTTAGAACACATGTACTGTTTTGTAATTAACTGGGTAGATGTGAGGAAAGAAACCGCTGTACAGAATTGGGGTGATGGACACAAGCCTTTTTCTCAGCTTCCCATGTTTTTCTCCCCTTTCCAGTCCAACAATTGCAGTTACCCCCAAAATAATGTGGAGACGCTTTAATCCATGGGGGTCCCACCTTTTGGCTTGCCTGAGTGTCCTTAAGAGGAATCGTCTTGGGAGGCGTATAAAATATATAATATAGTTAATGTATATAAATATCGCTAGAAACCACATATGGGTAATCCTTGGCTCACAACCCTTTATTTAGTGACTGTTAGAAGCTACAATGGCATTGAAAAAAGGGACTTAGGACCGTTTTTCACACTTAGGACCATTGCAGCATTCCCGTGATCACATGGCCAAAATTTGGATGCCTGGCAACTGACTCATATTTACGACGGTTGCAGTGTCCCAAGGTCATGTGATCCCCTTTTGCGACAAAAGTCAATGGAAAAGCCAGATTCTCTTAACAACCCAGTGGCTAATTTAACAAGGGCAGTGATTCTCTTAACAAGAAAGATGGCGCAAAACTCACTTCACAAATATCTCACTTAGCGACGGAAAATGTTGGGCTCCACGGTGGTCGTAAGTCAAGGGCTACTTGTCATGTTACGGGTATAGGACGGGGCAGCCTTACGAGCTGTCCAGGGCCACGTGTGGCCCACGGACCCACGGGACGAACACGCCAGCTCTAATCCGTGGCTTCCTTCTTCTGAGCAGGACAAAGATGGAGATGCTCAATGAATTTGACAACGAGTCCCCGCTCTACGTCTCCTTCTGCAGGCGGATCTCTCCGGAGGATTTTGAGAGCCAGTCGCTGACCTACACCCAGAAAGCTCTGCGGGAGCTTTACGCCCACATGGAACAAAATCCAGGCCTCTGTGCAGCGATTGTGCAGAAGCGGAAGCAGCTGGACAGCGAGGATGCTGGGTTGGTGTCCTACGTGAAGGTACGATGTAGGTTTTATCGGAAAGTGTTAGACAGGAAGAGGTGGTCCTTGGCTTAACGACCGTTCATTTAGGGGCCGTCCGAATTTGCAGCGGCACTGAAAAAAGCAACTTATGATCGTTTTTCACACTTGTGACCGTTGCAGCGTCCCCGTGGTCATGGGATCAAAATTCAGACGCTTGGCAACCGACTCATATTTATGACGGTTGCAGTGTCCCAGGATCACTTTTGTGACCTTCTGACAAGCAAAGTCAAGGGGGAAAGGAGAAGGGGGAAGGAGGAGAAGGAGGAGGAGAAGGATGAAACATTCAGAAATGAGATGAGGGTTCTAATTTCAACCCATATTCTAGATCAGGGATGATCCAACCTTGGCCACTTGGAGACTTGTGGACTTCAACTCCCAGAATTCCTCAGCCAGCCCAGCTAGCATGGGAGTTGAAGTCCACAAGTCTCCAAGTGGCCAAGGTTGGACACCTGTGTCCTAGATGGGGTTCCAGGTGCTCCTCTGCTTCCTGCCCTCCTCACGTTTTCCTGGGCCATTTTCCTCCCAGAGACATAGATCCACCGTTGACGTGCTAGAGAGCCTACCCTGATTGGCGTTGTTTTGGTACAGCCAAAGTCGCCGGTGGCGAAGGGATGATAGACAACAAGCTCTTCTCTTTGTCAGGCCAAGTTTTCTTCCTTGTTTCGCCCCGAGGATCCCCTGAAAATGGATGACATCCGGAAGGAGGTCAAGCGACTGAAACGGGAGATGCAGAAGGTGAATAACTATGCTTTGGGTAAGTCTGAGATTGGAGGTCTCTGGAGGGCTGGAGATTTATGCTGCCCAAAAACATCTCCCACTGAGTGGCCTCCCTTCCTTCCACAGCTGCCAAAAAAGCACCCTACTTGACCCCGGAGAGAAGAACAAGGAAGAGTCTTGCTTTGGGAACCTTCCACCCCAGCCAAACCAAACTTGGGGAGCCGGTGGTCCCAACCATGCCCAAAATCTTTGGACCATTCCCAAGCCAGGTCTGTATTCCTAATTCAGATGGCCCTCTTTGATCCTCGAATGATCAGGCCCTGTGTTTACAGGAAGTCCTCGGCTTACAACCATTCCTAAAGCTATGATCACAACAGATCCCGCGTGGAAAATAATTTTAAATAGGGAATATCCTGGATTTCTCAGGAATGCTCACTAGGTTCTGTTTCCTCTTCTAGGGACACAACTAACAGCCCAACCGGATCCTTGCCGAATGCCAACCAAGCTTGTTCTCCTACTATCAACCCTGCAGTGTTGGCTCAGCCGAGGAGCTTTAAAGAAGATTGTAAAGTAAACCACAACCCGGACCTTGATTCTCGCTCAACAGGATCCTGAACCTCTCTTGGCAGAGGGGAAGATACTAAGCAAATGAAAGTTCTGTGCACCATAGGTAGCCGGGTGGCGACTGTGATGATTGTGACTGTGATTATAGGTGACTATGTTGTGCGACTATGTTGTGCCTCTGAGCACGAGCAGCAAGGGAAGCCGAAAAGACAGGTCCGCTCTGTATGTTTTGAATGCAAATCGCACACCCCCACACCTTGAGTTTAACAGAACAACAGAACAGAATAAGAGAATAACAAGAGTTGGAAGGGACATTAGAGGTCTTCTAGTCCAACCCCCTGTTCAAGCAGGAGACCCTGTGCCATTCCAGACAAGTGATTGTCCGGTCTTTTCTTGAAAGTATCATGCATACAATGCCAGAGAAATCTAGATACAATGCAGTCATGGCAGCCTAAATTGCTAGCTCATTGTGTGGTGCATAGGGTGGCTATGCTGGCTGGGGAATTCTGGGAGTTGAAGTCCACCCAATCAATCAATTAATCAATCAGAATAGAGCTGGAAGGGACCTTAGAGGTCTTCTAGTCCAACCCCCTGCTCAAGCAGGAGACCCTGTACAATTTGAGACAAGTGGCTGTCCAGTCTCTTCTTAAAAACCTCCAGTGATGGAGCACCCACAGCTTCTGGAAGCAAGTCGTTCCGCTGATTAACTGTCAGGAAATTCCTTACTTCTATGTTGTATCTCTAACAAACTTGCAGCCATTACTTCTTGTCCTGCCTTCCGGTGCTTTGGAAAATAAGTTAACCCCCTCTTCTTTGTGGCAGCCCCTCAAATATTGAAATACTGCTATTATGTCCCTCCCCCCCCCCGTCCTTTTTCTCTAGACTGGCCTTACCCAAGTCCTGCAACCGTTCTTCTTATCTTTTAGTCTCCAGGCCTATTTGCTCTTCTCTGCCCTTTTTCCAAAGCCATCTTCAAAGTTGGCTTTTAAAGGTTGGGAATCACTTGGTTGCACAGGTCGGAAAGATCAGGAGATCTTGCTGAAATTTCAGAATTGATTGAATGCATGCTTAAAACGCCTGGCTCGCTTGAAAGGGAGCATATTACAAAGTAAAATAGATTTTAAAAAAAGCAGAACATGCCCTGCAGGCTTTGAAGGCGCCCAAGCAGCCAAGTTGAACAATCGCGCTCCACCCAAGCAACCACCGGAGCGCGTTTCCCGTTTGCGACCACTAGGGGCGGAAGAGAGCCGACGCTACGCTCTAGCCGCTCGCCGGGAATCCCGCTGGTTCTATTTTCTGCCACTACGGGTTGGAAGAGAGCCGACGCGACGCTCTAGCCGCTCGCCGGGAATTCCCACTGGGGAAATCTACTTCCGGCTGGGCCCTTCCGGTCGGGGCTACGGAAGGCTTTTCCGAGCGGCAACGGCGGAGAGACCGAGCTTCGGCGACCGGGGAGCATCGGCTGGAGGTGGGGCCGCCTTCTCCGGGTGGAGAGGCCGCCGGAGCCGGGTTGACTCGCGTGGAGATGCGCTGGGATCGGGGTCCTCTGACCATGTGCAGAGGGCGGGGGGGGGACAGTGTGGGAGGGTTTGTATCACCATAAAGGGCGAACCCCTGCGAGATCGACCATCTCACCTTGATTAATCGGGTCCATTTTGATGATCAGCCTCATAGACAAAACTAGTGAAGGTGCTGGGCGAAAAACCAGGAGGCTGGGAGTTCTAGTCCCGCCTTAGGCATGAAAGCCGGCTGGGTGACTTTGTGTCAATCACCAGGAGGCTGGGAGTTCTAGTCATGTCTTAGGGATGAAAGCCAGCTGGGTGACTTTGGACCAATCACCAGGAGGCTGAGAGTTCTAGTCCCGCCTTAGGCATGAAAGCCAGCTGGGTGACTTTGTGTCAATCACCAGGAGGCTGTGAGTTCTAGTCATGTCTTAGGGATGAAAGCCAATTGAGTCAGTCTGGACGGATCTCTCTGTCAAGCCAGCCCACCCCACAGGGTTGTTGTGGGAAAAGGGATATTAGGCATGTTGCCTGGCTGGAGTTGATGTATGTATTTAAAAAACCTGGGATAACATTGTATAAAAGTACTTCAGATTTACGTACCTTGAAAGAATGGTGGGTGAAGATGCCAGAGCTGTCAAAATTAACTTGCTTGATTAGGAAAGGATCAGCAGCTACATTTAGTGACTGGAAATCCCTTTATGGACTTTGAGCTGGAAAAAAAAAGAGAGAGAAATGAACTTGTGAGTTATGAGTTTGGAGATTAGAAAGAAGACCTTACGGAAGGAAGGAAATTACGATGTCACTTTAAAGAGAAAGGGCAAGAAAACCTTTACAATCCTTGCTTTCCTTTTTCCTTTTATATTTCTGTTTTCTTTTTTTCACAATTGTTATTATTTTTATTTTATTTATGATTTTTTTACTTCTATAAAAAGTTTGAAACAAAAAAGAGGGGTTAAGAAAAATTGATTGACTGCTCCTCCACCTACCGGTTCTGACTTTCTTCCTCTTTCCCAGGAAAGCCGAAGGAAATGGCCTCCGAGTCCAACAAGAAGCGGAAGCCGAAGGTGATTCGCACGGATGGCGGTCCACAAGAAGGCAAGCGGAGCAGAGCGGACGTTGATCAGGTAAAGTCTGCAGGAGTCCTCGCAAAACCTGGGAGACGGTTTTTTGTGCAGAAATCTGCAGTTTCACTGATTAATATGTTCTCACTGTCAGGAAATCCCTCGTTAGTTCTAGGTTGCTTCTCTCCTTCGTTAGTTTCCATCCGTTGCTTCTTGTCCTGCCTTCAGGCGTTTTGGAAAATAGGTTGACCCCCCCTTTTCTTTGTGGCAGCCTCTCACATATTGGAAGACTGCTATCAGATCACCCCTAGTCCTTCTTTTCATTAAAAGTTCATTAAATTCAGCAGCCCTGCTTTGTTCTTCTCTGTAGGATGCCAAGTACTACAGCGAAGAGGCTGAGGTGGATCTGCGGGACCCCAACCGGGATTATGAACTTTACAAACAGACCTGCCAGGATCTTCAGAAGCTGATGGCAGAGATCCAGGAACTGAAGAGTAAAGGCCACAAAGACAGTGTAAGTCACCTGGGGTGATCAAACAACTCTCTTGGGGGAAATACAGGTAGTCCTCGACTTAACGACCGGCAACCGAGCCAAAAACTTAGGTTAATAAGTGAGTTTTGCCCCATTTTACAACTTGCCACAGTTGTTAGATCTGGTAAATCAACGCCCTCGTCTGTTTTTCAGGCTGCCGAGATAGAAGAGCGACGGGTCCAGAGTTGCGTCCACTTCATGACTCTGAAGAAGCTCAACCGTTTGGCTCATATTCGGCTGAAGAAGGGAAGGGACCAGACCCACGAGGTGCGGCCGAGGCTAAAGATGAGAAAATACAGGGAAGGGTGGAATAACTGAGCCAGGCTGGGGGGATTTGCAATGGCTTATTGTGTGAATTTCGTTAACACTAAATTTGTTCCTGCAGACCCACAGATAGTCCTTGACTGACAGCTCTTCAGCAATGACTGGGAGGGTTGGAAAGGCAGGGTTTATATCCCTTGCAGAAAGCTGGTCATTTGCCTTCTTTCAGAGAGTTGTTGAGGCTGCTTGGTGTCACCGGAGTAGTGCAAATGGGTGTGGAGCATTCTTGGAACCGCTGAAAGGCCTGTGTTGTAGACTGGGGATAGATGATGTCGTATCCCGCCCCCTCTGTTGAAAGAGGGCTGTTCAATTTTGACCTAGAGGACCTCTTTGACCCCTCTTTCAAATCAGCGGTCCTCTCTGTCCCAAAATGTGGACTTTGCGGTCTTCGCAACTTTGGCCTCTTTTTTTCTTGTGGATACAGGCAAAACTGAAAGTGGATGCTTATCACCTCCAGCTCCAAAATTTACTCTATGAAGTGATGCATCTGCAGAAGGAGATCACAAAGTGTCTGGAGTTCAAGTAAGTTCATTGTGTGTGTGGGGAAATATAACAGCTGGCAACGGGGTGGACATTTAAAATTTTACTTGGGAGAAACTGAACAGGTTGGAAAAAGAGCTGACTTTTCGTCCATCTGAACAAAACTGGAATTTATGGAGATTCTCAGTCATCCAGGTCATAGTTATCCTAAAGATGCTTTTTCAAGAGGCAACTAAACTTTCTTGTTTTTCTTAGAAGACGTTTCACTTCTCATCCCAGAAGCTTCTTCAGCTCTGACTGGATGGTGGGGAATGGAAGGATTTATACTCCTTGCAGACCGCTGGTCATTTGTCTTCTTTTAGAGAGTCGTTGAGGCCACCTGGAGGCTTACCTGTGTCCTCAGGGTCACCTGAGTGGTGCAAATGAGCGTGGCTGCAGGATGTTTTCCTGCAGGACACACACAAACCTCCAAGTGGCCTGTGCTTCACAATCTTGGGAAATTTAAGATTTGCTTCCTCAGCCAGCCATGGGGAATTCTGGGAGTTGAAGTCCACACATCTTAAACTTTCTCAAAGTTGGGCAGCGCTGTTTTAACCCCTTTCTGTCTCGCGAGTGAGAGGGAGAATTTTTAAAGCCAGCCATCTCCTTTCTGTCCCTTTGCGCAGATCCAAGCACGAAGAGATTGAACTGGTGAGCGTGGACGAGTTTTATAAAGAAGCCCCTCCAGAAATCAGCAAATCGGATGTGACGCTCCACGACCCACACGAGCAGACCCTCTCCCGCCTCAACTGGGAACTGGAGCAGCGCATACGGTGAGTAGGGCAGCCTTCAGCAACAAGGAGGAAAGCCTTTTCTGTGGTGGCTCCCATCCTCCGGAACATTGTGCTCCTGACCTGGTGTGTGTCAATCTGGAGTGTGTGTCACCAAACCTTGAAGATTATTTTTATAATATTCCTACACCTCTTTTGTGCAGGCTGGCAGAGAAGTATAAAGAAAGTTTAGCCAACAAAGAGAAGATTCTTAAAGAGATAGAAGTGAAGAAAGAATATCTGAGCAATCTCCAGCCTCGGCTTAACAGCATCATGCAGGTATGTTCCTTTAACAGATGTCTCACAATTGGGGCTCAATTGTAAGTCCGGGACTACCTGTATAAAATAGCGAATTGCCCTATCACGGCCTCCGTTTTCACTTTTTCCAACCACTTCCTGCTGATCCAAGCTGACTTTTTTGCCCTTCCTGTTTCCTCCCAGGCCTCTCTTCCTGTCCAGGAATACTTCGCCATGCCTTTCGACCAAGTTCACAAGCAATACGAAACAGCCAGGCATCTCCCACCCCCGCTCTACGTCCTCTTTGTCCAAGCGAGCGCCTACGGCCAGGCCTGTGGTGAGTAGCGCGGAGTTGCCCAGCTTTGAAGGTCCCTCCCTGAAGGAGAGCAGGATCTGATCCCTTCTCCCAGCTCTGGCTGAAGGCCCAAACTGACATGGAGATGCACCAACCACGTGGGGCTGCCTGGCTGAATTCCATTGCTTCTCCTGGATTCGTGGGCTGGATGTGTGCAGCTTGCTAGAGTAGGGCAGAAATGGGATGACTTAGGGGGTTCGGTTCCTGAATTCACCCAGGACACGTTTTTCCAGAGCTTTTGGTCTTGAAAAGTTGATGTTCCTTCCCAGTTGGAACACAGCGTGGTCCTTGACTTGACGCCAATCCTTTAACAACCATTCACGGGGCTCCTTTTAACCCAGATTCGTGACTATGGAGATTCTCCGTCATCCAGATCACGGTTGACCCAAAAGTGCTATTTCAAGGGGCAACTGGACTTCCTTGTTTTTCCTTGAAGACGTTTCGCTTCTCATCCCAGAAGCTTCTTCTCTTCTCTGACTGGATGGTGGGGGGTGGAAGGATTTATATTCCTGGCAGACCGCTGGTCACTTGCCTTCTTTTAGAGAGTGGTTGAGGCCACTTCTTCATCAGAGCGTTCTGATCTTCATATACACCTGAGAATTCTGAATTAACTCCGTGCGCACAATAATACAGATTGGATAACATTATTTGGACTTGCATCTTAAGCTGCTGATGCAAACAGAGCTTTAGGGATAGTTCCAGTGGCCCAGTGAGAGACATTGACCAGCCTGGGCTAGAACAGGCCTACCCACTGCCAAATTGTCTCCTGTTTTAGAAGGTGGACATACTTAGGTAAATGTTCAGGGTCTTGGCAAGAAAGTGAAATGAAGGTGTGTTTTTCTCTCCCACAGATAAGAAGCTGGCTGTGGCTATTGAAGGAAACGTAGAGGAAGCAAGAGCTCTTTGCAAACCTCCGGAAGACTCCCAGGGTGAGATTCTGTTGCTGGTTCTAAGGCTATTAGCAGAGGATTAGTTACTACATGTACATTTAGTGACTGTTCAAAGTTGCAACAACTTTGAAAAAAGTGACCTAGGACCATTTTTCACACTTATGGCCGTTGCAGCATCCCCACAGTCACGTGATCAAAATTCAGACGCGTGGCGGCTGACTCGTATTTATGAAGGTAGATTCTATTCTATTTTATTCTATTCTTTCCTTGCAGGATGAGTGGCAAACCACGCGGCTTTTGATATGTAGAAGCTGCAATTTTTTTTCTGTTCTAATGTTTGTTTGTTTGTTTTGTATTCCCAGATGACGAGAGTGATTCCGACGTGGAGGAGGAGCAGACTACGGTGAGGTTTGGAGATTGCTGGGAGCAAAGCAGAGAGTAGAAGGGTTGCAAAAACCTCCCTTTTCCTGTTCTGGGTGTCTTACAACCATTTCTGTTGCTAATTGGGGAGGGTGGGAATTAAGCACACTTTGGTTTCCCCCCCCCCCCCGCTGCAGAAACGTCGCCGACCAACTTTGGGGGTGCAGCTGGATGACAAACGGAAAGAGATGCTGAAGAGGCACCCTCTGTCTGTCACCATCAACTTGAAGTGTAAAGGTAGGGAAAAACAAGGGATTTATTGGGTTTTATTTCCAGTTTCTAGCCCCAATCTGGGAGTGGAGTTGAGTTTTGTTGGGCTGAATTGAGTTAGGTTGAGTTGAATTGAGAAGATGAGTTAAATTGGGTTGAGTTGGGTTGACTTAAGTTGGGTTGAGTTGAGTTGAGTTAAAGTGAGGATGTGTGCTGGGATTCTGCTCTGGACAAAATGCAGTCTGCACATATACACACGCACACACCTACCTTTTCTGTCCTTGGAAGAATGACTTTGGCTGTGTCCTTGCAGATGGCAGCTTGCTGCTCCTCACCTTCTACTATTTGATGAACCTCAACGTCCTGACCGTCAAGGCCAAGGTGACAGCAGCCACCGAGATGACCCTGCCCATCAGTGCTGGGTGAGCTGTTGCTGGGGATCTGCTGAGAAACTCAAATGGACTAAAATACAAAAAGGGAGGAGATAGCAGGATAGTTGTTAAATGGCTCCATTGCGGTCGTAAGTAGGGGACTACCTGTAATTAAACATGGCCATGTCTCTAGGGCTTCAATCTATGTCAGCTTGAGCTCGGGGGGAGCTTGCCTCCAGAAACCGTGGGTGCTCCATCACTGGAGGTTTTTAAGAAGAGGCTAGACAGTCACTTGTCTGAGATGGCATAGGTTCTCCTGCTTGAGCAGGGGGCTGGACTAGAAGACCTCCAAGGTCCCTCCCAGCTCTATTCTATTCTATTTTCTGTTCTATTCTATATTCTATATTCTGTTCTATTCTATTCTGTATTTCTACTATATTCTATATTCTATTCTATTCTAGTCCCTATTCTAGTCTCTATTCTATTCTATATTCTGGACTGAAGGCCACAAGGGTGACATGTTTCTTTTCCTCTCCCCCCCCCAGGGACCTGCTGTGCCCTGATTCTCTTCTGAGCTGCCTCTATCCTGGGGACCACGGAAAGAGAACCCCAAACCCTGCCAATCAGTTCCAGTTTGACAAAGTGGGGTAAGCTGGAGGGAGGGAGGGGGGGGAGCAGTCATCACCCCAATGGGACGGGGAGCCCTTGATTTTACAGCCGTTTGTTCGGCAACCGTTCAAACAGCACTGTTAAAAATGAATTACGACCGTGTTTCACGCTTACGACCCTCGCCGCACCCCCATCAAAATTCAGGTGCTTGGCAACCGGCTCACATTTATGACGGTTGGCGTGTCAGTGTGTGTGTGTGTGTGTCACGTGATCCCCTTTTGCGACCTTCTGACAAGCAAAAGTCAAGAGGGAAGCCCGATTGACATAACAAGCGGGTGACTCGCTTAAGAACCGCAGCGATTTGTTTAACAACCGTGGCAGGAAAGGTCCTGAAAAACAATATCTCAGGGACGCCCCTGCCTTGCAATCCTCTATTTGCCACTTCTTTGTCCTTATCGCTGCTGCTTCTCTCACCTTTCCAGCATCCTGACCCTGAACGACTACGTGGCTGAACTGGGCCACCCGTACGTGTGGGTGCAGAAATTGGGGGGCTTGCACTTCCCCAAGGACCAGCCCCAGGTAGGTCGAGCACGGAAGCCTCCCGAAAGCTCTTTTCCAAACTTCAGTGACCTCCCTTTTTAAACCCCCACGAGGCCAACAAAAGTGATGATGTGTGTGTGTGTGTATTGTGTGCGTGTGTGTGCGTACGTGCATGCCAAAGTGAGGGAGGTGAAATTCTTTTAGAGGAGCTAATACTCCTTCCTCCTCCTACTTTCCCCACAACAGTAACCCTGTGAGGTGGGTTGGGAGAAAGGGACTGCCCAAAGTCAGCCAGCCAGCTTTCATAAGTAAGGCAGGACTAGAACTCACCGTCTCCTGCTTTCTAGATCGGAACCTTAACCTTTTAAACTGGCTCTCCAGCTGCTGTGCTTAATGATCTTACTTCCGCTTTGCTTTACAGACCCGCAAAGGTCACACAAAGGGGGATTGCTCGTAAAGTTACTTTTTCATCCCAGCTACGACTGCAAACAGTCACTAAACAAGGCCGTTCCTAAAAGAAGACTGCCTTACAAAGGTGTTTTGTCTTCTTTACAGAATCCTGTGATCGCCGATAACTCACTGAGTGCTAGCCACATGGAGAGGACCATGAAATTGCTCAAAACGAGGTTGGAGTCCCGCCTTGCCCTTCACAAGCAATTTGCTTCCCTTGGTAAGTCTTTGCCACCCTCCCCTTCCCCTACGGGCGCAGAAAGAAAAAAACCCTCCGTTGTGGGTAGCGTCAAACCTTTCCACTTCTGAGCATGTAGTAACCTCGCGGCGGTTATATCATAGTGGCCTGGGGCCAAGAGGGACCGTGGAGGTCTTCTCATCCAGACCTTCTACTCAAGGGACGAGACCTTATGGCCTCCTGGACAAATGGCTGGCTGGGGAATTCTGGGAGTCGAAGTCCACAAGTCTTAAAGTGGCCACGGTTGGAGACCCCTGTCGTAGGTTAAGAACGTGGTGGTCCTCAGAGGCCAAAGAAGAGAGCTTATGTTTGGTCTGTGGCAAGGAACGTCTTCCATGGGGGGTCACAAGTCTCCTTTCCTGTTGCCTCCAGAACATGGCATTCTGCCCGTCTCCCCTGAGTCTCAGCACCTCTTTCCCGCCAAGATTGTGTCCCATTTGGTGAAGTGGGTGTCCCTGACGTACGAGGATTACTTGGTAAGTAGCCTCACGTAGAAGAAGCCTTTTCTTCGGGGTAAAAATATACAGATAGTCCTCGACTTAAACTGAGAAAAAAAAAATTTCACACAACGGTTGCAGCATCAAATCAAAATTTGGACCCTTGGCAACCGACTCATAGTTACGACGGTTGCGGCTTCACAGCATCCCCTTTTGCGACCTCCTAAGCAAGCAAAGTCAATAGGGAAGCCCTTGAACAACGGGCTGACTGACTTAACCAACTGCAGTGATTCCTTTAAGAAGATTACTAGCAAGTTGCACGCCTCTCTTGGGGCCTCTCCCATCATCCCCTGCGGCCCACGGGAATGGACCCTGTTCCCAGTGCCCGATTGGGTGGGTCCTTGGGAAGGGGAGGTGCTGTGAAACCGGATTTGAAGAAGTATGGTAACTTCCGCCAGAGCAGATCAGGGGGAGACGAGTGGCACCCTCCCTTTGTGCGTCTAGAAGCATTTCTGCCTTTCCTGACTAGGAGCTGCCTTACACGAAAGACGTGGCTGGGGCCGATTTGGCTGAAGATACCCACCTGTATTACTTGGCACTGATAGAAAGAGGCACTGGTGAGCTGGGCTCTTTTTTCCCCTCGCTTCCTCTCCCTCCACCAGGAGGTTGAGAAGACGCCTGGTGATTGTTTACTGGGGGGAGAAAAAATGGGATGTTTCATCCCAACCTCGAGATGCTCACTGGATGATTCGGAGCCGGTCCCCTCTTTCCTCGGCCCTGCCCGCCTCACAGGGCTGTTGTGGGGATAAAACTGGACAAGGTACCATCTACAGAGCTCCTTGACTGGGGTAGAAACCAAGGGATCCGTGGCATTAAGGCCTGTGAAGAGCAGCCCTGGGAAACAGAGGCTTTTGCCAGCTCTCTGAAGAGGGGGCCGAACCGAGATCCTTGCTGTGGTTTTATGGAGTTGCTGGAGAGGGGGGGCTGGGGAGGACGACCTCCCTTAAAAGCCACTTCCAAACTCGCAGCCCCCCAAATTTCATTTTCGCTGGCTTCAGTGACGGCACCAGCAAGGGTCTCCTTCAAGCTTTCCGGGTTTCTACTGGAAACAGTGGTTGCGTAGCTGTAGTTGCGTGTAAAAAGGGGTATCCTTGCTCAACGGGCTTCTTGCTTCCATCTCGGCCGTAGCCAAACTCCAGGTAGCCGTGGTGCTGAACCCCGGATACTCCTCCATCCCCCCCATCTTCAGCCTGTGCTTGAACTGGAAAGGGGAGAAGACCAACACTAACGATGACAACATTCGGGTAGGTCCGAGACAGGGGAACGGGGCTGGGGGATTCTGGGAGTTGAAGTCCACACATCTTAAAAAGTTGCCTAGGTTGACAAACGCTGATCTGGAAGGTCAAAGGTTTGGCTTTTCAGCCTCTTCCCCTGTGCCCCCCCTCCCCTTTGCTTTTAAGGCCATGGAGAGTGAGGTCAACGTCTGTTACAAGGAACTCAGCGGCCCCAAGCCGGGCTATCAACTCCTCACCAACCAGTTGCAACGCCTTTGTGTTGTCTTGGATGTGTACCTGGAGACCGAGACGCACGACAACAGCGTGGAAGGACCCAAGGAATTTCCCCAGGAGAAGATGTGCCTGCGCCTGGCCAGGTAAGACGGCTCGGGGCCATGGAGATCTGGCAGAACGGAACGGGGACAACTCACCCTGACCAACTCGCCCTGGCCGTCTCATCATGGGAGAATTCAACACAGGATGAAATTTGTGATTTTACAAGTTTAGCTTCTTAAATCTATGGGAGTGATGGGGGGGTGGTTGAGAGTATTTGCTCCCTGGGTCTTGTGACCCTCCCTTTAAAATCTCCCTTCTTCCATAGGGGTCCCAGCCGGTTGAAGCCCTTCAAATACAACCACCCTCAAGGCTTCTTCAGCCATCGCTGAGCCCACTAGGCCTCACTTCCTTAAGCGAACGGATTTATTTTGGATCTGGAGCTGGTGCATTTGGGATGGCATTTCAGCTTTGTTCCTGCTGAAGCCGCGCTGGAGAAGACAGCCAGGCAGCTGCAACCGTTCCTTCATCTCTCGTGAAAGTCATTTTGAAGGAATTAAAATTAAATAAAAGATGCATTTGAAATCTTGCCTGTTAAATCTTTAAGTAAGCCGGGACGGGCAGATGAGGCCTCCCCAGGACTTGCAGCGTGCAGAGTTGCAGATTCTGCTCCAAATTTGCCATCACCTCTTCCAAGAGAATATATTGGAATAGCAAGGGGGGGGTGTGTGAGACTGGGGGGGGGGGAGAAACTGGCTGTCTCCATCCCCACCTTCAAGGTGTGTGTGTGTGTATGTGTGTGTGCTTTTCTGTTAAGTCAGCCACAGGAAGGAGAGGAGTCCAGGCTGCATTGCAGTTTCTCTGAACTGACTATTTTTAGCCTGCGTCTCGCTTTAGTTCAGCTTCTGCAGGGGGTGGGTGGGTGGGTGGCGAAGCTGAGGAGAAGAGGCTGGAGGGAGCAGATCTGCCAAACCACTTTGGGGGGGGGGCTGGTCTACCCCTCTGCCTCTGGTCAGCAGAAAGTGGGGAAGCCTTGAATACTAAAAGGGAAAGTCAGTCAGTTTGGGGGGATAAAAGATTCTTACGTAGCAAGAGGCTCAGTTAAATCCTCCTGGAGACCGGTGTGTCGTTTTTTGTGTGGCTTCCAGAGTTGTGGATTCTCCCATCGCTGGAGGTTTTCGGGAAGAGACTGGACAGCCATTGGTCCGGGATGGTAAGGTATCCTTCCTTGGGCAAAGGAAGGGGCTGGACTAAATGACCTCCAAAGTCCCTTTCAATCCTGTTACTCTGTTGTTAGAATCTAAAGATAGGTTTGAACCAAATTGAGGGACCGTTACAGAGAAGACGGGTTTGGCTTGTTCTCCAAAGCACTTGAGGGAACGGCGAGAAGTAAAGTGGGTGGGTGGGTTATAAGTCAAGGACTTCCTATAGACCGGACTGATGTTATCTTTGGCTCCTCTATAAATGACTGAGATTTTAAGTATTTATTTTGAACTGAGGAATCCGACTCTCCTCGTGTCTGCAGCTGGGGCAAGGGCTAATTTCTAAGATTCGGGCTCTGCAAGGGCTTTTCTGCCGCAAATAATTTGCTCCTTCCACCCGTGTGAGCATCTAATGAAACCTTGTCCCTTTGTGCGTTATTCCTGCTCAGCACTCTCTAAACGTCCACGTCTGCGCCCCAAACAAGAAGACTAGAGACAGGGAATCAATTTATTGTAAGCAATTTTTTTTAATTGGCGTCTTATTGCACAGAAGCAACCGGAGGTGAAGGTTTTGACATGGTGTAATGCACTTTTTAATCTCTGTGTGTGTGCGTGTCTGTGAATATGCCCCCGCACAGGGGATTGCTCATGTCAAGAGGTGTTCGACGCTACAAAACTACATCGGTTTTTCCCTCCTAATGAGGCTTGGGGGGGGGGGTCCCTGCTCTGCCACAAAGGAGCCGGAGAGTTTGAGTGAGGGGATTTTAAACGATCCTCCACCTCAAATTCTTCTCACTCTTGGGCCAAGCCAGCACCTGAGAAGGCTCCTCTGAGACGGCGGTGGGGGCTGAGTGGAGGGGACAAGCCTCCCCCCTGCTTTGACCCCCTGCTTTTCTACAGGCCTCCCCTGAAAATACATTTTCTCCTGAGAAAACCAAGGGCTGGATTTAAGGCCTGCCGTCCACACTCCTGCGCAAGCAATGCACGTCGAGCGACCTTGAGCAATCTTTAAAGCATTTATTTTGGGAGATTTCTCTGTCATCTCTCCGAAGCAAAATTCCAGCTCTTGCTGCGTTCGGCATCTTGAGTTTATTGCGTGTGGCCATCCCTTTGCCCCTCTTTGGGAAATAAATGCACTTATCTGAGAAGGGCAGTCAAATATCGCCCTGGCTTTTCCCCCCCCCCTCCTCCCCCCTTCCCTCCCCCCTTGAATAATTCAAGTGCTTAAATGGCATTCTGCATATATCACATTCGGCTACGGAAGCTGTCAATAACATATTGGAACCAACCATCCGGGGTTCCTTTTGTTGGTTTGTTTGTTTCCCCACCCGAGTCTCAGATCGATCGTGGCTTAGGCGTGGGTTGGTTCTTTCCTCCCAGATCGACGTATTGCAAACATGCATCCGAGGTGCCTCCCCTCAATCTAGCCTGGAGGAGAGCCAGTCCTGAGACAGGTGGTCTTCCAAGTCCTTTGGTGCCGTCTCAAGACGACCTCCGGCCTCTTCTGGTCATTTCTTGGTCTTCTCTTCTTTTTCGGCGGGTTTGCTGTCTTTGGGCTCCATCCCGGATGACTTTTCGGCTTTCTCCGTCTTGCTTGCCTTTGGGGGCTCTTTGGGACCCTCCACCGTGGGAGACTCTTTGGGGCTTGAGGTCTTCTGAGCTTCTTCTTTGGGTTTCTCTGCTGCTTTGGGTTTCTCTTTCTCCTCCTTCTTGGGCTCGGCTTTCTCCTTCTTGGGTTCTTCTTTCTTCTCCTCGGCCTGGGCCTTCTCGGCTTCCTTCTTGGCCGGTGGGCTTGGGGCCTTGGCTTTCACTTCCTCGGCTGGAGATTTTGGCCCAGGTGCCTTGCTTCCTTTCTCCACCTCTTTCTCCGGTTCTGGTTTGGATGGTGCTTTGGTGGTGGCCTCCTTTTCCTTCCCCTTGCTGTCCTCAGCCTTGGGAGCAGCAGTTGCGTTTTTCCCATCAAGGGTAGGTGACTTGGCCTTGGGGCTTTGTTTCTTTTCCCCTTGGTCTTCGGTCTTCTTCTCCTTCTCCTTGGCTTCTGCCCTTGGAGCCTCCTTGGCTGGGCTCTCCGGCTTGGTCTCCTCTTCTTTCTTGCTCGGTTTCTTCTCGGCCACGGGCTTGGCTGGCACTTCTTTTTCTTCTTTCTCCTCTTTGGCAGCCGGCTTGGCTGGTTCCTTTTGGGGTGCTGCCTCTTTTTCGGGAGATTTAGCCTTTTCCTTGATGGGGGTCTTGACCATCTCTGGAGATTTAGCTTCCTCTTTTGGAGGAAGCTTGAGTTTTTCCGGAGGTTTGAGGTCCTCTTTTGTTGGGGAAGCGACTTTCTCTGGGATCTTCACAGCTGGAGGTTTTTCTGCCTCCTTCGCTGGAGATTTCGGCTTCTCTGGTGTCTTGAGGTCCTCTTTTGTTGGGGAAGCCACTTTCTCTGGGATCTTCAGAGCTGGAGGTTTCTCTGCCTCCTTCGCTGGAGATTTCGGCTTCTCTGGTGTCTTGAGGTCCTCTTTTGTTGGGGAAGCCACTTTCTCTGGGATCTTCAGAGCTGGAGGTTTCTCTGCCTCCTTGGTTGGAGATTTCAGCTTTTCTGGAGTCCGGCTGCCTTCCTTGGCGGGAGACCCAGGTTTTGCTGGAGATTTGCGTTCTTCTTTGACGGGGGATGTTGCCTCCTCCACCGGTTTCTTGCCCGGGACTTTCAACAATTCCTTGGGGTGTGACACCACTTTGGCTGGAGGCTTAGTTTCTTCTTTTGTAGGAGACGTGACTTTGGCGGGGGACTTGGCTTCCTCTTTTGCGGGAGAACTCACCTTCTCAGAAGATTTGGCTTCCTCTCCCTTCTTTTCTGGCAATGAGGTCTCCTCCGCAGACGGAGATCCTTTTCCTGTTCCAGCTTCTTCACTTTCTTCTCCTTCAGCTTCTTCTTTTTCCTCTTCTGCTTCCTCCTCTTCCTCCTCCTCCTTTCCCGCTTCCTCTTCTTTCTCGCCCTCTTCTTCCTCCTCCGTCACTTCTTCGGTCACCTGCACTTCCTCGACAATCACCGTCTCCTTCTCCGACTTCTCCACCACTTGAATTTTCTCCTCACTTTTGACTTTGATGTGAGTGGGAATGCTAGGGGTCTTGGGTGGGATTTCGGGGAAAGGGAAAATCCCCATCCCACTGCCAAAGTGGCATTCCTCTCCTTCCAGCAGCTTCCTGTTTCCAAAACAAAGAGAAGAGGGTGGGGGGGGGAGAATCAAAACTGTTGCTCCAGGCATAGAATCATAACCACATGAAGTATTAGTACTGCTTTATGAAACCTTAGTAAGACATCCCCCCCAACCTGGAGTGCTGCATCCAGTTTTGGTCAGCACATTACAAAACAGTTGTTGAAACTTTGGAGAAAGTGCAGAGAAGAACAACTAGGATGATGAAAGGAATAGAATAGAATAGAATAGAATAGAATAGAATAGAATAGAATAGAATAACAGAGTTGGAAGGGACCTTAGAGGTCTTCTAGTCCAACCCCCTGCTCAGACAGGAAACCCTGTACCATTTCAGACAAATGGTTGCCCAATCTCTTCCTAAAAACTTCCAGTGTTGGAGCATTCACGACTTCCGGAGGCAAGTTTTTCTTTCTTAATCCAGCGGATAAGGCTGAAAAACCGATAGCCAAAATCTTTGGGCAGCAGCGGAGTCATGGACTAAAAATCAGCTTTTAAAACCAGGGTGGGAAGAAATATTAGAAGAAGGACCCCAATGGAGCCTTTTCATGCCCTCCTAATTTGCATCTTTCTGTGATCAGGCCCCACGTACCTGTAGGCAGCTATCTCGATATCTAGAGCCATTTTGACGTTCAGCAGATCTTGGTATTCTCTGATCTGCCCGGCCATTTCCCACTTGGTATTCCTCACCTCGTTGTCCAGCTGGGCAATTGTATCCTAGGGGAGAGACACAATCTGCTGTGAACACTTTTGCACTAAAAAGGAAAGCCGACAGAGGACAGGTAATCCACAACTTACCACTGTTCATTCAGTGACCGTTCAGAGTTACGATGGCATTTTAAAAAAGTGACGTATAACGTATATCATAGATAAATGATTTTCAGACTTGCTCACTTTAAGATGGGTGGACTTTTAACTGCCAGAATTCTGGGAGTTCCCAGAATGGCTGGCTGGGAGTTGAAGTCCACCAATCTTTGCTGCGTGTTACCTGATAAGACTGGACATCCAATTGGTGGCGATCTTCAATGTCCAGCCTCTGTCTCTCCAAGGACTCCTTCATTCCTCGAAGAGTTTCCAACTCTGTTGTTTTGGACTGCAGCTGCCTGCGATATTCCGATAACTCCTCTTGGGCACCGCGGATGGCGTCCGTGTTCACCTTGGCAACTTCCGACAGCTTGTCCAGCCTCACTGCAAAGTGGAGTAGGGAAAAGAGAAGAACTTAAATGAGCTTCTGGAGCACTGGAGTTGACACTGATTGGGTATTGAAACTCTGTTTTACAAGGGTTGGGATGGATTTCGCTCCAAAGGTGTAACTGACTCTCTCGACCAGCTATGAAAAGATCCCCATTATAGGTTGTAGGTCACTCTGCCCCTTCCTGGTCTGCATTAGAGATGTTTTAATTTTTTTTATGGAAATGAACCAAATTAATAGATAGACCTTTTCTCTTTGTACTAATTACTGGAAAGATCCTCATTGTTAATTGGCGTTGCTTTTAATTGGCATTCTGGAAAAATGTTAATCGTTAGTAGAGTACTGCATTCAGGGGTGTGTCGGAAGGAAGGAAAGGAAGGAAGGAAGGAAGGAAGGAAGGAAGGAAGGAAGGAAGGAAGGAAGGAAGGAAGGAAGGAAGGAAGGAGATTTTAAAGAAAAGTTTGGATAGCAATTTATGCACTAGATCTCCAAGGTCTCTTCCAGCCCTATGAGTTGGAAGGAAGGAAGGAAGGAAGGAAGGAAGGAAGGAAGGAAGAAGGGAGGGAGGGAGGGAGGAAGGAAGGAAGGGAGGGAGGGAGGAAAGAGAGAAAGAGAAAAAGAGAAAGAAAAAAAAAAGAAAGGTTTTCAAGAAAAGATTGCACAGCCATTTGTCCATGATGGTATCAGGGCTCCTGTTATAAAGGCAGGGGGTTGGACTAGAAGACCTTCAGGGTCCCTTCCAGCCCCATGACACTATGAAAAATGAAAAGGATTGGATTTTTAAAATGATGCATATGAGAAAAATCTCTTCTGGAAGCTGGAGGCGGATTTCCCAAGCTGGATTCTGCCTGTGAGAAGCCACTTTGCAGTCTGACTCAGCAAATGCAGAGCCTTTACAACAAAGAGTTTCAGTCTAGAAAGAAGCCACCATCTAACAAGGTTCTCAGGCTAGGCTAGGCTGGGTGATTGTGAGGTTTGGCAGCCGTCTTGGCATGTATGTTGCATAGCAGGCATCACACTGAACCACGTGTGTTTGTTTGAGCACAGGATGTTATGCCAAACAAATCCACCGCAGTTCATTAACTGACAATTCACTGCAGGAACTCAGCTTCTGAGTACTAAATTTCTATGTGGCTGAAAGATGCTATTAAAGCACCAGGTCGGCAGAAGATGCTGGACCACCAGCTTTTTAAAATTCAGCCCAATATTAGCTTCTGCTCCTTATTTATCTGCCTAAGTGAGTTTGCAAAACCAAGATGGTATGCAGTGCTAAAAAGCTGCTTGCCCAAAGAGCTTGCAGATAAATTCCAGATGCTGGAGTTGTATTTATAGCAGCCGATGGAGACATCTAGACAAGTATGGCAGGTTTTGAAACAGACCTTGGTGTTCTCTGAGCTTGGGGGTTTTCTTGTAGATGTTTAACTATCAAACTAGATATCATGGCTAGAAGGGACTAGGGTTTGTGGAGTGGAGGGAGGAGGAGGAGGAGGAGGAGGAGGAGATGACGACGGAGACTGTGGGGTCTCTGAGCTTGGAGTTTTTCTTGCAGATGTCTCATGACCCAACTGGGGAACATCATCAGTGCTAGAAGGGAGTGGAGAAACAAGGAGGGGGAGAAGGGGGGAGAAGGAGGAGGAGGAGGAGACTAGGGTCTTTGGGGGTTTTCTTGCAGATGTTTCATTAGCCAACTGGGGAACATCATCAGTGCTGGAAGGGAGTGTAGAAACAAGGAGGAGGAGGAGGAGGTGGAGGAGACTGTGGGTTCCTTGGGGGTCTCTGAGCATGGGGGTATGTTTGCAGATGTTACCTAGTAATGAAACATCTGCAAGCAAGCCATCAAGCTCAGAGAACTCCGCAATCAATCCAATCAGAGTTTAGCTCTCTGATCCCTGGCTGCGGCTGATGGGTCTTGGAGTTCTCGGTTTGGAAACCTCAGTCATTGCAAGCCTGGGAGCAGCACCTTGGACAGCGCTCCGGCCTCTCGGCTCCTCTCTCGCTCCCAGGCGCGGCTCCCCCATCGCAGCCTTTTTTTTCCGGAGGGGGGGAGGACCAGATAAGAGAACGTCGTGAATGCGGATTAGCACCCCCAAGGCTCGAGTGGAGGGGGGGACTATATGAGCTAACAGGGCAATAAGTGAGGGAGGTTGGGCAGGCTATGAAGCAGATTTCGCCCCTGGTAAAAAGAGGGGAAAGTTTGCAACGCGGGTCAAGAGACAATGGGGGGGGGGGCGTCCCAAGTCTGGCAGCCCCCTTCAAAAGGGCTGCAACGCCCCCCATTCGTCCTCCAGTGGTTGGGGGGGGGGAGGCGATGCCCAACACAAATATTTTTTTGAAGTTGGCTGGCAGCCTGGCTGATTGGGGGGGNTGCCGGCAGCCGCATCAAACTCCCCAGGGACGCCTCGTTCTTCCCGCCCCCCCCTTTTTTCCGTTTTAAATCACCCCGCCCCTCCCGTCCCCAGCCTAGCTGGCGCCTGGCCGAATAGATGGACGGGAAGGAGGCGCGTTTGCCAGGTCGGGGGAGGGGGGGGAGTGTCTGCAAGGATGGGGAGGGAGGGGTAGGAAAGGAGGCTAGTCACGCTGCGCCAGTCTGGCCCCTCCTTGCACCCCCCCCACACACGAAAAACTGCAGGAGGGACTTTGCTCTCCACTTGCTGCCCAGTGCCAGCCGGCCGGAGTCAGCCTAGACTGCGGCACCACTTGGCCCGCCCCCCCCAGCGTCTGGGCAAAACCCCCCTCGCCGGGAAAGTGACCCCCACTCTTGCCTCTCCCCCCTCCCGCCCCTTTCTCCTCCTGCACCAAGGCCGAGGGGCCCCAGTAGGAGACCACCGAACCTTTTCCTTAAACCCCCCTCCCAGCCCCGAAACACAGCAGAACTTTTATTTTTCCATTTTTCTCTTCTCCCCCGCCCCCGCCCCCTTCTTGCTGCTTTTTTTCTGCCCTTCCAAACGAACTCCTGCGGGAAAAGTCCCGTTTTTCCTTCTGCCCCTTCCCTGCAACCGGGGGGGGGAGGGGGACCGAGGCTCCCTCTTCCGCAGTGGGGAGACAGACGCCCCCCATTACCCAAGAGAGGTTGGCTTTCGTCTCTCAGACGCTCTTTCCAAAGCAAATTACCCTGCCAACTTTGACCGTCTGGGTCGGTCAAGAGCGCGGGTGGGGAGGGGGCGTTTTCTTGCGGGCCCCCTGGCTGTCTCCCCTGACCCATCAGCCTTTCCCTTTCTCGGCCACATAGTGTGAGATGAGCCGTCTCTTGCCCCCACGTTTTGGCTGAATGTATTGCCTCCATCCCTGGTTAAAATGTGAAATTGGGGGGTTGACCCCCCAAGTAAGAGATGAATAAAGACGAGGAGCGAATGAAACTGATGGGGGGGGGAGAGGCCAGAGGGTTTCTTTTGACCCTTCTCCCTCCTCCTTCCAGCATTCGGAGGTCTTCCCCCCCCCCCATCCACCTCTTTCCCAGCAACGCAAGGTCACTCCGTAGGATACCTTTGCCAACCCCCTCCTCGGCTAAGCCTTCTGGATGGGGAGGAGGAGAAAACGGGGGGAGCGGGGGGGGGGAGTTCAGGTTTGCACAGCAACTTTTCCCCAGCCGTCTTTTGGCCCATTAATTGGCCGTTAGGTCGATCGTGAGTCATCAAATCACTTTCGACGTTGAGATGCGTCTTTTTAGAGTTGCGACCGAGCCTCTTACACCGAATCGAAGCCGTTTTATAGGCCCCATCCCTACCAGAGCGCCGAGCGCCCCTCCCCACCCCCGGTTGGCGCCCGCCCACCCACCCACCCGCCTATCGCCCGGAGCCGGGAGGTGGCTGCAAGAGACGCCTTCCTCCAGGGGTCCCCCCCAACGACCCCCCCCCGGCTCACCTCGGAAAAACTCCTCGGACTGCAGGGAGCTCTTGAAGGCGTGCCCCTCCAGCTGGGCGCGGATCTCCTTGAGCGCCGAGGTGACGTCCGACTGGAGGGCGGGCATCTCGCGCATCTCGAAGACGGCCGCCGGGCCGCCGCCTTGGATCTGGCGCAGCAGCTCGGCCACCTCGTCGCCGTGGCTGCGGCGCAGGTAGAGGCCCTCCTCGCCCAGGGCGGCCAGCTTCCTCTCCAGCTCGCCCTTGGCCCGCTGGGCCTGCTCGGTGAACTTGGCCAGGGCGCGGGCGGCCGCCTCGTGCTCCTCGCGCAGGCGGGCCTCGTCGTCCAGCCGCTGGCGCAGCGCCGCCACCTCCTCCTCCAGCCGCTCCTGCTCCAGGCGCAGCTGGCCCTTCTCGTTGCCCGCCCGGACCAGCGCGCCGCGCATCTCGCGGATCTCGCGCTCGTACAGCTCGCCCAGCGCCGAGCGGCCGGCCTGTTGCTGGCGCAGGGCTGCCGTCTCGGCCTCCAGCTGCCGGTTCTGCACCTCCAGGCCGCGCACCTTGTCGATGTAGCCGGCGAAGCGGTCGTTGAGCGCCTGCAGCACCTCCTTCTCGTTGCGCCCGCCGCGCAGCTCGCCGTTCAGCGGGGCCAGCGACTCCAGGCTCTCGGTGGACGAGCCCAGCTGGCGGCGGGAGGGCGAGGCCGAGCAGCGCGACCAGGGCTGCGAGTGGAAGCCGCTGGAGGCCAGCGAGACGGCCCCGGAGCGCGAGAAGACGGCCGGCCCCGCCGAGCGCAAGCCGCCGCCGCCGGCATCCTTGCGGAAAGCGGAGGGGCCGCCGCCGAAGAGAACCTCCGCGCCGTAGCTCAGCATCGCCCCGTCGGAGAGGACACTGCGGCAGCCGGCCAGCCGCGCCGCTTATATGCAGCCCGGAGCCGCCCCTCCGAGGAGGAGGAGGAGGAGGCACCGAGCGCCGCCTCGCCTTTCCACCCGGGGGGGGGGGGGGTTGTTGAACCAGACAGTTCCACGGAAGCTCCGGGGCTCCAAGGGGCTCCCCTCCACCCGGCCGGCTCCCCCAAACTGCAGGCAGAGGCGCAGTGCAGAGGTAGACCTAGACACCCCCACCCCGAAAAAAACCCTCCCCAAGAGTGATCAAGTTGGAAAGCTGCCGCAAACCGGCCCAGGGGTAGACTCTCTTAGGAGTAAGAGGGGAGGGGGGAACCCCCACTTCAGATCCATCTCTGCTGTGGAACCTGCCTGGATAGCTTTGGGCCGATTTCCCCCTCACCAGACCCCCCCCCACCAAAACTACCTCGCAGGGTTATTGTTCAGGAAAACAAATGAGGAATGGGTGTGCGGAGGGTGTGGACACCCCCATTTAACAGATGAGTTTTCCTAAACTTTTATTACGTTGGATGTAATTATAAGAGGGATTTGGACTTTGTGCAACCAAACAGAATTTACTCCTACTCCTACTAGTGACCATCCCCAAAAATTCCCCTCCACCCCCCAAAGGTCATTACGTCCTGGTTCTTAATCCACCTTGCTGGAAAATTGGGTGTTAGGATTATCTGCCCGCTTCTGCTTGAACTTTATTGAGGTTCAGCACCTGTCCAAGCTAAACATCTGAAAGCTGGTTGGGAAGCAGAGAGAAAACCGTTTGCATGTGCTCAGAGGCACTCTGGTGTTTTGTGATTTAAAAAATGGGCCAGCTCTTTCACTGGTTCTCCGCATGGAATAATAGCAAACAATCCCTTGTTGCCACAATAAACTGATGAAGTTACCTAGTTTGGTAATGAAACGTCTGCAAGAAAACCACCAAGCTCAGAGAGGACCAAGGAACCCACAGTCCTTCTCCTCCTCCTCTCTGCAAACTTCACTCCTGTACTAGCACTGATGATGTTACACAGTTGGATAATGAAACGTCTGCAAGAAAACAGCCAAGCCCATCATGGATCCAACAGCTTCCCCCCTCCTCCTCCTCCTCCTCCTCCTCCTCCTCCTCCTCGCACTGATGATCTCACCTAGTTTGGTAATGAAACTTTCTGCAATAAAACCACCAAGCTCAGAGAGCACCAGGGACCCATAAAGGCAGAGGTCAAAGAGATGATATTAGTCTTTTGAGCATCCATGAGACAGAATGGGCATAGTTTAAGGGAGAAAAAGATTGGGTGGGGGGAATTCAAAATGGTCAGCAAGGAAAACAGAGTGCTGTAAAGCTGTGTGGTGCTGTTTCTTTTCCTGTTGGTCTTCTGGGGGAAATGGCTTGGTGTTAATCGCATTTGAGAAGCGCTTTCCCACCGTCATTATATTCCTCCTGCATGTTTCATCTTCCTCTCATAAGTGAGTTGATGTACAGAGCAGTCTTCCTCAACCGGGTGGCTTTATGATGGGTGGACTTCAACTCCCAGAATTCTGGGAGTTGGAGTCCACAAGTTGTAAAGTTGCCAAGGTTGTAGACCCTTGCTAGAATGGATTCTGAAAATTGAGTTGAGGTCCATTTAAAATACGCCTCCCTAACTATAGAGACGCAGCATATCCACCCTGGGTTACATTTTCCATTCTGTTCTTTTTTTTACGTTTTTTCTATTAGCTGAGTGTAATACAATTATTTTCCCCAAGCCCACGTGCGCTGGAAGAACATGAAAAAAAAAAAATGCTTAGAAATGCAAGTCATTTTGGAATTGGCAAGGGAAGAGGTTTCTTTTAGCAGCGTAGCTTTCATCATCCAGATTCCACGCTGGGAAAAATCTTCTTTGGAAGGGCAACAGCAGGAAAACAAATCCATAAATATGGAAGATCTCCCTCCCTCTGTCTCTGTTTCTCTCCCACATCCCTGCATCTGCACAGTCGTGCGCACAAATAGACACACAGTCTGTTTTATGTCAGCTACACAGTGCAGTGTTGTGCACGATGACTTGCAGTTACTTTGTCCTCCTTTCTTCATAATTCCAATAATTGAGGGGCTGTCACAAAGAAGAGGGGGTCGGCCTCTCCTCCAAAGCGCCTGAAGGCAGGACAAGAAGCAACGGATGGAACTTTATCAAGGAGAGAAGCATCCTGGAACTAAGGAGGAATTTCCTTGACAGTGAGAACAATTAACCAGTGGAACAACCTGCCTCCAGAAATTGTAGGTTCTCCATTATTGGAGCACCCAATAATGGACAGGTCGTAAGTCTTCTTTTTTTTTTTAGTGTTTTTTTTTTTATTTCAAACAGTCGCTAAAGGGTTGGTTGCAAGTCAAGTGCTATCTTTAGATTGCCGGAGGCCTAGTATTCTGCAGATCCGGTTGGTTAATTTTATAAGCCATCATTAAGTAAACTGTGTTGAGGCTTCTGCACTTGCAAGAGATTTGGGGCTGACTCTACAAGGAAGAAGGGCAATACAAGGGAATCCATCGGAGTATTGATCTCCATCAGGTAAAAAGAAGAAATCGACCCCCCCCCCCTTCTAGGATTGGTGGGGTGTTTTTGCTGATGGCCCAGTTCTCCGTTTTCTTGGCTTTCTTGCCAGAGTTTGCACAACCGGCAGGTCAGTTCAAAGATTCAGCACTTGCATTTGATGAAGGCATTGCTTGCTTCTCCTGCCTTCAGGACCAGAAGCCACTGGAGACCAACCCAAGGAGAAAACTAAGCTAGAGCTAAGGAGAAATTTCCTGACAGTGAGAACAATTTGTGGAGCAGCTTGCCTTCAGAAGTTGTGATTGCTCCATCACCGGAGGCTTTGAAGAAGAGATGGACAGTCTCTTCTTGAAAATCTCCAGTGATGGAGCATCCACAATTTCTGAAGGCAAGCTATTTCACTGGTTTATTGTTCTCATGGTTCTAGCTTCATTCTCTCCTTGGTTAGTTTCCATCCTTGGTTCCTTGTCCCGGCTTCAGGGGCTTGGGAGAAGAGGAGAACGAGAGAATTTGGAGATCAGAAGAGAAGGAGAGACCAAATGTGACAGAGCATTTTTTTTTTCCCCTCTTAAAAGCACAGGCACTCCTGGGCAGATCCAGCAAGCTGGTTGAAGCTTTGTAGAGACAGCCATACATGCTCCCGTCTCAGGGAAAGCCAGAAGGAGCCAGCTGGTCTCAGCCCATCTGGACCCTCCTCCAGGCATATCAGAAGACCAAATGCTGGCCTGTGCTTTTGACCTGACTGACAGCTGGGGAGAAACGTTGGGGAAATGAAATACCCGCCCCAACCTCTTGGCAACATGCTGCCGAAGGACAGAGAGGTCAGGGTGACTTTGAAAGCTGTCAGATGTGAATTGTCGAACTAAATCATTTCAATTCTGTCAACGCAATAGTCATCATTACTGTGATTCATCACCATCCATCATCATTTTAACACGGGGTCCATCCACTGCAGGAGGAAGGCCTCTTCCGCGTGTCTCCAACCCAGATGGTCCTGGGCTTCCTTTTGCCACTTGGGCCCTGCATACTTGCTGATGCGGTTGATCCATCTTGTTTTAGGTCTCCTTCGTGGGCACTTTTGATTGTGGGATCCATTCTAGGACCTCTGTGGTCCACCTGCCCTCAGTTCTTCTGGCTATGTGACCAGCCCGTTTTCCATTTCCGTTCTTTGACTCTCTTGACCATATTGTATACTTTTGTTTCTTGATTCATGGGGTGATGTTTTATCGTGTGCAGCTAAATGCAGGGTTTCTTCTGCCTCTCGTCTCCCCGCGATTCTGCAACCTCCTCCACTTTGAACAGAGTTGGCGTCTGCGGTTGGTGACCGGTCTCTGAGGGATCAGTCGCTCAAGGTCACCGTCAGAGGATCCAGTGGCGCCTACGAGGCGTGGTCTCTGCATCGCTTGCCACCTCTCCATCCCAGCTTCTGCTGAGTCAGGAAAACTGGAAGGTAAAAATATCTGTTCTCTGGGTAGACAGATCCAGGAACTGCTTTTGTTTCCATGAAACAAGAGTTACAACTCTGGGACCGAAACCTTGTCTAATATTTCCTAGCCAGCATGGCGGAAGCCCAGCACCGCCAAAACATGTCAGTTTGGGGAAAAAATCTGGGTCACTGTTCCCTTAAACTGGGACCCTCTTTCGAGACTTAACAGAGTAACGGAGTTACTACATCCTTGTAGTCATCTTGGTAGCAACATGGAAAGGATTTGTTATTGGTCCTAGTCTGGTGTTCCTGGTCTGCTTGCAGCAGAATTTCCTGGTGGTCTCCTCTCCGAGTATAAACTAAGCTCATCAAGTTCTGACTATGAACTGCCTGCCGAGACAGGGACTTCTCCTCATTCCCAAGTAGCTTTTGGAAACTGTGACCCCATTACAGCTGGAAAAAGAAAGTTGCTTTGGGTCAAGGGCTGAAACCATGGTTAATTTTAGATTATAATTAAAAAACGTGGCCTAAAGCGCCATCTCCTGGTGCAGAGAGGCAATAACACCCACTGTATTTTAGCTACCCTAGCGGTAGAGTAACTTCATTGTCACTTTAAATGTACTATAACTGGCATACATTAAAACGAAATTTCATTGCATGCAGCTCTCAAAGGGTCATCACCTCCAATATACACTACATAAACACAACCATTTTTTTTTTTTAGTTTGCAAAGCTACCTTGCGAGTTACGGTCTCAAAGATGCTTTTCCAAAAGGCAACTGGACTATATGAGCCTATATCGGATATCTGGATCCAGCTAATCCTCAACTTCGTTTAGTGACTGCTCAAAGTTACAACGGCCATGAAAAATGTGATTTATAGCCGTTTTTCACACTTATGACCCAGGACCCCGGGACACTGCAACCGTCATAAATATGAGTCAGTTACCAAGCATCTGAATTCTGATCACATGGCCATAAGGAGGCTGGAGTGGTCACAAGTGTGAAAAATGGTCATCGGTCCCTTTTTTCAGTGCTGCTATTAATCTGAACGGTCACTAAACGAAGTGTTGAAAGTCGAGAACTACTTGCAATTAAGATTTTTTTTAAAAAAACACCACTTATTTCCTTGTTCAATCATCTATTTGATATCTGAAGATTGTTCATTCACAGCATGGAAAATAGAATATAAATGTGTTGGGTGGCCAAAGGATAACACTGAAAATTCTGCATTCTGCTACGGAAAGCTTATTGAAACAACGGATCCTCTTTCTGATTCTCACAAGCTTGGAGATTTATTCCTAACCGGCGCTCCGATTCTCCCCAGCAAGCCTGCATTATCTTTCTGGTGTCTGCTGAGTTAGAATAAAACTGCAGTAACCTTCCGATCTTGCCAGTTACCTGCAGTTTTCTGTCTCAGCTAGCAAGCGAGCTCAAAAATAGCTCCGCATCGCATCTGGCCTCAGCTCCAGACAATAAATTCCAAATTCTGCACGGGGGCAGCCATCTGAGAGATTGAGAGGCTGAGACTCTAGAAGGGGTGCAGAGAAGAGCAAGTAAAAATGCTTAGAGCTCTGGAGGCTACAGCAGGGGTCCCCAATCCCAGGGCCACGGCCCACTATCGGACCTTGAGACATTCGGAAGCGGACCGCAAAAGTCACTTTAAAGGGCTCTGATTTAAGGGAGATTCCTGAGCTGGAGAAATTTAGACAGAAAAGCCCATTTGCCTTCATTACCAGCTGGTGTTGTGGTGCTTTTCTTCTTGCTAGTTAATGGTTGTTAAGGAAAGCTCTGCAGTTGTTCATTGGACAAAGAAGCACAGGTAGTCCTCGGCTTACGACCACAATTGAGCCTCCAAATTTATGTTGCTAAGCGAGACAATTGTTAAGCGAATTTTGCCCCATTTTACGTCCTTCCTCATCGCATTTCTTGCCACTGCAGTTTGTTAAGTTAGTCCCATGGTTGTGAAGTGAATAGGCTTCCCCGTTGACTTGGCTTGTCAGACGGTTGCAAAAGGGGGTCACCCATGACTTTGGAACCCAGCAACGGTCGTAAGTAGGAGCCAGTGGCCAAGCGGCTGAATTTTGATCACATGACTACGGGGGAACGCAGCAAAGGTCGTAAGGGTGAAAAATGATCGTAAGTCCCTTTTTTCAGTGCCGTCGTGACTTCCAACGGTCACTAAATGAACTGATGTAAGTCAAGGACTACCAGTCAAACTGGCTAGTAGTGTATTTTTATGGGGCGTCCACAAAAATGTGGCAGGACAGGTCCACTGGTTTTCATCTGCCTTCTTTGTTGTGTTGTTAAGGGCCCTCTTGATCCGGTTGTCTAGTTTCTGTATTGTGTTGAGATTTACTGGGATGTAGGCTTCTTTGTCCTGCAGTATTTCTTTGGCTCAGCCAAAGGGGATGAAGACATCAATGCTGCAAAACTGGAATTGATTTATCCACCGGTTGCAATTTGTGAGGTGGGAGAAACCTCTCTGAAGGACGCCTAAATACTGGCTTTGGCAGGGAGAACCTGGCAGTTTTCGGCTTTCATCCCAGGCGGTGGACTTCAACTCCCAGAATTCCTGAGTCAGCAGGCTGGCTAGGGAATCCTGGGAGTTGAAGTCCACGCATCTTCAAGTGCCCAAGGTTGAGAGACACTGAGGGAGATGTACCCAGATATCTATTATCCATTCAGACACGCATAAACACTTTCCAGAAAAGCTGCTGTTCTCCTTTAGGCATGATGCTGAAACAGCTTTGCAAATGCAAAACCGGAAATATTTATTCCTACATCCCCTTTTCCTAGAACGAGGCTTCCGAGTTAATTACTCAGCAAAAGCAGGCAAGGTTTTATTTATTTATTTTTTCCTTCTATGCTCAAGGCCATTTTATGATTCCTGGAAAGGCAGATTCTGTAAATTGCCCAAGAAAAAAAAAAAAAAAAAGTTAATGCAAGTTTCCTTCTGGGTGCATTCCCCCCCCCCCAAGACACAGAAACTTGGCAGCCATCCTGAAATCGTTGATACGCATGGAGAGGAGGGGGCTGGGCCAGTTTAGTGCCAAAATGTCATCCTGAAAAGCCGAGCCAGCAAATTTGGACGGTAGGGACCTTCCAAGCAAGGGGAGCTCAGAGGAAGCAGCTGCAAAAAACTGCCCCTAATTTGACTGGCTTCTCTTTTCTTTGAAGGACGACAAGCTTTGTCAGCATTGTTGGATTGCAGAGGAGAGGAAAAGGCACACCCAGGTTGTGTTTCCTGCTGAAAAGGGCAGTGAGCAGGAGGGGGTTGGACTAGATGACTTCCAAGGTCCCTTCTAACTGTACTATTCTGTAAACCAGGTTATAGAACCATAGAATGGGGAAGTTCGAAAGGACCCCTGAGGGTCATCTAGTTCAACCCTCTGCAACATGCCGGAACCTGCACTTTGAGCTCGGGTTAGGGCCAGGTGGGATCTCGTTGATGGGGGCAGGTAAAGCTCAGGTGGGGGTTTAGCAGGAGGTGTGAACTTGCCGTTAAATAAGCTCTGTGCTGGCTGGGGAATTCTGGGAGTTGAAGTCCACAAGAGTTCAAGTTGCTAAGCTTGACAAACACTGGTTTAGAGAATGCATCGCCCACTAACCACTATCTCTTGGGTTCCCCCCTCCCAAACCGGCTTGGCCGGTTGCAGACCCTCGGCTTCTTTTGTGGCAGCTGTGTGTGTGTGTGTGTGTGTTGGTGGGGGGTGTTACTGCTTTCGACCTGCCGCAGCTTTCCACTCCTACGCTTGTCATCTTGCAAGCCTTGCAAAGGGCGCCGCGTTGGGGATCGCGACCCATAGCCACGCCCACCGCCGGCCAGGCATGCTGGGAGTTGTAGTCCCCGCCCTGCAGCCGGTGGAGGGGTGTGTGTGGGGGGGGGGCTGCTGCAGCTGCTGCTAGCCGGAGGGGCTTCCCTTCCAATGGGCTTTACACGGAGACCCCCGGCCGGATTGCCTATTTATTTGCTGCGGGCGCCCGCCGCGCTTCCCGCTGCAATTCGCCTCGCGCGCGCCCGCGGAGCTGCCCGCGCGCTCCCGCAGCCTTCCGGTCTCCTCCTCCTCCTGGGTCGCCGCCCCGGGAGCGCGCTTGCGTGGCGTCCGCGATCCCGAGACTTCCGTCGGGCCGAAGCCCAGCCGAGCCAAGCGCCGCGGAGGTACGGGGGGCGCCGGGTTGGGGAAGCCCGCCGGCAGCTGCCTGGCCCAGGGAGCCAGAGAAGCCCCGCCCGGCCGTGAATCGTGGGGAGGGGGGTCGCGCAGGGGAGGGGGGGCCCTTGATCTGCAGAGCGGCTTATTCGGGGAGGGGCTTCGGGGGACCCCCAGCTGCCCTTGGATCTGTTTGGGGGAGCGGCGATCGAGGACCCCCCCTGCTTTTTGGGGGGAGGGGGGGAATGCACCTGCCTGGGTAGAAGAAGGAGGGGAGCCGTCCGGGGGGGATTCTTCCGGGAGGGGGGGGCGAACCAGATCCAGCCCCCCTTGGTCTGCCTTGCTAAGTGGGGTCCCCTTAGGGGACCCCAATGTATGGCTCTTGGGGGCAGTCACAGCACCCCTTCCTCTTTTTTTTGCAGTCCCATGCCTGTTTATCTTTTGGGGGGGGTAGAAGCAGAAGACCCCCCCCCAGTTACATCTGCCTGCCTTTCCAAGGAGAGAGACCCCCTCCCCAGCCCCATTGCCACCTATCTGCCTCTCCTTTTGGGGAGACCGCGGAGGGGAGCATCTGTCTCTGGGGAGGGGGCTGGACGGCCTCCTGGGGAAGTCTAGGAGAGCCCCCCTCCCCTGCTAAACCCGTTCCCCCCCCCACATTGCAAATGCACTGTAAAACTTCCAAGGAAGGCCTCAAAATTGTGGGGGGGGGGCCTTAGGAGAAGGAAGGGGAAGCCGTTATCCTCCCTCTCACCGCCCAACGCCTGGAAAAAACATCTGTAGCCTTACATAATCCGTGTTTGTGTGTTTTGTGTAGCTCTGGAAAGGACAACGTGGGGGGGGTGAGGTGGGTTTGGGGTGTTTATTTGCTTTACGATAGTCCTGGATTTAACAACGGTTCGTTTAATGACCGTCCAAAGTTACAAAAAGTGACTTATGACCGTTTTCCCACATTTAACGACCGTTGCAGCCCTCCCCGTGGTCGCCTGAATGCAAATTCAGACTTCTGGCAACTGGCTCGCATTTATGACGGTGGCAGCGTCCAGTGTGTGTGTGTGTGTGTGAGATGCCCTTTTGTGCCCTGGCCGGACACAAGCCAGTGGGGAAGCCAGGTTCACATAATAAACTTATTAATTTAACCCCTGTGCTGGTTCACTTAACAGCTGTGGCAAGGAAGGTCGTAAAATGGGGCAAAACTCACTTAGCAACGGAAAATGACATTTCAGGAACTCTGTTCCCGCAAAGCATTGGGTGTTTCTAGTTTGTGCGGATTAACTGCCTTTTGGGAGGCGATGAATATCCTTCTCAAACCACCTTCCTGTTAGGGGGAGGTGGGGTTAGACTGTCATTTTCTGTTAGCTGCCTTGCAGGAGCTGTTTTGTGGGGCTGTCTTGCAACAGGTCCAAACAACAACAACAGCAGCAACTGTAGGACGGGATTGTTGTTTTATCCAGTTTAACCTTCTGGGAGATTTTGTTCCACACCTTTTGTGGAGCAGCTGCTAATAAGATTAGTCTTGTGCTTCCGGAGGGAACTGAACCGTCGGGCATTTTTGAAAGTTCCAGATAAGACCTATCAAAGGCTTGTTTTCCCTCTCTTGTTTTCCTCTCTTCCCCCTTTCTTTTCCTTCCCCTTCTCCTTCCCCTTCCCGTTGCCCTTGCCCATCCTCTTCCTGCCTGCCTCCCTCCCTCCCTTCCATTCATCCTATTTTCTCCCTTCCTTCCTTCCTTCCTTCCTTCCTAACTAAATTAGTCCTTTTCTTGGTTTTTCCTCTCCTACTGCTAATCCTTGAGAATTACCCATTTTTTTAAAAAAAACAACAACAACCTGTGGCTTCTTTTTCCCTCTTAAATCTCTCTTACTGTCTCTTTTTCTTTTCCAGAGGTGACCAAACCAACCAGCCGTCAAGATGTCCGACTCCAAGTATTTCACCACCACCAAAAAAGGTAAGGCGGCAGGTGGGGATTGGTGCTCCAGGTAGACAGGCAGAAGGTTGAATTCACAGGACACCCTTCTTAATTTGATTGATTTAAATTTATTTGCCAACTTATCTCGTTTCAAAGCGAAACAAAACAGAATCATGGCCTGTGAATCACAGCAGTAGCGATTCATTGAACAGCCAGTAAGAACTTGGCCAAAACTCACTTAAAAATAGTCTCGCTTAGCAGAGAGGAAATGTTGGGCTCAACCGTGACCGTGAATCAGGCGCTCCCTGCATTTGCCCATCTGAATTCTTTTCCAGGAGAAATATTTGAGCTGAAGGCCGAACTGAACAGTGACAAGAAAGAGAAGAAGAAGGAGGCGGTCAAGAAAGTGATTGCATCCATGACCGTTGGCAAGGATGTCAGGTACGCGGCTGTCCTTGGGGGACATGAGGACCCCTCTGGATTCCGTCCGTCCGTCTGTTGGCTTATTTCATTTATTTATATTCCGCCACTGTTGTTTTTATAAATAACTCAAGCCGGCAAACGTACAATACTCCTTCCTTCCTCCTGTTTTCTCCACCACGACAACCCTGTGAGGTGGGTTGGGCTGAGAAGAGGGACTGACCTAAGGTCACCCAGCTGGCTTTCATGCCTAAGGCAGGACTAGAACTCACCGTCTCCTGGTGATTGGCCCAAAGTTACCCAACTGGCTTTCATGCCTCAGGCGGGACTAGAATTCAACGTCTCCTGGTGATTGGCCCAAAGTCGCCCAGCCACTTTCATGCCTAAAGCCACACTAGAACTCACCATCCGTAAGTTGAGGACTACCTATATGATCCTTTAACACACCTTCCGTTTGTCTCCCCCAGCGCTCTTTTCCCCGACGTGGTGAACTGCATGCAGACGGACAACCTGGAGCTGAAGAAGCTGGTTTACCTGTATCTGATGAACTACGCCAAAAGTCAGCCCGATATGGCCATCATGGCGGTCAACACCTTCGTTAAGGTGAGCGCAGCTGTGCCTTTTGGGGCCAGGGGTGCGAGGGGGCAGCCAGATGAGAGGTTTTCAACAGGCTTTTGGAGAGTGAGCTGGCAAAGTCAGAAAACGTGCCCCCAATGTCTCTTCGGGGTGCAATCCATGCTAGATCCCTCTTTACGCTGTGTTCGTGACAATGGTTCACAAATCAAATTAGGTGAATCTGGACTTAACAAATGAAGGTAAATATAGGTGTCCCAGGATAATGTTGCAGGATCCAATCTGGGACTGACAGTTTAGTCTTCCGAGCTTTTGAACTCGTTCTGGAGCAAGGGAGCTTCTCTCTAGCCGAGGGTGTGCTGTTCTGTACGTGATATTTATATGGCGCCTGTTGTATGCGGCTTTTTAGTTGCCGATTGGGATATGTCGATGGCTGTTTTTTAAGTCGTTGGCTGTCCTTTCCTTGTGCTGCCCAGCCCTCGCCTTCGAAGTACTTGAGAGGCTGGTGGTAAATCAGCCGTCCTGTTGACTGATGCGGGGCCCATTTCCCGGTTAAATTATTTCCCTGGCTGTTTTTGTCCCACCTCGTCCAACAATCGTAGTAGCTGCAAAATTGAACGTATGTCCTTGTTCATTGCTGTGGGAGGCTACCGATGAGTTCTGTACTTGCGCCTCATCGAATGGATACAGGTATAGATTAGGTGAAACCTGGCTCAATAGCAGCAACTGCAAGAGGCAGGATGGCCCCCTCAGCTTCTCCCTTTTCCCCTAGGACTGTGAAGATGCAAACCCCCTCATCCGAGCCTTGGCCGTCCGTACGATGGGCTGCATCCGAGTTGACAAGATTACCGAGTATCTTTGTGAGCCGTTACGGAAATGCCTGAAGGACGAGGACCCGTATGTACGCAAGACGGCTGCCGTCTGTGTGGCGAAGCTGCATGACATCAATGCCCAGCTGGTGGAAGACCAAGGATTCCTGGATACGCTGAAAGATCTCATTTCAGACTCCAATCCAATGGTGAGCACCTTTTTTTTGGAGTTGAGATAGTCTTTTAATTAAGGTACTAAAATCTTTGGGGGGGGAGGAGGAGGAGGACTGTGGGGTCCTTGCTGCTCTCTGAGTTTGGTGGTTTTCTTGCAGACGTTTCATGACCCAACTAGGTAACATCATCAGTTCCAGAAGGGAGAGGAGGAGGAGGAGAGTAGGGAATGATGAGATAAGAGGCAGTTTCTTTGATGTAAAGGCAGAGGGGGGAGAGAGAGATGTATTCAAGGTTGTTCTCTTTTATTTAGGTGGTTGCGAATGCAGTTGCGGCCCTATCGGAGATCGCCGAGTCCCACCCCAGCAGCAATCTCCTCGACTTGAACCCGCAATCCATCAACAAGCTGCTGACCGCTCTGAATGAATGCACCGAATGGGGGCAGATCTTCATCTTAGACTGCCTGGCCAACTACATGCCCAAGGATGATCGTGAAGCTCAGAGGTAGGAGCTGCAGCTTGGCTCGCTTGCTCGAGCGCACTATATAAGAAGAAAGCCACCTGACAGCGACGAAGGAACAGCCATTCCTTGTTCTTCTGCCCAATGGGAGCTTTTAAGATTCATACCTTTTTAATCCCTTTGCAAATGTTGTTTGTTGTAGAATTAGCTTTTCCGGGTTGTGTTTCCGGTCTGGTTTCCCCTTGTGAGACCGGGGTTATTTTGCTCATAATATCAGCCCCCCAAATAAGCCCCAGTTAAGATCGTCAGCCAGATAAATGCATTTAGTACCGTATTTTCCCGAAAATAAGACCTAACCAGAAAATAAGCCCTAATGCGTCTTTTGGAGCAAAAATTAATATAAGACCCGGTCTTATTTTCGGGGAAATATGGTATATATCCTAAAGGTGGAAAATTAATAATAACAACGAAGAAGCTTGGAAAGGATGCTAGCCTGGACCTGCTGCTCTTTGGACCTCCGAGTTGGAAGAGATCCCCGACCCTGCCTTTCTTTTTTTCAGCATCTGCGAACGGGTGACCCCACGGCTGTCCCACGCCAACTCGGCCGTGGTCCTTTCTGCCGTGAAGGTGCTGATGAAGTTCACCGAGATGCTCTCGAAAGACCTAGACTACTACGGGACTTTGCTGAAGAAGCTGGCCCCCCCACTGGTCACCCTGCTCTCCGCCGAACCGGAGCTGCAGTACGTGGCCCTCCGGAACATCAACCTGATTGTGCAAAAGAGGTGAGTTTCTCCTGCACACCTGGTGAGGGGTGGAAAAGGACGAGCGTTCCTAGCACTAGACGTAGCTGGATTCACACCCGGGCTGCTGAGATTGGTGGTCAAACTGACTTACAGGTAGGTCCTCGGCTTACGACTGAGGTACTTACGACCCAGATTTGGAGTTCTGACGGTCAAACCTCCTGCATAGTGACATGATTCCCCCCCCCAGGTTGCATTTATGACTGTTTGCAGCGTCACATGGCCACATTTTATGAGGGTTTTGCTGAAAATTGTAAGTTTTGGGCAAAACCAAAAGCCCATTGCAAACCGTGGTTTTGCTGAATGACTACAGATTTGCTTAACAACTCTGTTGATTTGCTTAATGACTGCTGCACAACAGGTCGTAAAATTGAGTCAGTTGCATGACTGACCCTCTTTAGAACTGTCACACGTTATAGCCAGGATGGGCAAGCTCCCTTTAGGTCGTAACTCAAGGACTTACTTATATTGGAGGTCTTGCATTGTAGAGAACAGGCCGTAGGCTAAGCCACACCCAAATTAAGTTTACCCGGTTGTGTGAATCCAGCTAGTAGTCTCCTGTTGACTGGCCCCTGCGTGAATCCCACCACCGAGGGGTTTGCTGTCCTGCAGCCGCTTTTTAGGGCCTTGTGCAGCCATGCAGGTTTTTCTGCTGGACGTTGGAAGATAGAAAAATATCATTTCATTATAACGTTTCATTATTTCCTTTTTTTTCCTCCTCCAGGCCTGAAATTCTCAAGCACGAGATGAAAGTCTTCTTTGTGAAGTACAACGACCCCATCTATGTCAAGCTGGAGAAGCTGGACATTATGATCCGCCTGGCCTCCCAGGCCAACATCGCACAGGTAAAGTTCTGAATCTTTGCTTCATAGGATCCTTTTACAGATCTGGAACCCGCCCCACACGCTCACATCTCCTCGTGTTTCCAAAAGGAGGTGTTTTTGTTTCCTTCCACTGCATTCCCACATTCCCTCTAGGAGAGACGAGCCGCTGCATTCGTGCTAACACGTCCGGTCTCCTTCCCCTCTCTGCTCCCTCGCAGGTGCTGGCCGAATTAAAGGAATACGCCACGGAGGTAGATGTGGATTTTGTCAGGAAAGCTGTCCGGGCCATTGGCAGATGCGCCATTAAGGTTGAGGTGAGCCTTGGCAAGAAGGAACATGGCATCTGAATCATGAATCTATTCATTGGGGTGGTGGAGCATGGATTATGCCAGGGTTTCTCAAGATTGGCGACTTTAAGATGGGAGGACTTCAACTCCCAGGATGCCCCAGCCACCAGGGAGAAGCTGAGGGTCACTATCACGCCTCTCCGTTTCTTTAAAAAAAATCTTTGGCTTCCTGAATCCAGGTTCTTTCTTTTTTCCTTTCCTTTTTCCTTTCATTTCCTTCCCTTTCCCTTTCCCTTTCTCCTTTCCTTTCCCCTTCCCCTTCCACTGCACTGCCACGTGACTCTTTCTCTCTCTCTTTCCTTCCTTCTCTGCCCAGATCTCCTTCTCCTTCTCCTCCCTTTCTTTCCCCTTCTCTGCTTCCCACTCCATCTCTCTCTCTCCCCACACCTCTTTCCCTTCTCCCCTTTCTCTTTTTCCTCCCCCCAGCGTCACTCCCTCCCTCCCAGCCACCCATCTCACAGCAACGAGCCTGAGAAGCATACAGAAATTAGCGCCATCACAACAGCGTGACCTCCTGACACCCCCACAGCGAAAACACATCACCAGCAAGACTCTTGCTGCAAGATAACACGGGATGTTCCTCGCTTTCCCCTTCCGTTAACAATTGGAGCATCCACCCACTTCTTGGCTGACCCAGGCTGTTTTTTCCCCCCCTTTCAGCAATCCGCGGAGCGCTGTGTGAGCACGTTGCTGGATCTCATCCAGACCAAGGTCAACTACGTGGTGCAGGAAGCGATTGTGGTCATCAAGGACATTTTCCGCAAGTACCCAAACAAGTAGGAGCATTTTTTTGAGCAGTTGTGGCTGTGAACTTGCTAAGGGGTTTGAGTTCGAGTCCTGGATGCTCCTCCTGCTCTGCATTAAGAACCAAGGATAATCTGGAGCAGGCCAGAATCAGGCGGAAGGAAATTTCAAGGGTTCAGCGTTCTCCAGGGCTTTAAGAAACTCACAAATAGGAACGGCTGATTTCTAGAAAAAAATTACTGCAATTTAGGGGTTAGAGTTTGCCAGAAACAGATTTCCAGCCAAAAACGGCCGCTGCAGACAATGTGCTTGCTTAACAACCTCTGCATTCACAAACATGTTGTAAAAATCAAATCAATCACGTGGCTGCCTTAACTTACGACCATCGTGACATGGTAATCCTGGGCTCCATTATGGCTGTAACTGAAGGACGGCCTGTGTTCGGTGACAGCTGAACTGCTTCCCATCTGTTCCCAATATATTATTTTCTTTTTAATTCCCTTCCTGTGAATCGGTGAACCGACAGGTGTTCTCATGGACGGTCTGGAGCAGGTTGCCTCCATGTCTCCTCCTCCTTGACTAGCCTGATCTTTGCAGCTCGCAGGTTCTCCTTCGAGGTGCCCGAGATTCCCATCGTCTCTCCCCTCTTCGCAGGTATGAAAGTGTGATCGCCACTTTGTGCGAGAATCTGGACTCCCTGGACGAACCGGAAGCCAGGGCCGCCATGATCTGGATCGTGGGAGAATACGCCGAGCGCATCGACAATGCGGACGAGCTTCTGGAGAGCTTCCTGGAGGGCTTCCATGATGAAAGCACCCAGGTGGTGGGCCTCGGCTGGTTAGGTCTGGGGACTGGAACGGGGGGAAGGGGCAGGGATGGTGGGTGCCCCAGACTGCAGCTGGTGCTCAACTCACAGACATTCATTTAGTGTATAAATAGATTAATAGACAGACAGAAAAAGATGATGGATGGATGGATGGATGGATGGATGGGAGGATAGATAGATGGGATAGATGATAAATAGACAGATAGATGATGGGTGGGATAGATGATAGACAGATAGATAAATGGGATAGATAGATTAGAGAGAGAGAGAGAGATAGCATGATATAAATAGAGATAGATAGATAGACAGACAGACATGATGGGTGGATAATAGACAGATAGATTGCACAAATGGAACTCTGCACATGCTCATGCGCCTGCCACTCCACTGGAGAGCTTGGGGACTGCTGGTTTAAGGACTTCTGCTGAAACAAGAAGACCCAATGTACGCTGATGGGACAAGGTCTTCCCCTTTGTCTCTTGCTTGGGGTCAACTCCCCCACCCCCTTGAGTACCTCCTCCCAGGGTTTCGTCTGAGCCTTTAGCAAGAAACAAGCCAGCTTGCCTTCCTTTAGCCTCTGATCCGGTTTTCCTGCCCCGTTCAGGTCCAGCTGCAGCTGCTGACGGCCATCGTGAAGCTCTTCCTGAAGAAACCCACCGAGACTCAAGAGCTGGTCCAGCAAGTGCTGAGTCTGGCCACACAGGTAAATGTCACCTGCCACAAGGGTCTCCTTCTGGCCACCGAAAAACCAAGCCCACCCACCTCGTTTAGCCTGTGGTAAATCGATCATTTCCTCCTTCCGACCTGGTAGGATTCGGATAACCCCGACTTGAGGGACAGGGGCTACATCTACTGGCGCTTGCTCTCCACGGATCCCGTGGCGGCCAAGGAAGTGGTCCTGGCCGAGAAGCCTCTCATTTCCGAGGAGACAGACCTGATCGAGCCCACCCTGCTGGACGAGTTGATCTGCTACATCGGCACGCTGGCCTCGGTCTACCACAAGCCCCCCAGTGCGTTTGTGGAGGGGAGCAGGGGCGTCGTCCACAAAAGCCTCCCTCCCCGGACAGGCTCGTAAGTCAGACTCCGAAGTCCCCACTGATTCATTGGTTACCTGACTTGCATTCAAGTGGGACCTGTTTTTCCTGGCAACCACAACCCTGTGGGGCGGGGCGCACTGAGCACAGCCCCTGACCCAAAGTCTCCTAAGGAGCATCTCCCGCTCCTAGCTGAGAACCTTAGTGACTCTTCCATGGGCTCTTGTTGTGTATGTCTACAACAAAAACACTCTTTAAGGCTGTCCCCGTTGAAAACCAGCCATTTCCCCTTCCTGCCATTAAATCAGGAGCGAAAGTGCAGAGAGCCCAGATGTTGTGGCAGCTGGAGTGCCGCCTTCGGAGCAACCGGCCGTCATCCCGACCCAGGGGGATCTGTTGGGGGACCTGTTGAACCTTGATCTCGGACCCCCGGTCAGCAGCCCTCCGATAGCCACATCATCGGTGCAGATGGGAGCCGTGGACCTTCTTGGCGGTGGCTTGGAGAGTCTGGTAAGTTCTCGGTTGGGGGCCTCCAAATCCTGAGAAGCTTTTGCCAAAAAAAAAAAAAATTCTTTAAAAAAAGATCCAGAGGTTGCACACATTTCTCTGAACTGTAACAGAAGCCCCTGCAAGTACAAATGTCATTGCAGTAAAAAAAATAAGGCAGTCGAGTTATGCTTTTGGTCTTGCGTAAGGACCCCCCTAAACGCCGACAGGCTTTTAAAAAGGAAAAAAAAAACCAGAAGGTCTGCAAATTTCTCTGCTCATAGGATTCCATTCCATTCCATATATTCTATTCAATTCGATTCCATTTCATATATTCCATTCCGTTCCATATTCATATATTCGATTCCATTTCATATATTCCATTCCGTTCCATATTTTCTATTCCATTTCTTTATTTTTCATATATTTTATTTATTTGTATCCTGCATTTATTATTAATTTCCACAAATAACACAAGGCGGCCGACGAAGCTAATATTCTCTTCCTCCTCCTGTTTTCCCCACAACGACAACCCTGTGAGGCGGGCTGGGCTGGGCTGAGAGAGAAAGAGGGACTGGCCCAAAGTTATCCAGCTGCCTTCATGTCCAAGGCAGGACTCGAACTCTTGGTCTTCTGCTTTCTAGCCTGGTGCCTTAACCACTAGGCAAAATTGGCGCTCTCTCTCTCTCTCCCCCCATTCCATTCTACTCCAATTCCATAGTTTCTGTTCTGTCCTGTCCGTTCTGATTGTTAGGTTCTTCTTGATTAGGGGCTAGCAAAAGATACTTTGGTTGATGCCAACTTGCCGGGCAGGTTTTGCCCAGGTGGCTAAGAACGGCACACACACACAAACACCCCCAGAGAGACTTCTCTGTAGCCTGGTGGGCTAAGCTTTTCCATGTTGTGTGCTGAGCAAACGTAACTTTCCCTCCCTCCCTTGTTGTCTCCCTTCTCCTCTCCCTGCCTCCTTCCTTCCTTCCCTCTCTCTTTCTCTCTTCCTTTCTCTTCCTGCTGCCGCTGCCGCTGCTCTTCTCTTCACCTCCCGTGTCTGTTTCAAGATGGGGGAAGAAGCCGAAGGGGTAGGATTCTCTTCTTAGTTCTAATTGCAGTCGTAAGAGTTGAGGACTATCTCTATTTTCAGGTCCAATTTAGATATGGGATAGATGTGCTGGCCCAAGTCGGCCGTTGGACGCTCCCGGTCTTCCAGCCAGTTTGAGGGACAAGATGTTTCATTCCTGGGAACCCTATGCAAGGGATCTCCCGCGTTCCTTGATGTGGGGGTTCCTCTTCCCAGCTTTTTGCAACAGCTTTTCTCCCTTTCCGATTAGCATTACACACTTCCAAGAACGGCGTCCCTTTTGTTCTCCTGCAGATGGGAGCGCCCAGCTTTGCGGCCCCCAGTACAGTCATCCCCTCAAACCTGGGAGGACCCCTCGGAGGGGGGCTGGGAGACCTCTTTGACCTGGCTGGAGGTGTCAGCAACCTGTCGGGCTCCTACGTTATTCCCAAAACCGTGAGTAGCCTTCCTCTCGTTGGATCCCCTGAAGCCAAAGATGGCGGCATCCCGTAGAAGCTCTCGCTGGCCGAAGCCTTGTGAGGGCAACTGAGTTTCTCTTGGCCAGATCTCGCCGTGGTCCATGGTTGCTGGGGGCTTCCCTCCCCAGTCATAAAAGATAATTTCTCAGCAGCAGTGGCCAGGCGCTTGACCAACATCCCACAAAGACGAGTCTTCCTCTTGGGTGTGAGAGTTTGTGTTGTGGTTGAGAAAGGGGGGGGTCTCTCTCAAGAGAAACAATCAAGAGATGTGGCCAAAACTTGAGTGGTCCTCTCTGGTTTTAGGTGTGGCTCCCGGCGGTAAAAGCCAAAGGCCTGGAGATCTCAGGAACGTTCAGTCGCCGGGCAGGCTCCCTCTCGATGGACCTCACGTTGTCCAACAAAGCCTTGCAGGTCATGTCGGACTTCGCCATCCAGTTCAACCGGAACAGGTAAAAAGCTCCACCCCCCACCTGGTTGGCAGCCTCTGATGATGATCGCCTTTACCCTGAGCGGTTGGTTCCATGATGCCAAACCCTCTAAGAAGTTGGCTGAAGAGGCTTACCTGGCAGGGTGGCCTACTCCAACCCCCAGAATCCCCAGCCAGCCAGGTTGGAGAAGGCTCCAGAAACTGCCCTTCAGACTGAATGTGGCTTTCAGTTTATTGTATTTTTATTTTTTAGTTATTTATTTTATTTTACCTTTTATTTTATTTTTTATTTTATTTTATCTATTTTATTTTTTATTTTATTTTATCTATTTTATTTTTTATTTTATTTATTTTATTTTATTTTATTTTTTATTTTATTTTTTATTTTTTATTTTGTTTTATTGTTTTATTTTATTTATTTTATTTTATTTATTATTTTATTTTTATTATTTATTATTTATTTTATTACTTTATTTTATTTATTTTATTTTATAATAACTATTTTATAATAAAATATTTTATTTTATTAATTTTTTATTTTATTTATTTTATTTTATTATTTTATTTTATTATTTTAATTTATTTAAGAAGAGCCCAATTCATTATAGAGCTGTTTTCTGTTGAAATTGCCGCCCACCAATGTACGGCTTGCCGGTCTCTCTCTCTCTCTCTGGCCATTTCTCTCCAGCTTCGGTTTGGCCCCCGCTGCCCCTCTGCAAGTCCACACCCCTCTCGCCCCCAACCAGAATGTGGAGCTCTCTCTTCCCCTCAACACCGTTGGTTCAGTCATGAAGATGGACCCCCTGAATAACCTCCAGGTGAGCCGAAGGGGCATCAGAGGAGGAGGAGGAGGGGACGGGGGTCTTTTAAGAGGCCAAGCAGCAGTGATGCCCGGAAGGGCTGCAGCTCAGCCAGGCTCAGCTAGAGGGCCCAAAATTGTTAGGAATGGCATCTTTGGGGAGAAGAGGTGGATGCAGCTCACTTGGAGAAGACTCTCTCTAAACACCTGGAGCCAGTTTGGTATACTGGTTCAACTGCTGGCCTAGAAAATGGGAGACGGCGAGTTCTAGTCCACCTTCGGCATGAAAGCTGACTAGGTAACTTTGATCCAATCACAAAGAGACTCTAGTCCCACCTTGGGCATAAAAGCCATCGGGGTGACTTTGGACCAATCACCCAGGAGACTGTGAGCTCTAGTTCTGCCTTAGGCTTGAAAGCCAGCTGGGTGACTTATAAATATATGCCGGTTGCCAAGCACCCAAATTTTGATCACATGACCCTGGGAAGACTCTGATGGTCATACGTTCGAGGACCGGGCATAAGTCACTTTTTTCAGTGCCGTTGGTAACTTGGGACAGTCACTAATGGTTGTTAATTCAGGGACTACTTGTATTCTTCCTTTCCCAGGTTGATGTCTTCCAGATGTATCCGGGGGTTGAAGTTTTAACACCTCTGGAGGATGGAGACCGTTTGATTATGCACAGTGCAACTCTTGACATTTTTTAATGGGCTTGAAATCTTCTCTGTGTTTTTACTTTCAGGTGGCTGTGAAAAACAACATTGACGTGTTCTACTTTAGCACCCTGTATCCCCTGTACATTCTCTTTGTGGAAGACGGGAAAATGGGTTAGTTGACTACTTGGCGGGTGGGAAATGGTCCAAATTACAGGTAGTCCTCGACTTAACGACCACCGTTGAGCTCAAAACCTATGTTGCTAAATGAGAAATCTGTTAACGGAGTTTCGCCCCACTTTACGACTTTTCTGGCCCCGTTTGTTAAGTGACTCTGAACCGTCGCTAAACAAGTGGTCGTAAGTCGAAAACTACCTTTATATTTCTGTTCTTTTTTCGGTTTGGTTTGGTTTTGAGAGAGGGCCAAGCGTGATTTGTTAAGTTCTAAATTCTAAGTTGTTGTTTTTCAACGTCCCTCCTTTTTTTTGGCTAGAACGGCAGATGTTCCTGGCCACGTGGAAGGACATTCCCAATGAGAACGAAGCCCAGTTCCAGATTAAAGAGTGTCCGCTTAGCGCAGGTGAGACGAGAATAAGGCTGCGCCCAACCTTTCCAGCTTGAAACACCCGTCGTGAATACGAATCGAATGGTCCGTTGCTCAAAACGGGGCTGTCCCGGACAGACCCCCAATTGTTCTGAATTTTAAAAAACAGGCTGGAAACTGGAAACATTTTTCTAGTTGCTAGTAGGGAGTGACCCATCCAGCAATCCCCCCCTTTTTTTTTATTCTGATGATGATGATGCCCGTACAAGCCTGAAACTATTTCCCAAACAATACAGGAACTGGGCATGGCTAGTCTACTGAAGCAAAGAACCAGGGGGACATGATAGCAGTCTTCCAATATTGGAGGGGCTGTCACAGAGAGGAGGGGGATCAACCTATTTTCCAAAGCACCCGCAGGCCAGACAAAGGGACAGTGAATGGAAACTGATCAAGGAGAGATTCAACCTGGAATTGAGGAGAAATTTCCTGACAGTGGGAACAATCCACCAATGGAACTGAAGTTGCCTTCAGAAGTTGTGGGAGCTTCATCACTGGAAGCTTTCAAGAAGAGACTGGACTGCCATCTGTCAGAAATGGTGTAGGGTCTCCTGCTTGGGCGGAGGGGGGTTGGACTAGATGACCTACAAGGTCCCTTCCAACTCTTGTTATTCTATTCTAATAAATGCTAGGAATTTCTTAACAACATCTTAAAAGCTGGGAAGCCTGTCTTTCGAGCCCGTCTTGGTCCCAGGCCAGCAGTCCCTCTGTTTGGCTTTCAACAATTTGGTTTTCTTTCTTTCTGGTTGGACAGAGGCCGCGAGCAGCAAGCTGCAAGGTAATAACATTTTCACCATCGCCAAGAGGAACGTGGAAGGGCAGGACATGCTGTACCAGTCGCTCAAGCTCACCAACGGCATCTGGGTCCTGGCTGAGCTGAGAATTCAGCCCGGGAGTCTGAACTTCACGGTATGGCTTCCTCTCCCGGTCCCGTTGGGGTGGGAATCCAGCCGTTTTAAGGCCTCCTGCCCAGCTTTTCGCGCTAGATTTTGTTCCGTTCATTCAATCCATTTATTCATTTCAAACGTTTTGTTAATTTATCAAGACCTGAAATACAGGATGGTCCTCGACTTACGGCAGTTCATAAATACGAGTCAGCTGCCAAGCGTCGCAGTTTTGATCACGTGACCCTGGGGATGCTGCAAGGGTCGTAAGGGTGAAAAACGGGCATCGGCCCCCTTTTTTTGTAACTTTAATGGATTGTTGTAAGCGAGGACTGCCTTTCGTTTCCTCCCTGCCTTTCCTTTCCTTGGGATGGCAATGTAATCTCATTTTTTTTTCTTTTCCTTTTGTTTTTGTATTGTTTCCTTCCGTTCCTCCGTCGCTGCCTGGCCACCGACCCCCTCCCTCGGGCCTGCCCCCCCCTCAACTTACAGGATCTGGAGGTTAGCTCAATACCTTTTGCTTCTCTCTTTTCCCTATTTTCGCCAGCCAGCCAGCCAGCCAGCCACTCTGTTCTCACAAGGGCCACTTGTACCATTCCATTCCAGCCTGGCTTTTAACACCCCTGACTGCAAAACATGTATTTCCTCTGCTCGATGCAAGTTAGGAAATGGCTGGTTGTGGTTTTTTTGGGGGGGAGAGGTTGCCATTGGGAGGTGGGAAGGGGTGGGCAGTTGCAGAGTGCAGAAATTTAGAGGATACTTGTCAGATCTGCCCCACCTCCGATCTCTTAGGAAAGTAAAACTCTCAACTCCACGTGGTTTAAAGACCCTCTTATTAAGAGATGCAGATTGCAGCAGTGTCACACAGAATCTGAAGGTTCCCATGCAACAATACAAAAGTAGCCCCTTGGTTACCCCAGCTCTCCCCCCATAATCTCATCTGTGTGTAACCAATCCGGCACCGCTGAGATATTTTGGGAAACACTAAGGTCTTTGGGCTGGTGAAGTTCCACTCTCAGGGCAAACAGCCTTGAAAATGCCAGCGTGCCAACGCAAACCGGATTACAAACTGTTCTGTTCTTCCTCAACTGTCAGTTCCCCCCCTCCCAATTTCCCATCCTAAAGGTATACGGCTTTATTGCCCGTTTGCTTCCCCCCCTTCCTTTCCCGATTGATGGCAGGATGCCAGCGAGACACCAAGCCAAAGGCGGTGGATCTGGCAATACCAGCAACCGTTGGCTGCAACGGTTAAGTCTGTCTGGTTTCTGACCAACCACACTCCTCCCGGGTAGTCCTCAATGGAATTGCGGGTAGTCCTCAGCTTATGACCACGAATGAACCCAAAATTTCCATTGCTAAGCAAGATGGCGGTTAAGCAAGTTTTGCCCCATTTTGACCACCATTCTTGTGTTACCCCAATTTTTCACGCTTAACAACCATTGCAGCATCCCTGTGGTCACATGATCCAAATTCGGACACTTGACCACTATCCTGTATTTATGACGGTTGCAGCATCGCCGGGATCACACGATCCCCTTTTGCGGCCTTCTGACAAGCCAAGTCCACGGGGAAGCCAGATTCACTGATCAGCCGTTTCCAAGAAAGGTCATAAAATGGGATAAAGCTCACTTGAAAAGATTTCTCACTTAGCAACATAAAATTCTGGGCTCGGTTGTGGTCGTAAGATTGAGGACTATCTGCGATATTCTCTTCTGTCGGTTAACAGTGGATGATTTGTTCACAGCAACTGCTAGCTTTTTGGTCTCCGCTCTGAACGACTAATCTTTGAGCTTTTTCCGCCCCCCCTCCCCCCCCCACATTTGGATCCCACTTCTGATTTACTAACCCCGTCGCCTCTGCCGAGGACTCCTGCAGTTGCTGCTCCTCACTCCCCTCTTTTCTTTCTTTGCAGCTCTCCCTGAAGTGTCGCGCCCCGGAAGTTGCTCAGCACATTTTCCAAGCCTATGAAACCATCCTGAAAAACTGAAGCCGCCGTTCTTCCTTCCCCCAAAGCGGCGGAGACCGATGGGGACCAAGTCGTGAAAAACAAAAACACCGAATCAAAAAAAAACAACACCAAAAAACCCCCAACCCACCATCGTCCATTCCTCCCCCACCCCCAGTTCGGAAGATCAGTTATTTTTTTGGCAGGGATCAGATGATCTGGGCAGGCTTTCCCGAGTGGCTGGAACGGAGTCCCCTGCGGAAGTTGGAGAACGAAGCAGGGGCGGGGTGAAGGAGACCCGGCTCCCTATTTTTGTGTGTGTGTGTGTATCTGCCTGCGTGCGTGTGCATCAAAGCCTGCCGTGTTCCTCTGCTGAGACCACCCGTGTCCTTGAGGCGCTTTGTGTGTTGAAATCACACTGGCTGCACGAGTGCCGTGCTGCAGCTGCAGCTGAGAATGTCCCCTGCAGCATCTCCTTGTGGTCTTGCTATTCTTCCACTTCAATAAAGAAATCAATGATGACCACTTCCAGAACAGGAAAACTGTTTCTGTTTTACTCCTGAGCGGGGAAGGCTTCTTGGGTGTGGATGAAGGTATAAGGGTGGAATTGGAATTGGGAATGTCTAGTTCAATGAAGAGAAGGACCAGGGGTGACATGATAGCAGTATTCCAACATCTCAGGGGCTGCCCCAAAGAAGAGGGAGTCAAGCTATTCTCTCCAAAGCGCCTGAAGGCAGGACAAGAAGCAAAGGATGGAAACTGACCAAAGAGAGAAGCAACCTAGAACTAAGGAGAAACTTCCTGACAGAACAATTAACCAATGGAACAACCTGCCTCCAGAAGCGGTGAATGCTCCAACACTGGACGTTTTTAAGAAGAGACTGCGCAACTACTTGTCTGAAATGGTATAGGGTTTCCTGCCTGAGCAGGGGGTTGGACTAGATGACCTCGAAGGTCCCTTCCAACTTTATTATTATTATTATAAGTTGGACACCAGCCAGCTTAGTCTGTTAGCCAAACATCCATGATCAGAATTCAGATGCTTGGCAACTGATTCATTTTGAAAGCTGGAATGTCTCCAGATGGTCTTCATGGGGGTTTGTTTAGGTTTTTTTTGCATCATTTTGGTCTAATGATTAAGGCAGTAGGCTAGAAAGTGAGAAACGGTGAGTTCTAGTCCTGCCTTAGGCTTGAAAGCCATCTGGGTAATGTTGGGCCAATCACCAGGAGATGGTGAGTTCTAATCCCACTTTAGGCATGAAAAATGGCTAGATGACTTTGGGCCAGTTACCAGGAGACAGTGAGTTCTAGTCTCGTCATAGGAATGAAAGCCAGCTGGGTGACTTTGGGCCAATCACCAGGAGACAGTGAGTTCTAGTCCCACTTTAGGCATGAAAACTGGCTGGGCTAATTTGGGCCAATCGCCATGTGCCATGGAGCACTTGGAACAGCTTCCATCCTGCAACCATACTTTTAGCACCCTCAATATCTACCCATCCCAGGTCCTTGGGAAGGACTCAATAGGTGGTTAAATACGCCAAATCCAACCTAAACCTCTGGCTGGCTGTGACCAACTTATAGCTCTCTGTTCTCTCTCTCCCCCCCCCCAACACTCTTTAATCATTTTCTCTTGCCGGCTGCCCAAAATAGTCTGCTTGTCTCTGTTTATATCACCAGCCCACCTTCGTATCAAGCCATTGCAGACAAAATTCTGCTTTTTATTTTTTATGTTTTTATTTAGGGCAGGACAAGAAGGATTAGAAATGAGAATAGAATATAAGAATGGAATGGAATGGAATGGAACAGAACAGAATAGAATAACAATAGAACAGAATAGAATACAAATAATTAGAATAATACAATAGAATAAAAAAAGAATAGAATAGAATAACAAAGAATAGAACAATAGAACAGAAATAATTAGGTCTTTGGGTCTGCTTAGGATGTTTTGAAGGCCTTTAGTCCGCTTGTGTTCTACGCTGATTCCCTATTCTTGATGTATAGCAGTATAATTCTTTTTAGGGTTTGTGTTGGTTGTGTTGTATTGGGTTGAGTGGTCAGGGACTTTTTGATGCTGTTGTGCTTGTTCAGCAGTAAGGCTTAGAGAGTGAAGCCACATTCTGAAGGCTTCCTTGGTTACTTTCCTTCCTTTCTGCCAGCCTCGTGGCTTGGGTCCCTGGCAGAGAGCAGGCTGTTTCAAGTGCGAGGCTGTTTTTTCTTTTTATAGCTACGATAATTAAATCATTTCATTAACCACCGACTGAAGGCACCAAGCTGCTCTCCTCAGCACTCTGCCGAGCTGGGGTCTCCGGAGCAGACATCGCTGGCTAGAATCAAGTTGTGATTGTCGACAGTAGCAGCCGGGCCCGGTTGGGGGTGCTGAACGTCCCCCGAGAATGCCAGCCAGCTGTCTGAATCACTGCCACAAAGCAGTGTTTCTCCATCTTGGCAACCTGAAGAGGTTGGGGACTTCAACTCCCAGAATTCCCTGGCCATCATGGGAGTTGAAGTCCACGACTCTTAAAGTTGGGGGTTTGATTTCTGTAAGTCATTGTGAGAGACTTGGGCAGCCATGTATATTTTCTTAATAAGCAATAAATAATATTTGATGGGGTTCTATAAAGGAATAAGGGGAGGGACAGTTTTCTTGAACACTAAAGCTTTGCTTCTTGATCAATTCCAGGATATTTGGGGGGGGGGGAACAAGGCCTGGAAAAGTTTGGAAACTCCACTTTCACACTGCTATTATATTGTATTTCGCTAGTTTTTCTTGCTCACCATCTTTTTGTCAAACCTCCCCGATGTTATAACCTTTCCAAACACAGCAGCTGTTCGCTCACGTTGATTTTGTCTTCTCACTAACGTTTTGAAGCATTGCTACCGTGGTCACATCATAGCTTTATATAAGACAATGACTGTCCTATTGACCTTCACTTTGTAATGGACTTCTTTCATCACAGCTATACACTGGATTAAAGTTTTCCTTAATATGCGTCATAATTTCAATATTCCTTTCCAAGGCCGCTGTAGAGGTTTTGGCAAACAAAAAACAACTTTCCTAGCAGCCAATATTAATACCTCAAAGCAAAAAAAGATGGAAACCAACCAAGAAAGGCAGCATTTGCATAGGGATCAAGGCAACTCCATTCTATCAAGTCACATAAAATTTAAGTTTAAAATGTAAAACTTAAAAATGTCCCTTCATTCTTTCTTCATTGCCCATTTGGGTTCGTATGAACCAACGCGGGGGCCTCTGATCTCCTTTAGCAAACTTCTCTTTGTAGATTTCCGCAAGAGACACCGTTCCCACGAGAATCACTTTGAGTGGGTTAAATTTTAGGGGACAAAATCTCTACAGTTTTCTTTAGAAAAGAGGCAAATATTACCATATCAGCCCACAAATCAAAAGAACCGAAACACTTCAAGGAAGTTTTTTTTATTATTATTAACTCCCCAAGATCCCAGGCTGGAGCAGCCCCACTCTCTGTCCCGGGCCTAGAGACTTTCTTAGCTTTGTCTTGGATCCTGATTTATTGATCCGGTCTTCAGGCAGGAACCTGTCTTAGCCTCTGAGCAGACGACCAACTCAGCTGACCCTCCCTTTGATGGACATTCTCCCGGGTCGGGGGGGGGGAAGTTGCGGGTGCTGGTGGTCGTCCAACCGTGCCGGCAGACGGAGCGTGAAAACTGCTTTCCCCCCCCCCCTCGCCGTGGCAGAAAAGTATGAAGTCATATTTCTCCGCATCTCCGGAAAGGCGGGGAAGACGCGCTCCGTCTCTGCGGGGGATGCGCGGCTCCTCCGCCGCGCGCCCAGCCGCCCAAGCTACCCCTGCCTGCTGCTAGGTAGAGTCGTTCTTCCTGCCCTGCCCGCCGCGCCGCCTTTCTCACGTGCTTGTCCTGCAATCCCGGGTTCTCTTGCCGCAGCGGGGACAGCCCGGCGGGCTTGCGCGCCGCAGTGTCCCTGTCCAGGGTGCTGAAGCGGAGCGCCGACTCAAGCGCTGCGCCCAGTTCTCTCTGCCTTGGCTTGGATCGCGCTGCCCGGTCGGGTGGTTGAGCAGGAGCGGGGCGGGCAACCAGGCGCCCCTTGGCCTTGCAGCGGCCTTGAGCAGCCGTTCCTCTGCGCTCAGGAGAAAGCTGGGAGAGGCGGCGTGGAAGGGTCCCATCCTCCGCCGTCTCTCTCTCTCTCTCTCTCTCTCTCTCTCTCTCTCTCTCTCTCTCTCTCTCTCTCTCTCTCTTTCTCCTTCTGCTTCCCCCTTCTCACGCTTCAGCAACTTCTTTTCCTTCCTACCTCTCTCAAAACCACAGCGCAGTCTTTAGGCATCGAGAAGGGAGCTCGCTCCCAACCCAACTGCACTTCGGAGGACTTTGGCTCCATTCGCTTCCCTGCTCGGTTCGTCGCCATCCCCGGTGTTTGGCTTCCGCGCCTCGGCTGAATTCCCCTCTCCCTTCCCGTTCATGCCACTCCGTCGGAATCCGTCCTGGACTCGGATGAAGTCTGAGCTCCTGGGTTAGCCAAAGGCTGCTGCGGAGGAGATACTTGGAGAGAATTGCGAAGTTGAGTAGCTTGGCTTGGAGACGGAGGAGTCGGACTAAGGGGGAGCAATCCTCGGAGGTCTGGAGTCCTGGAGGGAGGAGAAAGTGGGGGTGAGTCTCAAGCTGGGTCCACACAAGGCACTTCGGGAGTCCGTTACAAATCTAGCACCAGCCTTGACGTGCCCAACGTGTTCAGCTTGGCTCGTTCATAGCCTTGGGTTTTTTTCTTGGTGGAGGCTCAGCCTCCGGTGCCATCAACCCAGCAGCCTAAATCCTTCCGTGTAGCGTGTGAACCCAAAACAGGCTAACTCAGGAGGCCGGTGAAGAAGCTTATCGTGTGAACCGCGGGAAGGGCAGGGAAGGGGTTTGATGGCTCGGAGGAAGCGCGAGGCGGCTCTTCGGAGGAGCAACGCTGGCGGGAGGAACTGTCCAGGATCCTGAAGGCAGATCATGGTGGAGACACTGACCGTCGCCGTCCTGGGCGCCCCCAGGGTAGGCAAGACAGCCATCATTCACCAATTCTTGTACCACGACTTCACAGACAAGTACAGCCCCACGGAGGACCGTTACATCTACCGGCCGTCAGTCATGCTGAACGGGAATTCCTACGACCTGAAAATCATGGACGTCCCCTACGTGGCGGCTTTCCCTGCCAACAGCTCTCAGGTGAGCGCCTCTTCCCCCTCCCTTCCCACCTGGCAGTTTCCAATCCCCCCAACCCAACAACAGCTGGGGAGAAGCGGAGTGGTAGTTTGGCAGGGGTCAAGCTAGGTTGGAGTTGGCTGACTCTTTTTAAGTTTTTCTTTTCCAAACGTTTGGCAACCGACTCGTATTAAAAAAAAAGTCAGCAGAATATGCTAGTTGCAGTTCTGATTTAACTAGCTCCACTACTGTTGTGGCTGAAATTAATTGTAATTCAGATTAAATATATCCAGGGGAAAAGACAGACTGGACCAATATTTAGCTTAACAAAGTGGTGTAAAGAGCCATGGAAAGACACATGCGTAACATTACAGGACAAAATAGAAAGACCTGCACATGGATTGGAGAACAAACGAAAGTATATGATATCAAGAGAGTAAAAGAATTGAAATGGAAAATGGGCCAGAAGAACTGAGGGCAGGTGGACCAAGGAGGTCCTAGAATGGATCCCACTTGATCAAAAGCATCCAAGAGACTAAAACCAAGATGGATCGATCACATCAGCACGTATGATGGGCCCAGCTGGCAAAAGGAAGCCCAGGACCATATTGGTGGGAAACATGCAGAAGAGGCCTGGATAGAGTAGACAATGGTTAAAATGATGATTGATGATGATTTAGCTTTCATGTTACAGTTTTTCAGTTGCTTGCCTTTGCCTCCACTTCATTACTTTTAGTCTCTTGAGGGTTTTTTAAATCCAAAAATCTACAGATGGATACTAGTTTTCTCCAGCTCCAGCTAAACAGCATATTCATGCTTTGAATTCTTCAACCTACACCTCCTCTCGAGAGGTGTTAAAAAAGGGGGTGGAAGAGGAAAACAGCAAAAAGCAAAAAACAAAAGCAAAAAAAAGTTTTAGCCACAAAACTCCCAGTTCTAAATCAATATTACAATGAAGATTTTAGACCAAGTGTAGGCATTGACGGTACCACAAATTAGGTATAAAGTCATACTTTTAGGGAGTGTGAAATTTAGAAATTTAACCAATTTAACCCACTTCTTCCACCACAGTTCTGCAAATTATAAAACATTTAGGAGCTCCTCTTATCTTCTGCCCTTGGCTCCTAAATATTTTGCTCCTGTCTAATTGGCTTCTTGGACTAGCAGAGAGCAAAAACAAGCATTTCCTGACAGTGAGGACAATTAACCAGTGGAACGGCTGGTCTTCAGAAGTTGTGGGTGCTCCATCACTGGAGGTTTTCAAGAAGAGACTGGACAGCCATTTGTCCAGGATGGTATGAGGTCTCCTATTTGGGGAGGGGGTTGGGCTAGAAGACCTCCAAGGTCCCGTCCAACCCTATTATTCTATATTCTAATCTACATTCTATGAAGAAACCACGAAAGATGTTTCTGAACAAGGTTGAAAGGACTAATCGGCAGCCCATGTCACCTTGCCTCTCTCCCCTTCTGCTGCCGGAGGGAGGAAAATAGTAGCACCAGCTGTCTGTAAAAGATGGCTGTCACCTTCTTCACACCTGCTGGTTCTCAATTTTTTTTAAAAAATGTGTGTTTTAACCTGGCTCCGTTTTAGGCACTTTCCTCTAGCGCTCACGCTGTTTCTTGAAGCAGCTTGTCTTCCCACTTGAGTTTTTAGAATTCCTTAAATAGTAACGCTGAAGGGAGGGCTTTGTGGAGCCCGCTGATCGCATGTGGGCTAGAAACCTCAACAGGCCAAATTGCCAGGTCAAGCAATGGCCCGTGAAGCACCGTAAAGTGGCAAATGTGGAAGACATCCCAGTTACATGGATGCCTCAACTCGCAACCTTAGTGACCGATGACAGGATTTCCGGTCGCAATTGCGATTGTACGTCAAGGCTAGGTAGAGGACAGGATCATTGGTTCCTGCACAAAAAAGCATCTTGGGTGAGGGGTGGTCAAAAAAATCAAAATGACAGATAGGAAGGGATTTTAATCCACTGTTCATTGCTGGCTCTAGCGGGCGCTGCTCATCTCCGTGCCCCATCATTTGGCACTCAAGAAGCTTCTTCAGCTTTGACCCGATGGTGGGGAATGGAAGGATTTATATTCCTTGCAGACAGCTAGTCATTTTCATTCTTTTAGAGAGTCGTTGAGGCCACTTGGAGGTTTGTCTGGGTCCATCAACTTTCTAAAAGAAGGCAAAGGACCTGCGGTCTGCAAGGAGTATAAATCCTTCCCTTCTCCACCATCCAGTCAGAACTGAAGAAGCTTCTCGAATGAGAAGTGAAATTTCTTCGAAGAAAAAACAAGAAAGTCCAGTTGCCTCCTGAAAAAGCACTTTTGGGACAACAAATGACCAGGATGACTAAGAATCTCCATAGACAAGAAGGGTAGTATTTGCATAGGAATCAAGGAAGCTCCATTCTATGAAATCACGTAGAAGATAGAACTTAATATTTTTAAAAGTTTCAGCCAAGTCCCCCTGTCCTTTCGGTCGGGCTCCTGGCAATGGCTAAGTCAACCCCTAGCTGGGTTTTCCTTGGCCGCAAGGACTCAACTTACTGTCCCAAGTCTTTTTTTTTTTGTCCATCAGGAGTGGTCAGACCTAAAGTATTGGGGCCTACGAAACACCGATGCCTACGTTCTGGTGTACGACATTTGCAGTCCAGAAAGCTTTGAATATGTGAAAATGCTCCGTCAGCAGATCCAGGACAACAGGTAAGGGCAGGGGGTGAAGGAGAGACACCCCCCCATAAGATACGGCAATACATCAATTCAGAAAGCTAGTCCTCTACTTCTGGCTGTAATGGAACCTGCCCATCCTGGTTGCAAGTCATGATGATCGTAATAAGAGTCAGTCACATAAGTGACCCAGTTTTAGGGTCTTTTTTTTTTGCAGTCGTTGTTAAGCAAGCGTGTCATAAAGCAGGTGTCATGGTCATTAAGCGAACACCGGTCATTAAGTGAACTGATAGTATGCTATGGGCGCAACTTTGCCTGAAACTGGAAGTGCCAATTTTTGGCAAAACGGTTGGACTCTTCAAACAGCTGTAATTGTGGCTGTGTTGCTGAATGCCGGAGGTTCGGTCATGTGACCACGGAGGGGGGGCACTTGTTGGAATAAGGCATGCCCCAAGGTTGGTTCGTTATCTTTTGAGTGGTCGCTAAGCAATCGGTTCTAAGTTGAGGGCTAACTGTACAGGCCGAGGACCCCTCATGTCAAGCCTCAGCTACATTCTCCTTCCTTAGAAATGGACTTACGAGAAGCGGCTACGTTCATGAGCCCACGCAACAAAGCATTGTCGAACTGTTGCTCTTACAAGTTGGGGCCCCCCAAACCTGAATCTCCTTCGCGTCCCCTCTTTTCTAGGACAAGCAACATCAGCGAAGCACCCATCATCGTAGTGGGGAACAAACGGGACCTGCAAAGACAGCGTTTCACGCCCCGCCGGACCCTCTCCTTGCTCGTGAAGAAGGCCTGGAAGTGCGGCTACATGGAGTGCTCGGCCAGATACAACTGGCACATCATCCTGCTCTTCAAAGAGCTGCTGTGCAGCGTCCTGGCCCAGAGCTGTCGGAGCAATCACTCTGCGGTGCGCCTCCAGGGGGCGCTGCACACAAACAGGTGCAGCCTCATGTGAGCTGGGAGGGGAGGATGGAGTGGGCTGGAAGGTGGGGGACGTCCCAAACATTCATCTTAAGACAGGGGTGATCTGGAGCACAGCTTCCTTCCGTACTAACACACTCATTTACACGCGCACACACACAAAAAAGGGGCGGGGCAAAACAGATGATGTGTCAGTCTTTACTGTCTGAATTCAGGAATCTGCAGGTCAGTTTAATCAGCTACATTCACGGGGGTGGATAGCAGGCACTCTACGGGAGGAGAGCCAGGCTCCCTATTACTCATATAAATATGCATAGATTATTCAACAGACCTCCAGTGACAAGGGGGCGGGGGGGGTCGCGAAGGCCGAGAGGGGCCCTGCCAAAGAGAAATTCACGTGCAAAGCCTTCAGCGTTCCCTCCCTGCTCTTTTCCACTCACACGGCCACTTTGCCCAAGCCTGACATTTTGCCACGTGCAACGATTGCCTTGCAGAATGGGGGGGTCCCTTCTGTCCAGTCCCACAAACGTCTCCCCAACTTCTCCCGAGGTTTCAAGAATCTTAGCCAGGTGCCACTAAGCGTCTGTTGTGTGAATCCACAACGGCCACTCCTGCAGGAGAGGGAGAAAGGTTTGATTCCAAATGGGAGCCAGAAAACTGAAGTCAAACCGCTTTCTCCAGGCAGTCCTTCGGCATTCCCTCCCCACGCCCCCCCCCACCCCAACCAAGCCTACCCCATAAGGCACTCTTCCGACTCTGTGCAGCCTTGCGCAGACGCAAGGGTAGTGTGCAAAAGACAAAAGGGACAGCCGCTCCATTACACAACACCCTGCCAAGTGCACAACGGTCCTTTCCCAAATCCTCACGTAGTTGAATGCTGAATCCATGCCAACGCCGGAACTTGCCATGGCCAACTCACTACAGGACAATTTAACACTTCTATTTAATGATTTAAAATAAATAAATTTAAAAAATATTTTAATTGGTGCCCTTTGCATTTCATTCCGTCCCTCCTTTTGCATCCTTTATTTAATGATTCTGTCCCACCGTTTCTTTGATATTAGTGTCACTCTTGTCCCGTAGCAAGTTGCCCTGCAGCAAATTGTCGTAGACCCGCCAACGCTGCCTCCCTGGCTGGAGGGCCGGAAATAGGGGCAGGGGCGTGGGGGTGGGGAGGGGTAAGAGGTCCCCCCAAAATCAATATGGCAACTGCAATTGCGCAGTCAAAGTCACCCTCCTTTCTGCTTTTTAAAACCCTGTTCCCGAAAATGGTGGCCTTGCCACCTCGCTCGAATAATACGCCAACGCCAGCGCCAGACCAGAAGGAAGAAGCTCTGATGAGGTTCATGGCTAACCAGGTTAAGCCTTGGGGTCAGCTTTAGTGCTGGACTTTCTCTCCAGAGGTGTCCGAAAGAAACACGGGCTTTGCTGAAATGCGACAAACTGACAGATGTGCTACAAATAAGTCCTCGGCTTACGATCATTTTTAAACAACGGTTCCACGTTGATCCTCGCACTTATGACTGTCACGTGATCCAAATTCAGATGTTAGGCAGCCAGTATATTTACTGTGGTTGCAGCCTCTGGGGGGGAGGGGGTTTCAAGGGATTGCTGTTTGTGACCCTTTCAGCGGGATTCTAAGAGGGTGGATGAATTTGCTTAATGGCCAAATGGTAGTCAAATTGGGCGTGATTCACTTAACAGTCCTCACAGTGATAGAGGTTCCGGTCATAGGTCAAGGACTCCTTGTCCTGAGCTTAGACGGCTACGGAAATACCAAGATGGCAGAAGCTGGACAGTGACAGACCAAGGGAGTGAATATTAACCCTGACGCTCCCTTTGGTATCCAGTGTTAAAGGACTTCCCCATACAAGCATTTCACACGTACGCAGCCCAAACAACAACACACATGCAACCCAAGCCCCAGCCTCCCGGCACTGCACTTTAAGCTCTGCCATCTCCCAGCCTCACACTGCAAAAATAAAATATAGAAGGACAGACCCTTGCAATCGAAGGCTTTCTCCCCCACCCCGCCCCTGGTCCCTCTCTCCTCCAGTCACCGAAAAATAAAACACTCTTCTGGACAGCAGCATACGACAAAGTCACACCAGGAAGAGGTCCAAGAAAGCAGCTGGAGAAAGAGAGGGCTGGAACACAGAAGCAGGTGCAGGGGATAGGAGGGGTGAGCGGGGCTGTCCTAGGCCCAAGCCCCCTCATCGGTCACACCGGACTCCACCGAACCCCCGGGACACTCCCCGAAGGAGGAGGAGAAGAGGTGGTGGAGGGCCGCCCAGCCCCGGCGCTCAGACAGGGCTCTGACTGGGCTGTCTCTGGACGAGGCGCTTCCTGTTGGAGCCTTGGGTCCTCCTGAAGCCTTGTAGCTGAGGGGGGTGGGGATTTTTGAGGGGGTCTTGTCCGGTTGGGAGTCGGCACGAGGCTTAATTTGCGGGCGCAGCTTCATCTGGTAGCTGGAAGGCACGTGGTCGGGCTTCCCCAGGGATGGCTGGGGAGGGAGCGCGACTTCTTCCAGGATAGGGGCCGAGGGGGATGTGCCATCCTGGAGGGAGGGTCCCAGCTCCGTGTGGGAAGGGGCCGGTTCCCCAGGGGCCCAGGGGCTATCCACCAGAGGTTCGGCCAGCTCCAGACCCTCCTGGACCTCCTGGACGTCGTTCAGACCCAGGTAGCAGTTGCTTTCATCGGACGAGCTGGAAAGGACGGGTTTCCTCCAGCGGCTCCTTCGCTCGCGAGACCCGGAGGAGTCCCACAGCTCGGAAGCCTCGAGCGAGCCATTGTGGAAATCCCCCAGCTCAGACCCTCCTCCGGTCACCTGGTGGGCTGCCTTCCGCTTGGACTCCTCTGCTTGGAGACCGTATTTGCTGAAGACGTTGAGGGAGGAAGAGGAGGAGCTGGAGGAGCAGTACGCGGAGTCGGCGGTCCCTTGGTCTGGATTGGGGGGCAAGAGCCGGGCACCATCGCAGGCCTGGCTGCCCGGGTCCAGCTCTTCCTCCATCTCCAAACCCATCATCTGAGAGTTGGCCAGGAATTCCTCCTCCAGGCGCCGGTAGAGCTGCTGCTCCTGGCTCGGATCGAGGCGCAGCGGGGTACGGAAAGCCTGCGCCATGGCCTCCAGCTCCTGTCCCAAAGTGTCCTCATTGGGCTGTCTAGAGGGCCCACTCTCCCCCGACTCGGGCTGCCTCACGGCCCCCCGTTGTTTGGGCAAGCAGGGCTGTCGCTGTCTTCCTGGGGCTGGTGGAGGGATTCGGACGGAGGGATTGGCCATTTTTGTGGCGGGCAGGGAACCCCTGCGCTTGATGGTGGCAGGGCTTCGGGAACCCACCGGGGTCAGGTGACCCCTTGCCGGGCTCTTGGTCCTGGGGGTGGTTCTTCCAGAGCCCCCGGCGTTCTCCTTGGGCTCGTCTGCCCGTGTCCAGGAGTGCTGTCCATCCTTTGCTCGGCTGATCAGCAGCACGGGCTCTCCTGCAGGCCTTCCCTGGCTGCGGGCCCGGGGACGAGGGCTCTGTGGTCCAGGCTTGCTCGGCCGGCTTGCCATGTGGGGACGGCCCCGCTCTTCTGACTCAATCCTCTTGGGCACCGCAACGGTTTTTGGCAAGCTGAGACGGTCTCGGGACTGACTCCGGCTGGCTGGCTGCCGTTTGGGACTGGCATTGAGCTGGGAGGCTGGCCCCTCGGAGATATGCCTCCCAGCCTCCTTCCTGAGTGCCAGACTGGGCTCCTCGTTCCGCTTCCTTCCCAAGCTGGCACTGTGCATAGAGGAGGAGGAGGAGGAATCGCTGTCTCCGGAAAGACGCCGAGCTCTGGGGGTCCTGCAAGAAAGAACAGCAGCCATTAAGACACATCACGTTTTGCTCTCTGCATTTAAGTTTCCTTCTTCCTTGCTTCTTGTTCCCTCCCTTCCTTCCTTCCTTCCTTCCTTCCTTCCTTCCTTCCTTCCTTCCTTCCTTCCTTCCTTCCTTCCTTCTTTCCTCCCTCCCTCCCTCCCTCCCTCCCTCCCGTCAAGAATCCTAGGGACCTTGGAGGTCTTCTAGTCCAACCCCCCGTTCAAGCAGGAAACCCTATACCATTCTGGACAAATGGCTGTCCAGTCTCTTCTTGAAAACCACTAGTGATGGAGCACCCACACTTAGAACATATAATCATAGGGCCAAAAGGGACCTTGGAGGTCTTCTATTTAAATATTTATTTTTAATCATTTTCTTAAATTTTGTATTGTATTGTATTAGTTGTTTTTAAACTGGCTGTAAGCCGCCCTGAGTCCTCCGGGAGAAGGGCGGGGTATAAATATAATAAAATTCAAATTCAAATTCAAATTCAACTCCCTGCTCAGGCAATAGACCCTACTACACCATTCCAGACAATGGCTGTCTAGTCTCCTCTTGAAAACCTCCCGTGATGGAGCACCCACAACTTCTGGAGGCAAGATGTTCCACTGGTTAATTGTTCTCACTGTCAAGAAATTCCTCCTTCGTTCTAGGTTGCTTCTCTCCTTGATGAGTTTCCATCCGTTGCTTCTTGTCCTGCCTTCAGGCAGAAGCTTGGCAAAGTCTCTCATCTCTTCTAAGTCTAACGAAGGTGCCAAATTTAACACTTTGCACGTGCAAGTCTAGCAAACGGAGATTCTGCTGAAACTGGGCAATTGCCAAATTTTGCAAGGAAACCAGGCCCTTTGGCAGACTCGGTAGGAAGAGAGCCACAATCTACAGCAGCAAAATAAAAAAACAAAAAACAGGAGGAATCTGGAAGCTTCTTTGCCGACACACCAGGGAGAAGCTTCTGCTTTTTCCCAAGGTTGCAGTCTGAAAAGGGGCTCCTATTCTCTTTCAAACTCCTGTTTCACCCCACCCTTTCCACTTAAAGCCCATTACGGAGCAATTAGTGGAAGAGATATCCAGAGAGCCTCCTCTTTGCTCATAGCTCTGGCTGAGAAAGCAGTCTGGAAAAAAACTGTCATCACATCAGGCGGGCTCCCTGCCTTATCCTGCTTCTGTGGTTTGGGTGAGTCACCCTTGGCGGCTTTTCTGTTTTCCCAGCACCTGGCTGGGGATGGCTACAGCTTCTCTTCTGCTATCTGTCTAAGACAGGGGTCCCCAAACTTGGCAGGACTTGTGTCTGTGGAGATTCTCAGTCATCCAGGTCATGGTTGTCCCAAAGGTGCTTTTTCACGAGGCAACTGGATGTTCTTGTTTTTTCTTTGAGGATGTTTTGCTTCTCATCCAAGAAGAGCTGAAGAAGCTCCTTTGGGTAGAAGTAAAACGTCTTCCAAGGAAAAAACAAGAAAGCCCAGCTGCCTCATGAAAAAGCATCTTTGGGACATCTCGGGATAAAGTTCTTGTCTTCAAACTTACGACAAGAACTGTATCCTGACGTTCAAGAGGCAGCCCCTTTCAGCACGTCTTACCTGACGGGGAGATGGGATTCTCCTGTGTCCTGATGGGCTTGGGACGGGCACCCCCGTAGAGGGCTGGCACCCCCCTGTCCTGCCGTGCTGCATTTCCCACTTGGTGGAACCAGCGATCCCTGCCTGGGCGGGGTGGCCGTCCCAGACCTCTTGGTGGGAGGACGGTTTCCTTTGAGTTGAGTCGGGTCCCCTCCAGCCAAGAGCCGTTTCTCCCCCAGGTGGTGGGGCTCCGAGACTTTATGCAGACCCACCGCTTCAGCCCGGCGCTGAGTAGTGGGGCTGTTTGCTTGGGGACTGGCCAGGCCGCTGGACTTCTGGGGGGAGAAGCCGAGACCCCGACCCTGCGTCAGACGGTGAGCTGCAAAAAGTGAGAAAGAATATCCAAATACGTCAGCCACAAGGCTCAGTCTTGTGATGATCGGCTTTTGCGCCTAATGTGGGACTAGAACTCACAGCCTCCCGCTTTCTAGCCTGGTGCCTTCACCACGAGGACAAACTGGCTCTCTTACAACTCTTTACTGGTTCTTATTTCCTTGAGGACTTGACAGAAAGAGGAACAGGAGAAAAAAAAGCATGTTGTGTTTAGTCCCCAAGTTGGCCAACCCAACTCATCTGTATGCTTTGATTGGCTTCCAAACTAGGGGAGGAGCTGAGCCTTCCTACTGGCTAACGGATTATGATTATATAGGCTGACCCCTCTCTTCTCTGGGGAAGCCCCTCAAATATTGGAACGTTGCTGTCACGTCATCCCCTACTCCTTTTCTCTGGACTAGCCGTAGCCAATTCCTGCAACCGTTCTTCGTAGGTTTTTGCTTTCATAGATTGGGGATGTCGTGCATGGAGAAGGTGCTTTTCTCAAAATGAATATTGAAACTGGATAGATTCCTCTTTGTTGGAAGTTAAATCTTGTCTGCAATACAGTAATGCAGTGGATGTCTGAATAGGAAAGGAATTTTCTGCTAATTAGAAAAAGCTGCAGGATGGATCAAATAGTCTTTGATATGAGCCTGGATTCATTCATTCATTCTTTCTTTCTTTCTTTCTTTCTTTCTTTCTTTCTTTCTTTCTTTCTTCCTTCCTTCCTTCCTTCTTTCTTTCTTTTTCTTTCTTTTCTCTTCTTTTCTTTTTTTAAAAAAGAGGCCTTTTGATTTAGGGAAAAAAGCTGCAATGTCAAAAGAGGAACTGCAAGCCTTGTGGACATTTTTAAAAAGGAAAAAAATATATCAAGGAATGTCTGATGGCTACAAGCCACCAGGGGGCGCCTCTAACCAACATCCTGCCAGAGCCTTCAAGTTGGAAGAGAGCTTTTAATTATGTCATTTTTGGGATGAATATTGCTTCCTGTTGCCTTCTTCTCACAGCGAGCTTCCAGTTAACCCCTTGGGGATACATGAGAGCATGAACTGGGCTCTTCCCAAAACGCTGGATGCTCCTAAAATTCCAGCACATGCCCAAAGCACCATTACGCTTTGCACGTGGAAGGAAAATTTAAAAACAACTTTCTCTTTTGCTGCTGACCTTGAGACCCCACCCCTATTTGTTTGAGCTACCATCAGGCACACACACACAGAGAGAGACATGCATAGGGTAGCATTTGAACTCAGGGCCCGGCCTGATGTGCTTCATAGGCAGTAGCTACTAGCCATGGGAGCTATTGGCCAAGGACGCCTTAACCTTGGGATCGTGGGATCGCATTTTGCGATCTTCTGACGAGCAGAGTCAACGGGGAAACCAGATTCGCGTAACAACCGTGTGACTAATTTAACCCCTGCAGTGATTCATTTAACGACCGTGGCAAGGGAAGGCGTAACACGGGGCAAGGTTCACTTAGCAATGTGTCCTGCCCACCGTAGCAACAGAAATGTTGGGCTCCCTTGTGGCTGTATTTCAACGGCTTACCTGTATAGGCATAAGCAATAAATTATCTTAACTGGAACTTATTGTATGGCCCTGATTCCTCACGCAGGACACTTGCATTCCTTTCCTGACACCAAGCCCCCCCTCCCACAGAGGTACTTACAGACGGAGGTGCACCGGCAGGGGTCATGCTTATCCAGGTAATGCTCCAGCGTGTCCCAGCCCCCCCCTACTCGGACCATCACGTGGCTGCGGAGAACCTAGGAAGAAATTAAAATAACATCTGACAGTTATGCCATTTAGGTATCGCTTGAGGACCAGAACTGGACCAGGCTGGTAGAGTCATCTTCTGAAGGCAAAGAACATTTCTGCATTTTTGGCTTTGCCAGACAGGTCATTCTCAACTTACAACCGTTCATTTAGGGATGGTTCAAAGTTACGACGATACGGAAAAGACCGTGTCCCCGACTTAATAACTGCGTCGATTCCCTTAACAGCTGTGGCTAGGAAAGTCACAAGATGGAGCAAAACTGACTTATCAACTGCCTTGCTTAACAACACTTACTTTGGCCGTAAGTGAGAACCATCTGTACATTCTGAGACTATGCGTGGAACCTTTTCTCAAAGGCCTCTTGTCGACTTTGGAACTCCTTGCCAAGGGGAAAAAAAGGCTTCATTGAAACACCCAGAGTTTAAAGGCTGCCATTTCAACGCTTTTCTTGAAACAGACAATAGCCGTCTCAAATCTCTCCGTTTCAGAGATGGTCCTCCCTTTGCGGGAACAAGCTATCAAACAGCGGCAGCTGGTTGTGTAAACTTATCCCTAAAAAGCCAGCTCTGTCATTAAGCACCGTACAACAGGACAACAATCCCGCCTGGAATAACATGAAAGGGCAGGAGATTATCTTCGGTTATGACTTTTATTTTTATCCGAGCTATTTTGCAGGGATTGTTTTGCAGCCATCCTTACTTAAAACTGCAAAAAAAAAAAAAAAAAAATGAAGGAGAAACCGGGGAAATGTCTTCCTTCCATCCACCATGCAGATTTCACTTTGATCTTACAGGCTTAGAAAATTTAATCTGAAAGCCTGGGTAAGCAGAGAGAGGGGATAAAACAGGCCGTTGAAGCAATTAACCAATCCTTCTGGATCTTGCACACCCTGCTTTCAAAGTGGTGATTAAACACAACATCCCAATGCCAAGTTTTAAGGGGGAGGGGGAGGACTGTGGGGTCCTTGGTGCTCTCTGAGCTTGGTGGTTTTCTTACGGATGTTTCATTAACCTACCAGGTAACATCATCAGTGCTAGAAGGAACTGAGGTTGGAGGAGGAGGAGGAGGAGGAGGAGGAGGAGGAGGAGGAGGAGAAAAAGGACTGGGGGGGTTCTTGATGTTCTCTGAGCTTGGTGGTTTTCTTGCAGATGTTTCATTACCCTACTAGATAACATCTGTCTGCAAATGCACAGGTTTAGGTTGCGGAAAAACAGAGCTGTAGGAGGGTCCAGGGAATGTACGTATAATATCAAAACGGTGGCTGGAACCATGCAGTAGATATGGGGGTGGATGGGATGAAGCCCTCCCCCTCCATCCCTTTTGGCCTCTGCTGGGGTGCAGAAAGACAGAAAGCAGCGAAGGGTTTTTGCACAGAGAAGGGAGAGATCAGCAAAGGGTGACCTGAGACAGCTTTTGAAGCCTGTCCAAGGATCAGGCTCTTTAGCCCTGGCCTGATTTCTCCCCCTTGCTCTGGGTCAACCCCCCCCTTCCCTTCCCTACCTCCCCCACCCCTCCCCGGCTTATATAAATCTGTGCCAGATGATCCGTGGATCTGACGTGGATCTGCTGGTGCTTTCCAGACCCTCAGCTCAGCTCCTTCGCCCACTCTGCTTCGCCCGTTCCATGGCCCTGCCTGCTGTCTTTCCCCAATACTGTTATTTTTTTTTCTTAAGAAAAACCTATTTCTGAAGGATTGGGGGGAGGGGGGGACAGGCAGCGTGGCATAAATGCAGAGCCGTCCCCTAAAACAGCTGGAGCGAGTCTCCATTGCCATGGATATGAATTGCTGGGTGGCTCAAACAGGGACACAATGAAGGAGCCTGTTGCAAAGGGGGTCATTAACTTTCTGCAGATGCTCTGCTAGCAACATCTGTTTCCTGCTTCTCTGCGGGCATGTGAACATGAGCACAGCTGCCCCCACTTCCCCCCCCCATACCATGGTTTTTTTCTCCCCCCCTAAAAATATAGGATGCAGCATGGAAAAAAAATATATCTCAGGCTTTCCTCCTGGCACAAAGGGAGAGAGAGTAGCTGCAGAAGCTCTTACTCGGACGAAGATGAGCGCGTTAGAGTCTCCAACTTTGTATTTGCCCTCCGAGACTTTGACCATGGGGAACTGGGATGGGCAGGTACAGTGGCCCAGGATCTCTCTTACCTGGAAGGAGAGAAAACAAACCGGGTTGGAGAAACAGAGGAAAAACACACGGGTTAAATCGGGCAGCAAATAACCTATCCAGCTACAGGTACAGTGCAACTGTCTCGCTTAGCGACAAAAAAAATGGGACCCGATTGTAGTCGTAAGTCAGGGACTGCCTGTACGAGGTTTTCCATGGGTGTCATCTTTTTTCTTTTTTATTTTTTTTTTTAACAGAATAAAAACAATACAAATTTTGAAAAGCCCAGAAGGTGATAAGCAAGCAAGCAAGCAAAAAAAAAAAAAGATATAGAGAAAAAAACGTAGAGGAAGAAAAAGAAAAAGCAACAGTGGTATTAAAGTGGCTTTTAATTTGTTTTTTTTTTTTCAGTGTTTATATGTTATCCATTCTCACGTCCTTCTTATCATTATCTGCTGGTCTAATCTCCAAACCCATAAATCACAGGTTCATTGTGTTTTTTTTCAAGGGTGTCACCTTCGGTCTCTGCATTTATTCATAACAATAACAGCAACAATAAAAAGCGCTTGAGAAATACTTGCTTGCTCAATTATTTATTGCTTCATTAAGAGTGCTTGTTTTAAAGTGTCTTTCCAAAAGGCCCTGGGGCTGCAGATCCCAAATCTGTGGATATCAGCCACCTCCAGTGTTGACTCAAGATTATTCTCTCCTCTTTGCCAATTCCAGGATTCAATGATTGGGTTTTTATTAGTCTGCCTCCCTAAAGCTACCTGGAGACGTGGGAAAATGAGGTCATTGTTTTTGAAAGCAGGCACAAGCGAGGAAAGCAAGGTCCCGGTGGGAAAAGGAACACTTCCCCCCCCCTTTTTTTTTTTTTGTCCCTGGATGGAACAAAATTGATCAGCGGAATTTTCCAAGTCCGTTTGGGAGGGTTCTTGCTAGCAGAGGAAACAGAAAGCAAAGAAAACGATTTTTTTCCCCTGTTCGTTTGAAAGAGAGAAAGGAAAGAAAGCAACCCATTTTTTTCCCCACATTTAGTGCTCCGTAGTTGCCCAAAACAAGAGGGAAAAAAAAATCTGGCAGGGCTGATCCAATAATATTTAGTTAGGGCGGAGGGAGAATTCAAAGTCCATGTCGTCCTAAATCCCTGTTTTGAAACCCTGGCAGCTTAAAGACATGTGGACTTCAACTCCCAGAAATCCCTAGCCTGCATGGAATTCTGGGAGGTGAAGTCCGCCCATGATGCCTGGGGAATTCTGGGAATAATTCTCCTTCTCCTCCTCCTCTTTCTCCTCCTCCTCCTCCTCCTATTCTTTCTTTCTTTCTTTCTTTCTTTCTTTCTTTTCTCTGATTCTTGCTCTTCTGGCAGCTTCGACCATCGTTAATTGAGTCCAGCATCCCCAATGGAAAAACGATTTGTCTCTGCAGAATCCCTGGGAAAAGAGCACCTGGCAGGGCTGGATGACAAATCGTTTCTTCCCACCGAAAGAGAAAGGAAGGGAGTGAGGGTGTTTCCCAGTTCCTGCTCTGTTTGCCCCATGCCCATAAAAGCAAAGCCTTGGGCAGACAGCCGGACTCTTACGAACCAGAAAGAAATGTTAAGGCATCCATTTCCAAACAACCCAGCTGGGTGGAAAGTGGATTAATCTTTCAATTCACCCACTGACACGCGACAAGCCGTCTCCTTCGGTCTACGAGCAGAAGAGGCAGGAGTGGGGAGGGGAGAGAAGGCAGAGACAAAAATTGTCTGATTTGTCTGGTCCCAAGAAGACCCTTCTCTCCAACCCCTTCTTCGCTGCCAAGACCAAACCTCAGTTAGCTTGACCCAGTCTGTCCCCAAAGAGCTTTTTCCAGAAAGGCAACTTGGACTTCCTTTTTCATCATCTTGGTTGGCTGGCTGGGGAATTCTGGGAGTTGAAGTCCACCCATTTTGAAGTTGCCAAGTTTGAAAAGTACTGCTCTGTTCAATTCAGACTTTTTGCTGTGAGCCATCCTAACGCTTGCTCAGATCCCTTGCCTGCCTCCTGTTTCATACACATCCCTAAGACGCAAAGAAAGCCATTACAAAAATCAACCGAACAGGACGAACGGCTGCCTGAACTGGGTAAGTCTAGTTTAATGAAAAGAAGGACTAGGGGTGACATGATAGCAGCCTTGCAATATCTCAGGGGTTGCCACAAAGAAGAGGGAGTCAAGCTATTCTCCAAAGCACCAGAAGGCACGACAAGAAGCAAAGAAGGATGGAAACTAATCAAGGAGAGAAGCAACCTGGAATTAAGGAGAAATTTCCTGACAATGAGCTCAACCAGCAGAACGACTTGCTTCCAGAGGTTGTGGGTGCTCTAACACTGGAGGTTTTTAGGAAGAGTTTGGACAGCCATTTGTCTGAAATGGTATAGGACTCCCTGTTGAGCAGAGGGTTGGACTAGAAGACCTCCAAGGTCCCTTCCTGTTATTCTGTGTTCTAAGCAGACCCCATGACAGCATCTGGCTCTAAATAATGAGCTTCAAGAATCTTCCTAGGGATAAACCTGATATTTTCCCCGGTGCCAACGCTGTAATAAAAGAACAAAATTAAAAAGATCCTTTAAAAGGAATTTAAATCCAGCGGGCTTAGGAAGTTGGCAGATGGCCGTCTATTTGCAGAGCAGGGTCATCCCCAAGACCAGCCGATTCTTGGTTGGCATCGGATGGGAAGCTCCTGGGAGTGGGGAGCTGAATCCGGTCCCTTGGCACGCAACAAAGAGGTCACCCATCTGCCAGTTGCAGATTTAGCAAGGAATCAGGGCAGGGAAGGAATTGGAAATTAAAAAGGAATGTTAAGCTTAATCAGAAAAGATCCGCCTTGGCTCCTGTCCTCTCCAGACTGGCTCATGGCGAAAAGCTGTTCCTGCCAACCGTGCCCAAGTTTGGGAGTTAAGCACAGTTGGGCTTGGTTAGGACTTCAAGCTATGGTTTTCAACCTTGGGAATTTTCAGTCGAGTGGACTTCAACTCCCAGAATTCCGCAGCCTGCATGCTGACTGTGGAATTCTGGGAGTTGAAGTCCACATGTGTTAAGGCATGCTCTGGCTCTAGGGAGTTGAAGTCCATGCTTCTTAAACCACGCTGGCTGGGGAATTCTGGGAATTGAAGTCCACACATAATAAAGTATGCTGCTGGGGACTTCTGGTCACTGAAGTCCAGACAGCTTAAAATTGCTGAAGTTGGAAAACCCGAGTCTAACACCATCAGTTGATCAAACAGGGTTGGAGTGTGCGAGAATTCGAAGGACAGATCGCCAGAAGATGCCAGAATTCTGGATGGGCTGGGAAGTGGAAGGCAATGGGAAATGTCTTCCGTGTGGTTGCAAGGAAACGACATGGTAAATGTATAAAATCAAAGTTGGACTGAAGGGAGATTTGAGTCTCTCTCTCCCACTGTCTCTCTCTCTGTCTCTCTCTTCCTCTCTCTCTCTCTCTCACACACACACACTTCAGACCACTTTGTACTTTTTTTCCTTTGCACCAGACAGGGCTCTGGAAAGCATCCAGTCGAAGTTGGAGAGCCAGTTTATTTACACTGGGTTGCTTAGAAGAGAGACCCACACCGAGACAGATGAATGAACAGCCAGTAAAATTGCACTGCAGCCCCAGCGGGAAGCCAACCAGTGCCAAGTCCCAACCAGCCCTTGCAGGGGGCGGGGTGGGGTGGGGAGGATTTTTCAGACCAGCTGAGGTGGAAAAAGTCCTCTGGATCTGGAGAGCAGCTTTCTAAGGGTTTTTGCGTTGTTATTCCAGCCTTCCTTCTTTCAAAGAAAAGCAGCTTTCTAGTCTTCGTGGATATAACAGAATAACACACTTAGAGGGACCTTGGAGGTCTTCTAGTCTGAACCTTACTCAAGCCGGAGAGACCTTTTAGACCATTCCAGACAAGAGTCAGTCCAGTCTCTTTTAGGATAAGGTCTCCCCACCCCCCAAAAATAGTAAAAACATCAAAGGCAGAGAGAGATTTTTGCAGCATTTCCCCCAATGAAGACCTCATCAGAGGTCTTTAATGCCATTCCTAATTTTAATGCCAACATTTGTGGCAAGGAGATATCCTATCTGAACTCAGAAAATAGAAATCCGTATTGTATTGTATTGTATTTTTCTTTCCCTTCCTTCCTTCCTTCCTTCCTTCCTTCCTTCCTTCCTTCCTTCCTTCTCTTTATTTCTTTCTTTCCTCCCTCCCTCCCTCCCTTTTCCTTCTTCCTCTTTCCTCTTCTTTCTTTCTTTCTTTCTTTCTTTTTCTTTCCCTCCCCTCTCTTTCTTATCCTCCTTTCTCATCCTCTCCATCACAGATGGACTCTCCTTTGACTTGGTGGATAGGCAAGCAAATTCTATCCAGCCAAGAAAGTGTCAACTTTTACAGGCCCCGCTCATCGTTCAAGATTATATTAAAACAAAAAAGATGCCTGCGTAGGTTAACTACTCGTCTTCAGTCCAGCCAAAGATTGCCCAATGGATTCTGTCATCACAACTGTCTATGAATATTCTTAAGAGAATTCCCTTTACATGAAAACAGACCCATTTCCGTCTTTGAATGCTTCTCTGCTTTGCACAGCGGGTGTGTCGTACCTTGGGGCGAGTTTGCGTTGGCAAAACCATAAAAGGCCTGAGAACACCACACCTAAAAATAAAGGCAGCAATTTATCCAGGACGGGCCAGGAAAGAGAGACATCAGCTGACTCAACCGCCTTCTATAAAACTTCAATTAGCCGTGAGGCTTGCTCACTTGGGAAGAAGTGACTTCATCCAGGTTGTGTCGTGTTATTACAACGTGTTCCCCTTCAGGTACAGCAAATGAGATGGTTGAGAAAGAGCATCGTGGGCCATTAAAGAGCTAAGTATGTCAGAAGTAGAAGATAAATCTCAACACTGACACCGTGGTCGGTATTTTTTCACAGACAAAATTACTCAGGATTATTTTTTCAAAACCCCGTTTTTACAAGAGCGGTTGCATTCCCACAACTTCGTGATTTGCTCGACAAGCTAAATTTGGACAGGCTTATAGGGAACCCCTAAAACGGTGTCACAGACCACCACGGCAGAGGAAATACGGGTAGTCCTTGCCTTACGGCCGTGGTGTAAGTTTCCTATACACAACGTTTTTTTTCTTCAGTTGGTTGTGAGAATATCCTGGTTTTGTCTCTCATTTTCCGTCCTCCTCTTATATTCGCCCTTTGGCTACGTAGGGACATTTGTCCACATGAAGAAAAACTGATGAATGTCTCTGTTATTCTCTGCTATTTCAGTCTCAAAATTATGGGCTGGATGTCTGCTTGTTGACATGGGCGGAGGAGAAGGTGGAAAAGTGACATCTTGGTGATGAATACAGCAGCCCAACATTTTCTCCAGAGGCCAAAATGACTTGTGGCTTAAAGTAGCAGCTTTAGGGAAGCCAACCCTAAACAAACATAATATAACCTAAATAAATAGACAGTATGTCTTTCAGTTCAAAGGCACAGGGCAATGTTCAGAAGGAACAATAAGCATTTTCTGTGCTGCAGAAGAGAGATTTTTTTTCTCTCTCTCCCACCCCTAATTCCTTCCTCCAATTTTATTTTTTGGAATGGCTTTCTCCATGAGATAAAGCAAAACTATGCAAATGACAGGTGTGACAAGAAGGATGCAGAGGCAAAACATGGATCAGGAAAAGTCTGACTTTACAATATGCTGAATTTGGCCCGCGTTCATTTATTCATGTTGCTAAATAATCACGTCCTTTGACAACCCACTGGTGCTGCTTGGCTGGTTCTCCCATAAAAGTTTATAACTACGAATGTATGTCTGAGTTTGTCTAATTCCTGCCTCCCAATTCTTTCTCCCTTTAGTGTCACATTTTAATTGAGCCCTTGAGCTTTTGGGGCTAACTCTGGCACGTTGTTAGCTGCCAATCACGGTAACATACCTTAAAAAGACAGAATAAAGGGACGATTCCCACCAGTGAAATAAATTTGTGTAGACAGGGTTATTTATTTAAATAGGGTTATTTAAAGATAGGGTTGGAGAAAGAGATTAAGGAGTCTGCAAATCTGATAAAAAGGCGTAAAGATGACGCAAGAGAAAGACGGCCAAAACAAACACACTTTGGAAAAAGAAGGCACCCAGAATAATGAAATGTTGACTGAATTAAATATTTAAAGAAGCTCGAAACCACAACTGGAAAAGCGCTTCTCAGAACAATTAAATCTCTAAACTACATGAAAGCTAAACCTAGAATTGTCCTATCTCACCTTCCTATCTCCCATCTCCTCCAGCAAACAGGGCTAATATTAAGCCAAAAGAGATGGTCTTTGTAGCCAACAATTTCCGGTCTTCTCTGAGTGACAGGCAACTCATTCAGAGTTGATTCTCTCTTTCCTTCCCATCCAGCCATCCTTCTCCTTCTGGTTCCTATCAAGCTAGTCAGAGGCATATTGATAACCTTGAAATAATACTGTATGAGCCAGTTTGCCCCCAAATCCAAGAATAGCATCAATCAAAGAGAAAGCCAAGAGGAACACAGAGGTTGAAGAAAGGGATGTAAAACTTCAACAAACAAACAGCCAAGACACATTTGGAGCATGGGATGGCCCAGCCTGCAGGCCCAACTGAATTAGACCAGAGGATTTAGTGTGTCCTACAAACATTGGGATCTATTTAATTTAGAACACGGATTACAGAATTGGATGGAGCCACTGAGAGTCCTATAATGAGTATAACTCTTGTTAAGGGCAAGGGCAGGGCAGGGATCGGAATGGCTCATGACTCTTGCTCTCCAGCTTCTGTTTGATGGCATTAACCTCTGTAATTAACACAAAGGGGTTTAGTTTAGTTCCAACAAAATGGATATCCACGCAACTTTACCACTCAACCCAATACAGCACAACTAACACACACCCTAAAAAGAATTACATTGGCATACATCAAGAATATCTCACAGAAACCACCAACAATTTTCTCAACCTGGGATCATTCAGAGGTATTGGGACCAAAATGCACTCCCATAATCTCCACAACTTCTTAGTGGGGACTTGTAGGTCCTCATTCCATCTGGAGGACACCAGATGGAAGAAGGCAGCCATCTCCCCTTACCTACATCCATTCTCAGCTACAGACTTTTTAAAAATAGAGCAAAGGAAGTGAGCCAGCTTGGATTGGAATAGCCAGGTCCAAACCCAGAAGCCAGTCTTGAAGACTTCATGTGAATGATAGAGGAAACTCAACCTGCCATCTTGAAAAGTCGAAGGAAAGGGGGAAGATGCAGCTATATTCAATAAATAAAACTAAAGTGGAATGCAAGAACTCACCAGCTCATCCAGATTCTTGAGGTCACACAAGGTTATCCTTTGCGTCTTGTTCAAGTAAACGGGAGACTTCGGCCCCAAATCTTGGATCACTTGCTCTGTCTTCAGCTCTCCACAGACCACTTGGTGGTCCCTCATCTCCTCCTCAATCTCTTCCTCCATCTGGATGAGCATGGGAGCCAGCATCCCAAACTTGGAACCCTTCCTGGCCACCTCCAGCAGACAAAGGACGAAGTTCTTCTCGTTCTTCTTCAACACCAAGTCGTTGGTTTCAAACATCACCACGTCTTGAATGCCCAGCTCCTGACGGCACCACTGGATGAAGTTGGAGATGTTGTCCCGAGCGATGAAAGAGCCAGGGACAACGTTCTTTGCTTGGAAGATCACCTCCTTCTGAGGGATTCTCATGTGAGAAGCAGCTTCCGGGTTTGACTGTTGGAACTCCAGGGCGATACGGTTGACGTTGTTGGCATGCTGGCAGAGATCGTAGCCCATCTCCAGGGCATCCATGAAGTTCTCCACCTGGACATCAAGATCGTAAAGGGTATTCAGCCATTCCGCCAGGTCCTCCTTCATGGCGTAGAGATAGTCCTCACTGGAACGGAATGGACGGATGCTCTTAGAAGCCGCTGACTGGATGTTGCTAGGCTCAGCCATTGTTCAGAGTCTTGGCGTGGTCACTGTTGGGCATGGAGGAAGGGAGATATCAGATATTATCAAGGCGGCAAAGACTCACCCCATTATTCCTTTGTTCTATTAATCCTGTAGCCGATCCAGCATAGTAACCAGCTCGTGCCTAAAACATATTTATTTATCCCATTTCTACACAGCCCAACTCACCTAAATGACTTGGTTACTGAATCATTATTTTATGTTCCATGCACTAAATCATGGCAGAATAACCCAGTAACAGAGCTGGGAGGGACCTTGGAGGTCTTCTAGTCCAACGCCCTGGTCAAGCAGGAGACAACTTTTAAGATATAGAAGATACGATACTTCAGCTCCCAGAACCCCCCAGCCAGCATGCTAAAATGTGATCAATCAACTAAGCAAATAGGATGGGTTCACACAACATGCTGACCCGTATAAAACTAACCAAGGTGAACACTAACCAGGTTGGGGAAGTAAGTTGCTAAGCCTTAACCCAAGCTGTTTAAATGTGTGGCTGCTAAACTATGGAGTTGAAGCCCATCTATTTTTATTAACACAAGCAGATCTTCATCTGCATGTCCACCATCTTGACTTTTTTGACCTGCTGGGACATGGGAAGCAGGCCATCTGTGTTTTATCAAAGGAGAAGATCTTACTAACTTGGACACTCTAGTGACTAGTCTAAACCAATGTTTCTCCACCTTGCCTGTTTTAAGATGGGTGGACTTCAGCTTTCAGAATTCCCCAGCCAGCCATGGGGAATTTGCTGGGGAATTCTGGGAGTTGAAGTCCACTCATCTTAAAGCAGGCAAGGTTGAAAAACACTGCTCTAAATTTAGAGCGGATAGAAGCTGCTATGGTGTTCACCGAAGCCATTAATCTTAGATTGACTTGACATAGCCTTTATGTCCAAACCTGCTTAGTTCCAGACATGTGAGAACAGGATTACAACCAGAACTGAGAGCAACAATTACACACCTGGCCTGCACACAGAACTTTCCACACCTCTCTGTCCTTTTCCGGACTGCTTTCCATCTGTACCTCTTCTTTTTCATTTTGAATAGCACCACAAAGTACGGCCACAGAGAAGAGAGGGCTACAGAGCTCCTTAAAAACTTTTTAAAACTTTTTTTTTAACCAAATATATACAGAGACAAAGAACTTTGGTTAAAACCAAATCTTCTCTCGTTTTCTTTAAACCAGGAATTCTTCTCACTAAAGCACATCCCAGATCCAGGATCCGTCTACAAAGCTGGTGGTTGGGCCACGGGCAAACAGGCGTAGGGGTTTCCATGGATGCTTGGGAATTTTTTTCCTTGGAAACCAGTGGTCCCACTGATTGGACATAGGCAAAAAAGTTGTTGTTGTTGCTTGCTTGCCTGCTAGAGGATGAGTCACCCTTGTGTATTCAGCCGAGGATTTGCTGAGCTGCAATTGCCATTGTGAGCCCATTGGAAGGAGAGGGGGTGTGTGCTTTGTGCTGTTTCTCACAATTCCCTTCAGCCCAGTACTGCAAGAGACGCTGCTAGAAATTGTGTCGTGCATAAACCTGGTTTCCTTTGAGACAAGTCTCAAAGGTTGAGCACAACACTCCCGGGTGATGCACATGAACCCTTCAAGGTAGGGCAATAAACAGATACTGCAGGATTCCAGGGACAGACTTTACTTTTGAAGGGTAAAAAAGATAAAAGTTTTTCCTGTTACTTGTGTCTGACTCTAGGGCACGGTGCTCAGTTCCGTTTCTTGGCCAGCATTGTCTGAAGACAATTTCTTGTGGTATGTAGCCAGGTGGGCAGGAGCTGGAGGAAGGAACGGAAGCTCACCCTATCCTGAGGAACTCAGGTCTTGAACCCTTTTGAAAGGTAGAAAAACAGAAATGTGAAAGCGCTCTTTCCCCGAAGTCTTTGGACGTTCCTTTCTTTCAGATGCTGCTGGGGCAAAAGCCAGCATGTATCTGAGCCCGTACAGAGCACCTTCCAGTAATCTTAATAACTCTCTCCATATCGGTGATCCTTGATTGAGTGACTCGCTTTATTGATCTTGCAGGATGGTACGTCTCATTTATTTTATTACAGGGATCAGTTCCCTGCATGAATGAGGTTAAAGCAACATACGGAGAATGGTTGCAGGAATTGGGTTGTCTAGTCTAGGGAAAAGTAGGGGTGACAAGATAGCAGTCTTCCAGTATCTATGGGGTTGCCCCAAAGAAGAGGGGGTCAACTTATTAAGCACCTGAAGGCAGGACAAGAAGCGACAGATGGCAACTAATCAAGGAGAGAAGCAACCTAGAACTAAGGAGGGATTTCCTGACAGTGAGGACAATTAACCAGCGGAACAACCTGCCTCCAGAAGCTGTGGATGCTCCATCACTGGAGATTTTCAAGAAGAGACTGGAAAAGCCACTTATCCGGAATGGCATAGGGTCTCCTGCTTGAGCAGGGGGTTGGACTAGAAGACCTCCAAGGTCCCTTCCAACTTCTGTTGTTCTGTTATTCTATTCTTTATTTTATTTATTTATTTATTTATTATTCGAATTTATATCCCGCCCTTCTCCTTGCGGACTCAGGGCGGCTGACAATCGATTAAAAACACCAATAACAATTACAAAATTAAAATTAAATTAAAATGAAATATTTAAATTGTCAGATTAAAATATGATTTTACCTTCCAGGATGGTACATCTCATTTATTTTATTACAGAGATCAGTTCCCTGCATGAATAAAATCAGGAGGGGTCAACTGAGTGCCTTTTCCGAGTAACACATTTCACAAAAAGGCTGCTGCTCACAACAGCACACACACCTTTTAATAAAACATGTTACTCGGAAAAGGTGCCGCCCCACATCTGCACAAATAAGCAGATGTGCCCAGGAATGTGCCAAAAGACATCCCTGCCCAAGAAGGAGGCTCCTGTTTTTCTACCATGTGCCAGAAAATCTTTCGGATTTCTCTTAGTGCTGAAGGACGGATGGAGGTTTCAAGAGGGGGACAGCGGTCTGTTCTGTACATTTTCTACCCCCCCTTTTTTTCCTGCTCCAAAGCCTGCCCATTTATGAGGGTTGCAGCATCCTGGGATCATGTGATCCCTATTTGCAGCCTTCCCAGAAGAGCGGCCAGCAAAGGGCTAATAATGCCCCTTCCCCACAAAATTACAGCCCTGGAGCGAAGCGAAGGAGAGGTTGCTGGAAAGGAGGGGGGGGCATTCCCACGTCCGGATCCCTCCGATTCCCACCTCTTTCTGCTCGTGTGCCATCCCGGTTATTTCAGCCCCCCTCCCCCCCGTTCCGCAGCCGATCCGCCGTCCCGCTAACACAACCTCTGAATTACTGGAGGGGGGGGGGGAGAGAATGACAGAAGCCGTCGGCAGAATGAGGGGGAGGGGATTCCCTCCAGCCCCAGCCGGCAACTCCAGAGCCCATTCTCGTCTAGGGGGTGGGATACACTTCGGGAAGGCGGGGGTGGGAGGGGGGCAGGCGGAGATGGACGGAGGGACAGACAGACAGACAGGCTCAGACGCCCAGTCTCCGGAACCACGCACACCTTGTAGCCAGAGGGGGGACGGCCCAAGGCTGGGACGCAGGGGGCAGTTGGAGGAGAGACCCTTGGAGCTCTTCGGACTTCAATACCCATGCTTCCCCGGCTTTCCTGCCAGAAGAGCTCCAAGGGTCTCTCCTCCGGGGACTCCAGTGCCCATGCTTCCCCGGCTTTCCTGCCAGATGGGCGCCAAGGGTCTCTCCTCCGGGGACTCCAGTGCCCATGCTTCCCCGGCTTTCCTGCCAGATGGGCGCCAAGGGTCTCTCCTCCGGGGACTCCAGTGCCCATGCTTCCCGGCCTTCCCAGCGAGCCCCCCCGCCCTATTCCAAAGGGCCCGCGCTGCCCTCCAGGCGGAGGCGGGCAGCGGGCGGGCGAGGAGCCGTCGGGGGCGCCCTTCCCACCTGCAAGTCATCATCCTGGCGGGCGCCGCAGTTTCCCGGCCAAATCTCTGCGCCACCCTACTCGCCCCGAGAGCTGCGCCGCAGAGCCACCGGCGGGCCCCGCCGCCCCCGACTCGACTCACCTGTCCGGCCATGTCGGGGCGCTCCGGGCCGGCTCGCAGCAGGCTGGCCGGAGGCCCCCCCGCGCCTCGCGCTCGGCTTCACCCCGGCCGGTCCGGCATCGCGCGTCCCTTCCGCCCGGCCCACGTGCGGGGCTGCCCTCCTCCTCCTCCGCCCGGGATCCTGGGCCAGGAGGGGAGAGCCGGCCGGGGTGCTGGGGGCTCCCCCGAGCGCGCGAGTGGGCGAGCGGGGTGGAAGGCAGGAGAGCCGAGACGGGGCTGCCGCTGCCTCCGCCGAGCTTCCCAGCCTCTGGCCCGGGATCCCGCGGCTCCAGGCGAAGGAAGAGGTGGAGCTGCCAGCCCGGCAAAGGAGGAGGAGGGGGGGGAGGGAGGAGGAAAGGAGGAGGAGGAGGAGGAAAAGAGGAGGAGGAAGAAGAGAGGAGGAAAGGAGGAGGAGGACGAAAAGAGGAGAAGGAAGAGAGGAGGAGGAGGAGGAGGAGGAGGAGGAGGGGAACCCTAGCAGCGCCTTTGGCCCCGGCTCCCCGAGGGCATCCTGCCTACTGCGCCCGACCAGCCCTCGCCGGGACTGCGCGCCTCCGGAGCCCGAGGCGGCGAGCGCGAGGCCGGGCAGGTCCTGCGCAAACCGGAGCCACTCCGGCTCCGCCTGCCGCTGCCGGCGCCTTGATCTCATCCGGATCAAGAGCCGAACACGCCCCGCTTCCTTCGGGTCAGCGCTGCATTGCTCTGGCCGGGGAGGGGGGGGGCAGGCCAGACGGGCGGGAGCTGGAGGGGGGGTCAGAATTGCGCAATGCGGGCGGCCGCGACAAGGCGCTCGGCCCGCGCTCAGAGGCAACCTTGGCTTGGCTGGTGGGCTCCCGGATGCCTCCCGTTTCTCTCAGCTCGTGAATTGTAGATGGGCGCTCGGGACTTGGTACCCTTCCTTTCACAGCCCTTTTTAAAAAATAATAATATC